CGTCGAGGTGCGTCGCGGGCACGGCGACCCGGCTGGCGCTGGAGTGGAAGGTCTGCATGAGCGGGCGGGGCCGGTCGGCGATGCTGGGCTGGGGGGTCGGGCGGTGGGTGGTGGTGATGCCGCGGGACTGAGATGGATGTGTTAGCTTGTGGGAGGTGGGAAAGAGAGGGGAAAAAAAACGTACCTTGTTCTGCTCGCGGTCGCGCAGGAGCTCGGCGTACTTGGGCATCAGCGGCGCGCCGCCATGGTGGGCGCTGCTGTCGAGCAGAGAGCCGCTGCTGCGGGAGACGGCGGCGGGGGCGGCGGTCGAGCTGATGGCGCGGGAGAGCTTGGCGACGGGAGCGGCGACTCTGGACATGATGCTGATGAAGATGAAGATGAATGTGGGATTGTTGTTGTCGAGACTGGGTGGCAAGTTGGAGCGGAGAGGTTGTTACTTGACGGGGTTGCAAGCGGCAAGTAGATGGTGTGCAAACAGGCAAAGGTTTTAAAGGTCCGGAGACGGGCGGCAGACTTGTGATGTATATTCAAGTATGTCTAGAGAGACGAGGCAAGCTAGGAAGAAAACAAGGAGATGGTAGGAGAGGAGGGGAGAGGCAGGGGCAGAGAGGAACGGCGCGTGACGGATGCTTTATAAAATGTTGAAGCCTGGGGGTGGCATGGCATGATGGGCTGATGGACATGCGTGACGGGCTGTGTACCACTGGGGTACCTGCAGACCAGCAGAGTGATGCCTGGCAGCAATGTACCTTTTGAGACGTCGCTTCATGGCAACCTGGGTAAGGGCATAAGACAAAGAATGTGACGGCGACCAGGCATGTTTTAGTGAGCTTTTAGTGAGCTTTTAGTGAGAGGGCCCGCTGTGGAACCTGTTCCTATCTGTACAAAGGTACTAAGGTGTCTACTGTAGCTCACTGTAATCTGTAAACATGCTCCAGGCAGCTCTTGTCTTTATCAAGTCAGCGGATTCGCCGGTTTAGTTGTCGTTGATAGGAGACACACACACCACCTCCTTTGCACGCGGTCTCTTGGAGCTTGCTCTTTGGCTGGCCCCCATTTTGGTGAGCTAGGCCGCCTCGCCATCCCATCTCAACGCGCAAGCCACTATAGTACGAATTAGTTAGCGCGGGTCTCGCCCGAATCCCCCAGACAAACAGCTCCGACACCGGTACCAAGTTGCAAACGGCAAATAACAGGCAAAGAAGAAAGGAAGCAAAAAGTATCAAGAATTATAAGTATAAAACAGCCAAGAAATCATCTCGTCCAAGATGATTACACTGACTACCCCCCGGGATCTGAAACCCGCTCTGGTGTAAGACACCGCTTTACGCTTATTTTGTATTACTCCATCGCGCACTTCTGCCGTAGTAATGCTGCATCCCGCCAACACCGCCAAGCGAGTCCGTCTCCTCAAACAACCCAAAACGGTGGCATTGGCTTATGATTTCTCCGCGAGAACCGGTCGGAGAATTGGCACCATTTGTGGTAACGAGACTCGAGAGGCGGCCGGCATCCTTCTCACAAAACTGGAAAGCTCTCCCTGCTCCCCGCTTTGTGGTCCCTCTTGGCTTTGCCGCGCCCTCAACAAGACGGAAATAGCTGCTACACGCGCGTCGCCATTGTTGGGGAAACAAGATGAAATCGACCAGGGGGTTGTCGATAGAACCTTTTGCTCTGCGCCTGTCCTTCTGACGACTGGCTGGGGGATCTGTCTTTATTGGCGGTGAAGCTTGGCAGTAACTAGAAGCTTCACGGAGGCCGCTCCTGAGACTTGAACATGCCATGTGAATCGGGGTTGGTGGCCATCTCGCGGTTGGGAAACCCGCCCTGTCGCAACCAATCGGGTTTTGGAACTTGGACATGCTGCCTGCTTACATCTGAGATGCCGTGCAGGCTTCACAATTTCATGGGCAAGCCCCCAAAACCAACATGCTTGTCGAAAAGATGCCCATATTATGCTTTTTCCTTCTTTTCTCCTTCTCTTCTCTTCTCTTCCCCCATGCTCTTCTTTGTAATGAGGCCTCAGGGTTGTTGGGTCATGTGGCCGCTTCTCAACCAAATCTTAGATCAAAACCCCCCCTGATTACGAGATCCATGTCAACAGCCACCGCCATGCCGCGTGGACATCCCTGAAATGCATACCAGGATATATTTCCGCCATTCCAACTCGGTGTCCAGGCTGTGTCCGGCGGCGGCCTCTGTCTCATCGGGCGCGGAAACACCAGCGTTTCAGCATACGCTGACGCTAGCTCCAAGTTTAACAACCTGTAGTTATGCTTGAATTGGGGTTCTCTGATGATGCGACGGCTATTATTAGCTTATCATGGACAACAGAGAGAGCCTTTCGCTGTGCCGCAGGCCAACGTGCAGCCTAGTCAATCTCGGCATCTCATCTGCCAAGACGCGCTAATACGGTGACATGAGACAAGCATATTTTTTTGAATCATGCTAGAGTTATCTGAGCGCACATGCAAACATGACACGGTGCGCTCCGCGGAGGAATTTCCGATGCTCTCCAGCTTTGCTCCCGTAGATCTGCCCTCCACTCCCACCGCCAAGCCATCCCGGGCCGGCGGCCTCAGCCAGTTGCTGTCATCTCCCAATTATCGACTCCTTCTCAGCTGCCTTTTGCGTCCTCTGCTGCCCGCGCACGCTTCTCCGCCTCCACGTCCACCAGGCCGACCATGACCGGCCCAATCTTGACCCCCCACCCGCCGACCCCGTCGCCGCTGCCGAATCCGAGCACGCGGCCGCCCAGGTCCAGGCCGCCAAAGGATAACCGCGAGCGAGGCTGCTCCTCCCCGGTCGCCGCCTTGTCGGGCGCCGGCGCCGGAGGACGGTATTCGGCTGCTTGGGGCCCGGCCCGCGGCGCCTCGACGTAGCCCTCAACCCAGCCCTCCGGCCGGGTCTCCTCCGGGGAACTTGCGCTGTGGACGTGCGCTGTGGCCTCGCCGTACGACGGTGGAGGCCCTGTGTTGCCAGAAGACATGCTTGATCTTTGTCGAGTGGTGGATGTGATGTATGAATGACTGTTGGGACGTCTTTTCTCCTATCCGCGGCTGGAACTGCGAGGAAGCGAGGACTTTTATCACCTTTTTCATAACATAATGAGGGCATCACAGGGCTACGCCACGGATTCCTGTGAGTGGTTGCAGTTTGGCCGTGTGGCTTACGCCGCGGGGGCAGGCGAGGCTAGAACGCGTGGCTAGAAGCCACTTCAACACGCAATCGATTTCGTGGGCTGAACTTGTTTGCTGAAAATGTTACCCGTTTTGCACCGGATCACTCCTTATTCGGTCTGGCTAGTTACGTGGCGCACGCCGTTCCTCGTACGCAGGATGATAAGAGACGAACGAGGCGGAGAGCTCTTTGTAGTTTTATGTGGCCACCACACGAGAAAAAGAACAGGTGCGTATTGAAACTGAAATGAAAGAAGGCTGATCGATATCGCACGGGAGTGGACAGTTTTATAACGTCTCCCATTTCCATGGTCATTCCACTGTCATCGATCCGCAAGGCCAGGACAGCAAACCACGGAATTTTTTCAAGGCAGTTTTAAACCTGACATTCGCTCTCAGTCCTCACAAAATCATCCGACACGACGGCGCCATACGCGCAAGTTCCGCCTTCCATTCAAGCCAGATCTGTGTTTCCACACGGACGGGAGGAGGCTCAGGCGGGACACGAGCGCGCCTGGGAGGCCCCGGCCCCGGCCCGGACGCCGAAGAGGACAGAGCGTGGACGACGGACTTTTTTTTTTTTCGGAGATGGTGTGAGCAGGCAGCGGAGGAGGACCAGCTCTTGCAAGATCCAGGCGCGGCCGCCAGTAACTCACGGTTGAGGAGCTGGTAGCGCAGCCTGCAACGCTTTGTTTGCGTCGGAATTGGTCGTCTGGCAGCCCGACGTCTGCTTCCATGCAAGTCCTTCTGTGCGTTTTGGCAGCTGGCTAATCTGCTGCTCCATTGGTGTGCCTCGGCTGCAATTGCCCTTGTTTTTATCGTGCACGCGGCGAGGCGCGTTCAGTGCCGAGCTCAAACGCGTGACAAGCTCTGGCTTAAACAGCGAGGGTCGGGTCTTGCAGTCGGAGCTCGCCAATGGCGCTATCAATGGATCGGTATATGATGGCTGCCCTTTCTACATCGGGTTCGTTGGAGCGTAAACAGCGTTTCCGCGTGTCGCTCGCGGTGAAGGATGATGACGCTTATGCCAATGGCCAACCTTAGCCAACTAGTGCTTTCGTGATGGAATCGCGCTACGCACCACTTATTAGTCAACCCGCAAGACTTGAGATGGAAAATCGAAGCAAAGTGATTTTTGAGAATGCATAGCTTGGATGAATATGAGTCAATTGTAAGAGGGCGCTCTACTTGTTTCTTGCCGTTGCACTCTGATTGGTTTCCGGCCAAGTATATAGGCTCAGGTAGTACTCGCACCGCTCTCACGTTCGAGACTTGCGCTTTGGCTTCAAACATTCCAATAACCAAATCGAAAAACTGCCGAGATAAGCCGTAGGAATCCTTGCCGGAAACACGGCTCGAATCCGCATCCTACCAGCTTGCCGGCTTAGCCTTGATGCCGTTGTGGCGCCATGACAGCTGAAAGGGCGAACAATCCTGGCCATTTGCTGCGATTCGACCCCGCGCCAATATATCATGATATTAAATGCATGGCTAATGCGTTCGATTGCTGGCCAGAACGGTGCCGTCCCACCCCCTGGTTCGGAGGGGTCCCAGCTTGATCAGTCTAGGCCGTCGCCTCCAGGTCCGGGCGGGCGGCCCGTGGCTGAAAATGCCGGCTTGCCGTAACAAAGAAGGTTGTTTGTTGTGACGATGGCCCGCGACCCCAAAAAACTCCCTTGACAACATCGACAAGGCTGCTTGCTATAAGAGCCTGCCCCGACGCAGAGCGTTGCCGAAATGCCAAGACGACCCGCTGCATGGCTGAAGAGTTGTTTAATTGGCTGCTTCTGACGTAACGAGTCGCTCTCGTATTGATGCAGGAAAGAGGGCTGGGACTTGCACATTGCATGCAAGCTTGGCGCAGGGGAGCTGAACTGGTGCAACGTCGTGCAGAGCACGGCACATGGCGGTCCTGTGCGTCGAGAACACGTTCGAGTATAAATAGTCCCTGGTAGACCAAGACATCCTCCTGTTGATTCAAGTACTTCGTACAGGTTAGTCGAGATAAGACCCAGGCATCCTCCTTGTTCTTTGAAACCGTCCTCGGCCAACTCCGGAAAATCTCCATCATCGCCATGTGGTTCACCCGTGTTTTGCTCGCCGTCTCGTCCGCCGCGGCCGCGCTCGGCTGCACGCTCCCGACAGACACGCCGAGCACCAACATCCCGCAGGGCTTCGCCATCCAGGTCCAGAACGCGTCGTACCCCGTCATCCACAACCGGCTCATCAACCAGTGGAGCGCCGGCGGCGGCGACCAGCACCTGTATCTCAGCCCGGCCGGCAACGCGACGGGCGCCACGCTGACCCTCGTCGGCGGCGTCATCACGCAGCCCAACGGCGGCAAGGTGATCCGGGCCGTCATCAACGGCGAGGTATGAAGATTCTGCAGCGTTTGTCGCGCTGCCCTGCTGATGTTGTGAAAAAAAGTACACCGCGTTTGATAATACCACCAAAATGTTCATGACGGAGCGCGGCGATCCTCGCGGCATCTTCGACGTCAGGTACGGCTGCAACCCGGACACGGACAAGGTCCAGACGGAGCTCGTCTTCAAGGAGCGGTCTGGGGTTACCGGCGGCCACTTGTGTTTCAGACTGGCGGCGGGAAACAGACACGAGTGCCGGTACTCGCCCCCGGGAAACACTTGTAAGTACTTTGTGCATGGGTTGTGCTCCTTGCGTTCAGAGACTAACACGGAGAAAACAGTGGTCGACCTGCCCAACCAGCTATGCATCAAGGTGACACTGGTGGTTGTTCGAACCTAGAGCACACGAGCTTTGTGTGGATCGACAGTGTATTCATAACATGCCAGTAGGTATACAATAGCGAGTTCTAACCAGCATGTGGATCGAAAGTGCATTCAAAACATGCCAATATATATACAATATATATACAATATTAAATTACGAGCAGAGAAAGAGCCGTCATCGACCCCTTTGCTGCAATATGTCGTGTAAAATATATATGCTCGCTACCGATGCATCTGCCTTCAATCCGTCGCCGTCGCAGCATACTGCCCATACTCATATCTCTTGTTATTCTCCTCCACCCACCATCGCGCAATAAACGCGCCCTCCTCGGCCCACTTGGCCGCCTCCTTGCCATAGCGCAGCTGGATCCTGTCCAGGAACGCGGGGAACTCAAACGCCTGCACCGAGTCGGTGTCGGTCGGGTCCTCGGCGAGGTCCGTAAACTGCCACTCGACGTCGTGGATGACGGGCACGACGAGGCGCCACGTCTTGCGGCGGCCGTCGCGCACGCCCAGCATGGCCCGTCCGGGGTTCATCACCACAAACTGCCAGCTGCGTAGGTCCGCCTCGTTGCCCGGCCGGCGGCGGTCCTGCATCCGGTACGCCGAGTGCCGCCGCGCGCGGATGAGCGACTGCCCCTCGTAGTTGGCCAGCAGGTCCGCGGCGGCCGCGCTCGCCGTGTCGGACAGCGAGCCCGTCTCGCGCAGCAGGTCCAGCACCGTCGGCACAATCTCCATGGCGCTCACGGCGCCGTCCACATCCAGCGGCGGCAGGCCCGGGTGCGACAGCACCACCGGCACGTGGTTGCACCCGGAGTTGGGGTTGTGGTACGACGCGGGCCGGTTGTTCTCCGGCAGCGAGATGCCGTGGTCGCCCGTGACGATGACGAGCGTCTCGTCGGCGACGCCCTCCTCGTCCAGGACGCGCAGGATCTGGCCGAGCCAGCGGTCGTCGTAGCCCACGGCGTTGACGTAGTGCGACAGGTCGTCCCAGCGGCCGCCGCCGCTGGCGAGCGGCACGTAGCCCTCCTCAGCAGGGATGGCGTACGGGTGGTGCGTGGTGCTCGTGAGGTGGGTGAGGAAGACGCGCTCGTCGGCGCGGCGCGCCTCGACAAACGCGTCGCGCACGTAGTCGAGCAGCGGCGCCTCGGGCATGCCAAAGTAGTTGATGTCCGGGAGGTCGACGCGGCCAAACTTGGCCGCCTCGGAGCGCAGGTACCGCGCGCCGACAGTGTCCTCGGGCAGGAAGCCGAAGCGCTCCGTGCTCTCGTCGGCGTGGTCGTAGCTGAGCGTGACCGACTGCAGGTAGCGCGCGCGCCACGGACGCGCGTCGTCGCCGCCGCCGCCGCCGGCCGCGTCGAGGTGCGAAAAGGCGGCGAGGATCTGCGGCAGGCACGGCTGGTACACGTGGTGCGCGTACTCCTTGTTGAAGTCGGCCACGAGCGGCCACACGCCGCACAGCGTGCCCGTCATGCTCTTGCGGGTATACGTCGAGGTCGTGTAAGCGTCGTTGAAGTTGAGGCCGCCGCGGCGCGTCGTGTTCTCGTGCTCGAAGCCGTCGTCAAAGTCGCCCGTCAGGTGGTTCGCCGTCGCGGTTAGGGTCTCGAGGCGGGCAATGGACTCGTTCGAGAGCGTGTTGTGAGGCGCGGCCTCCTCGAACCGTTGCCAGATGAGGCCGTCCTTTTTCAGTGGAAACACGTCCTTGCGCGTGCTCTCGAGGACGACGAGCACAATGTGCTTGATGGACACGTTGGCTATGTGGTCTCGCAGCCCGGGCAGCAGTTCCTGGTCAAGGTTGGAGATTTTGAGGGGATCGGCTTTGGCGCTATAGTGTGGCCGGCCCTCTTCGTACCAGTCCTCGAAGCCGCTGAGGACGGTATCTTGGGGCAGCCAGTCGAAGCGGATCGGCTCGGCAAGGGCTGTTCGATCGTCCCATTTGTAGTTGATGCCGACGTCGTTGTATGGCCGAATATCGCGGAGGATGGACGCTGATTCCTTGAAATCGACAAACGGTAGCAGTGGCGTGGTCCATGACATGAAAATCAGGGCACCCTCGTACGGACGCAGCAGATAAAAGAGTACTTGGAGACTGATGAAGACGCTCCACACAGAGCGCCAGAATGGACTTTCCACTGCGGACCCTTGGGCAGCAGGTCGGGCGTCATCGTCTCGTTTTTCCTCCATGGTCAGCGGATCGTCGATTGCTTCCGAGGGGAGCCGGACAAAGGCGTAGTCGGGACCGGCCCGGCACCGTCGCATAATGGCCTGGTACGGCCACTTGACCGCATCCACAGCCGCACCGCCCATGACAAAGATTGCATTTTGGAAGAACCCAGCCACGGCCATGACGCAGCCCACGACCGTGACGAGCGTCAGGAGCCCCGAGAGGAGCACGCCCCGGGAGCCCGCATCACCAGCAAACGCCACGTCCCGCCAGCGGACCTCTGCCTTTGCGTAGACAAAAAAAGTGATGTTGACGACGGAGACGAGGGCCGAGAAGAGGCTGGCGAGCAGGTAGACGGTGCCTGCGCAAATGCGCAACGGCAGACTCCTCCTTCTGTGCGGCGCCGGCGACGACGACGATGACCACTCGGCGAGGCACCGCAGCGCCAGGAGCAGGACAAAGTCCTGCACGAAAAAGGACAGCATCCAGACGACCAGGTCGCGGCGGAGCAGGGCGCGCTCGCGCGCGACGACGTGGGCAATCTTGGCGGCGACGACGGCGACGGCCACAAAGGCAAAGGCGAACCGGCGGTCGGCGGCCCTGCGGAGCGGCGCGAGCAGCAGCGTCGACGGCGCGCGCCAGGCGAGCAGGGCTACGGCAAGTGCGCATCGCCGTGTTTTCGAGCAGCCATTGCCAGCGAGGCTGCCATGCATATTTGGGCAAGTTGGGCGAACGAGGTCTTTTTTCCCAGTCAATGGGGTGACGATCAAAGCCTGTCAGAAGAGAAGTCTGGGGAAAACGGAGAGGTGTCGCGTGAGCACAAAAAAACAAGACAAGACTATACAGAAGCCAAGCAAAACGGCAAGGGTTTCTTCCTTATACACTTTGACGGGCTTTGCTGCCTTGCCAAGACGGGGGGGCGGCGCCATCAAAACTAGACTCGACCACGTCAACGAACAAACCCCCCCCTCCCCCCTTACGAATACCGAGTACACACAACGATGACACCAATTACACCAATTCACGCGGGCAGGGGTGAAAAAGTCCGGAAATTCTCGACGGACCAGACGGCGTGAGAGGTCGGAGTAGCGGCTTGGCGACGCCCCGTGGCTGGCCAGTCGTCTCGTGGTCACTCGTGGTCACCTCCCACAAAAGTCCGTCTCAGGCATGATTCGGCACCTGGTTTGTGTGTTGGCGGCCCCTTTCCAGTCGGCTGTCATGACGTACGAGGACATGTCAGCTCGTTGTGCCGAACTCTCCGTGCCGTTGTGCCATTTTCATTGTTCCTTTATCATTCCCCCTTTACGATGCCCCTTGTGCGGGAAGCCGGGTAACATGGGAAGCCCGTGTTGTTATTGTTATGGCGGCAGCCTTGACCAGCAGCATGAATTGTTGTTTCATTTTCTATATGGTTGAGTGGGGGTTCCGTGCAAGAATAATCGGGTCTGCAGCAAGAGACTTAAAATAGAAGCTTATCATGTTACTCGGTGCGTTGCAAAGACCTCCGGAGTGCCTGCCAGCCGGTAATATCCTGGGTGTAGCGGCACGAGTGAGATCGCGTTGCCGAGATGCAGATTGGGGGGGCACGCGACCAAGGCTGTGCAAAAGTTTATCGTCTCTGATACAAATTACATTGTGGTGGCTTGCTAATAATAAGCGGCTTTCAAGTGCGCCTGGACACGAGACTAGCTTCTAGATGTGCGCCAAGCGGAATAGTCAGAGACAGGGCTATTAACATACTAACACTGATCGGGGGCCACACAGTGCTAATTATAAATTTGTATTAATTATTGATCCTAATAAAGCAAGCAACCTCGGAGTTTCCATTTTCGTGCTGTCTTGTGCGTGTCGTATTCAACTTTTAGCGTCCCTTTCATAACTTTTATCCTCTGCCAAGTCCCGCCTGTTCGTTGTGCAAATGTCGTATTCGTAAATCATCCTTTCCGGATTCTCAAGACGTCAAAAGGCAATGCAATGCTCCAAGATGCAATCTGATGATTCCCTCCCAAACCAGTCCAACCCCACCATGACCACCAATATCGTCATGATGCATGTACTCACTCCCGCCGTCACAGCTTTGACACTATCCCAAGGCGTTGCGGGAGCGCGCCTCTGTCGCCACCTTTTGCCAGTCAACCTTTAAAATGTAAAAGTACTCAATGATGGAAACACTATGCGAGATTAGCTTCAACGTGCACGTCAGCGCAAATACATATTGGGGAACTCACACGATGAGACCGCCAGTGATGCCTGTCCACATGCCCTTGATCTTCCAGTCGAAATAAAAGGCCAAGGTTAGTGAAAGAGGCAATGCAATCACGTAATGACCGAAAATGTTGGCTGGTCCGCCGATGGACTGTTTACCAATACCGCGGAGGATGCCATGCGCACCCGCACTAATACCGTCCCAGAACAACGCGATCGATACCACGGGCAAGGCCGTTGCGACAATCGCAATGACTGCATCGTCGCTGGTGAGTAACAGAGGTATGTACCACCGGAAAGTAATGCATGTAGCAATGTTGAAGCTGCTGATGACGAGTGAAACAAGTACCGCCTAAGCATCGGTCAGTCATGGTTGATACGTGACAACAAAGGGAGACACTTGTACTTACCACCCGAGAAGCCACCTTGGCCGAGTCAACGACACCACCCCCAATCAACCCAGCGATGCGGGTGGACGACGCCACGGAGACGGAAAAGGGAATCTGGTACAGCAGCGTGATGATGGTGAAGATGGCGCTCTGCGCCGCCAGATAGTCGGTGCCAAAGCGACTGGACAGGAGGGTGATGAGCTCAAACGCGAACCACTCGGCGAGCACCATGACCATGCCCGGCAGGGCCAGGCGGACCATGATGCCCCAGTTGACAAAGGCCCTGCGGTCGAAGCCGCCCCAGCACTGGGAGCCGTTGACGAACCTGATGTAGAGCACGAGCAGCAGCGCGAGCAGGTTGCGCGAGACGACGACGCCAATCGGCGCCCCGACGAACCCGAGCCCGAGCCGCCACACCAGCAGCCAGTTGACAAAAACGTTGGTCGGCGCCACCACCAGGATGATGTACGACGTCTCCCGGAACAGGCCCTGCGCCTGCAGAATGCGCTTGCCCGTCTCAAACACAATGTACGACGGAATCGTCAGGATCATGATGCGCAGGTAGAGGCTCGCCAGCCGCGCCGTCTCCGCGTCCACGATGCGCACCAGGATCATCTCCGAGTTGAGCCACAGGACCGCCACCGGCACCGCCGCGCAGCACAGGAACCAGAAGCACCGCTGGCACTGCAGCCCCACGAGGTGCTTGCGCCCGTCGCCGTACGCCTGCGCGCACAGCGTGTCCAGGCTGGTGGCGAGGCCGATGAAGGGCGCGAGGCAGGTCATGGCCGCCGTCATGTTGGCCACTATGGAGATTTTAGCATGCGGTCGGCCCCGTCACATTGCCCCCCCCCCCCCCCCGTCCTCCGGCAAGCAGGACAAAGGAGGCTTGGCTTGCTCTACTCACAGGCTACCGCGCCCAGCTGCTGCTTGCCCAGCCGGCCGACGGCAAACACGCTCGTGGCGTTGATGGAAAACTGCAGGAAAAAGGTGACAATGAGGGGCGGCGAGCTCCGGAGCACCACCTTCATCTCGCGCGCCCAGCTGGCGTCGCCCACGGCGGGGAGGTCGTCCCAGTCGCGGCCGCCCTTTTTCTGCTCGCCCGTCTCGGGGTCGTCTCCGCCGCCGCGCCCCAGCAAAGCCGAGGACTCTGTCACGGGGAGGATGCCGCCCCCGGCCGCCTCATCGCCGACGTCGGCTGGGGACTCCGGTCCACGTGTCGGACTGCTCCCGCCGCTGCGGGGGTTGCAGCAGCCGCTCTCCCCGCGCTGCTGCCGTTCAGGAACCTGCGCGCCCATAAGTCACACAACTGGTTGCCAAAACGTGTGTTTTTTTTTTTTTTTTGCAAGGGGATATTTTGTGCCAGGAAAAAAAAAACCTACTCCGTTCCTGCGGTCCTGCGGATCGAAGCAGAGTGGAAACAAAGGTGATGGTGAGAGTGAGCGGAACGGCGGTATTGGAGGGGGACGCAAGAGCAAATTATTAATCTTCAGTATCTATATATTGCTAGGAAAAAAAAAATATGACGAGCTGGAGTGACACATCTTGGCCCGTCTGGGCCTCGCCGGCTGTTAAGTGGGCTGGCACCGCTAGGTCTGGCCCGCGATAGGACAGCCAGGGTCGATTTTTTCCATATCGGAAGCCGGTGACCGGGCCGGGGCGCCATCACAAGACATGACGCAGAGCCGTCTGAGCCAGTGGTCAAAGGGTGTGGTGCTGCAAGTGCGAGGCTGCAGAGACTAGGGGGCTCGTGCAGAGTCATGGTCAGGTGTTGAACTTTATTATACTCTGTGACTGTTGGCATCTCAGGCATGTTCGGAGTAGGCAGCGCTAGTTACATCTAGATGCCAGCCCGAGCCTTGCTGCAACCTGCGGGTTACGGAGGCGGTTGCCAGACACAGTCATCGAGACGTTGCTCGGCATTGTCACACCCTAGTTGAATCATCATGTTGCGTATGGAATCTCTACTGCATTGGATGGCAGTATTCCGTCAGCCCCGCGCGATGGCGGCAGCTTTCGAGCTAGCTTTCTACTGGTTCCTGGTGCAAAAGCCCGATTCTCGGAACGCGATCGGGCGCCCGTCTTAGTTCTGCTGTGCTACCCTGAAGCAGCCACATGAGGTTGCACGAGGCTCCCCTCTTCGCCAAAACCAGAAGAAAGTCCGAGTAGCTCATGTTGGCGGAAGTTACAGGCAGTGGATGAGGAGCAGCAGGTGACGATGGCCGCAAGCCAGCAGCTTGGTTTCGCTTCTATTTATACCGGCTGAAAAGGCCAATAATTCACATGCCACTGATTTCCGTCTTGAATATATTCAACGACAACTTGTGCTCTGCGTCTCATGCCAATGTAGCGACAATGTAGTATTGGATGTTTGGCCCTCCAAAAAGGATGATTCCGGGGAACAATGCGACAACCACCTGGGTCGGAAAACCCAACCAGATGCATCTGTGCACAAGGCTCATAGTCTGGCGCTCGACCTTAGCATCTAAGACGGCCCTGCCTATCAGGTGGACATGTTGTGTAAGGGTATTAAATAAGGCTCACAAGGGTGACTGGATGACGTCAGGCAGCTACCCTGCATTTTATTTCATTCTGCATCTATTAGTCTAGTTTCATTCTTTTAGTATGCTCTTGTCAAGTTCAAGGAACGGAGGTAGTGCGTCTAATTGCCACGAAAATGATAGGCAAGAGTCGAGAACGTCAATTACCCCAATTCCACTCTCGTTCCCCGCGGGTCCGCCGGGTCCGTGGCTGCGTCCCCAAATTACCACGTGTGGTGTCAACCGGCTCCGGCACGCGGCCAAGTCCGTGCGGAGATGCAGCACGATATAAGTAATATAACTAGTGGTAAAGTTGAATTAAAAAAACAAGCGTCCGCGAAACTAAATAGACTATATATATATATCTGTCCAGTCCTCACTGATGGAGAAAAGGGTAGCAGTTCACACTGCCATGCACAAACCCCGTCACCCGCATGCATAAGACGCTGCATGTCAGCCAGAACATCCCGAGACCCCGCAAAGCGTCCAGACCCTATTTAGACGCAATGCAGCGACTTGCAGCTGGTGTACTCCTCCTCCTCCTGGCCGGCGCTGCGTCCGCCGAGCTCGCCTGCAACTTCAACGTCAGCAGCGACTTTGCCGCGGCGCACGGCTGCGATGCGCAATGCCTCGCCGTGCTGCGGCACGCCAACGCCTACGACCACGCCCAAGTCGGGACCGATTTCGACTTTGCCTTTTACGCCACGGCCGGCAACTTCTCCGGCTCGCCGCCCGGCGCGCTGCTCAAGCTCGCGCCCGCGGACCCGGCGCCGCTCAGCGTGCGGCCCGGCACGACCGTGTTCCGCATGCAGTACACGTCGCTGGACCTGGACGGGACGACGCGCGTGCCGGCGACGGGCTTCGTCGCCTTCCCGTACGCGCCGCTGCGGTGCACGTACCCCGTCGTCGCCTTTGCGCACGGCACCGTCGGCGTGTACCCCGGGTGCGCGCCGTCCAGCGGGCCCGCGCTGTTCGACTACGACACCTGGCAGCCGCTGCTCGCGCGCGGCTACGCCGTCGTCGCCACCGACTACGCCGGCCTCGGCAACAACGCGACCCTGCACAAGTACTGCAGCTTCCCCGCCCAGGCCCACGACGTCTACTACGCCATGGTCGCCGCCCGCGCCGCCTTTGGCCACGTCCTGCGCCGGGAGTGGCTTGCCGTCGGCCACTCCCAGGGCGGGGGCGCCGTCTGGAAGCTGGCCGAGAGCGCCGCGCTGCTCGGCAGCGAAACGCGCCATTACCTGGGTACCGTGGCCCTGGCGCCTGCCACGCGCATCGTCGACATGGCCGTGGCTGGGTTCCTCGACTCCTCGGCGGGGTCTGGCGGCGACGATGCGGACACGGGCGGCGGCGGGTTCGCGAGCTACGCGCCGTCGCTCGCCATAGGACTCCAGCGGTACCAGCCGTCGTACAACCTGACGCTGCTGGGGCCGACGATGCGCCGGCGCATGGCCATTGCGGAGCGCGCGCAGACGTGCGCGACGGCGCTCGCCGGGCTGACGTTGGATCTGTCGCTGGACGAGGTCGTCAGTCTGGACGGCGCGGTCGACGACCTGGCGCTGATGCAGAAGTGGCAGAACGAGACGGCGCCGTCCGAGGGGCGGGCGTGGGCGCCGCTGCTAGTCGTGCAGGGCCTAAACGACACGAGTATCCTGCCGGCGACGACGAGGGACGCGGTCGAGAGGGCGTGTCGCGGCGGGAACGCGGTGCAGCTCAGCTTGTACCCGGGCGTGGAGCACTCGCCGTTGGTGGCGGCGTCGGCGCCGGAGTGGCTCAGCTGGATAGACGCGAGGTTCGCGGGGCAGCCGCTAGCTGGGAATTGCTCGACGGTGACGAGAGCGCCATTTGGCCATGGTGCGTACATGAAGTTGCCCCCGGAGGACGATCTGAAGGAGGAATACGGATTATAGGATGTATTGCTTTACGCTTCCTCATGTACCCTACAATCAGAAATCATTAGCCTAGGATATGATGCGTAGAGCGAACGACTGTAAATACATCCCTCGTGGGTACCGGGTTACAGTCAGCGTAAACAGGCTTGCAATTGTCTACCAAATTAGACTTATCTTCACGTCGACATAGACTGCTATTCAAAATTGTGAAGACGGCAGGGTACACCCTCGGGGTATCATGAATTATAGACAGAAACCTCAGGCCAGCCTAAGATGTTTTTGCAGTTCCCAGTTGACGTCGGCCAGAAATCCGTGACTATTGGACTGCGTGACGTAGCCATCAAAGCCGAAGTCATCTTGTCGTTGCCTCTTCCTTCCCCTTAGCAAGTCTTGCTCCACCTCCTCCTCCGACCGATACTCATCGTCGTTTACGCAGCCCTGCGTTTCGTCCCTGTTACGGGTTGGTCGCCGTCTCTTAGACGGATCGCCAGCGGGCGGCGCAGACTGCAACGCATCTCCGGAAGAGGGCGTCATGGGGAGGCTCGGCCGTCCGCTAAGCGGAGTGCTGCCTCCGCTAGACGGACTCACGAGGCTTATGGCCGAGCTGCTTCTGTTGATGGCGTCAAGCGATGATACAATGAAATTTGGGCGCTCGGCGGCCATGTTCTCGATGCAGCACATGTCGTAGTGGTGAGCGAGCGCACTACGGTCAACCCGTGGTGAGATTTGCGCCTTTCGTCCGTGATAGAGTTCAATATCCTCGAAGGGGACAAAGACCCGGATACGAAGCGTACTTGGGTGGATGGACAATAGGCGCGCATCAAAAAAGTCATGTATATGCTTCATGAGTAAAATAGCGTTGCCGGGACTCCACGTCTTCTCCCATGCCTGGCACAGCCGTTGCGCATTGTCCTGGATGGTATCGCTCTGGTCCCCCAAAGGGTACAAATGGTGGTGCTGCTGCGGCACAATGTGGCAGGCTTGGACGCCAGGGCCGATGAGCTGCAGCGGGCTCCAGGGCCGGCCGCCGCCCGATATGGCACAGCAGCTAGCCTGGGCGATGCAGGCCATGCGAAAATCATTCATGATCTTGCGAGCCGCGTCAATGTCGATGTCCATGTCGGCGGGGGCAATCATGTCATAATCGCCTTGGTTGTCGGGGCCGCCGGCTGCGTCGCCTGATTTGTTGGGAGAGGTTGAGCCGGAGCGCTTTGGCGGAGACTGGGAGCGCGCTTTGGCTTTGCGTCGAAGGGGCATCATGTTGAGACGAGGGTCGGTCGGAGATTTATTGTAAGGGAGGAAGGCGGGGTGTTGGCGACGGCGGGGTTCAGGGAGGCTGTAGACGCATTTGGCTGGGACCCTGTGAGCCTCTGAGAGGATGGATGGCATGACAACAGGACCAAGAATGACGAACCTCGTATATGGTCTTTTAAGGAACCAGCAATATTGCAAGGCTTGTGATGCACAATGTGGTAGGTGACGGTTCGCCGCCTCGTGGCGCTTTCCGAGGCTAGACCAGGGACCAGCTCGTCAAACCTCTCGCTTGTGATGAAGGATGGATAGTTTACCGGGGCATCTGCCTCGTCTGGCGTTTCCGCGAGCGCGAATGCAATGTCGAACCATGGCTTTTCGTTGATTGTGTCTTGATCTTGGTTGCTGTCGCTATTGGCGCTGGCGGCATTGACGGTGTTGGCAGTATTGACACTGTTGACACTGTTGACACTGTTGACACTGTTGATGTTATTGACGTTGTTGAGGCTGTTGACGTTGTCATTGTTGTCGGCGTTAAGTAGTTTTCCGCCGCCTGGATAGTCAAAACAGAGGGCCAGCTCATTGCACAAGTCGCCAAACGTCACGGTCGGCTCGCGCGGGTTCTGGTAGATACCCCCCAGATACTGTTTGTTGGCAATGGTGAGGATGACGTTCCACCCGCCGGCGCGCATCGGAGCCGTGACTGCACTCGTCATGTTGACGTTCTTCTGCTTGCGTTGAATGCCGAGAGATGGATCCTTTTCTGATAAAATATAATCTATATAAGGCGCGTCCGCACAGTGTGAGGGGTGTGTTTTGGGTGACTAAGCCAGGTGCCCCTGGTTGGCCGACCAACGGCGGCATGAACGTGTAAGGCGAAAGACAACAAGAAAAAAAAGGTGCTAAGAAGAAAAGAATGATTTTTTCGATGCTGCGATATAACCCGGGAGCACAAGTGCCGAAAATGTTAGCCATCAGCCGCGCCCTTCAGACGGGGCTATGTTGCGATAAACGAGCCGTAAGGCTGTGCATGTGGGATCCTTTACAGTAGCTGGTGTACGGTTCCGACTTAAAATTCAACCCTATTCTCTTCGCGGCGCCTTTTCTCGAGAATTCGACCGTTCCAGACTAATTAGCGACAGTCTGAGACTCAGCTGGCCTCAGTCGTGGTGAAGCGATGCTACGACAGCTCAGCCTGGTCTTACATGCCAATCGGCCTGCACCGAATCAAATCTCAACTCGAGTAGAATTTCCGTCTATAAATATGGGAACAGATCCGACTTCCATTGTGTTACTCCCGAATACAGACACCACCAGTTCCTCTTTTAAACACGACGTTATATAAAGATGAAATATTCAGCCACCTTGGCCGCGCTCGTTCCTTTGGCCGCTGCTGTCGGCAAAGTCCCCGACAAATTCAAACCTGGCGCAAGATGGCAGGTGGAAATCCAAAACCCGCTCATCGTGCCCAGCAGCTCGACCCAGAAGCTGGTTCCTGACGCGGATATTTGGGACATTGATCTGTGGCATGCCGACGCAAACCGGTCCATCATCCCTGCACTGCATGTAAGTGGTCCGGGGAGGCTCCCTTCCTTTCCAATGTACTGATGAATATACTGTGTCAGGCGCACGACAAGATTGTCATCTGCTACTTGAACCTCGGCGCCGTGCAGCCCGACGAGTGCGACTTCAACACCAGCTGGTACAAAGACGGCGGCAAGGACAACAAGTGGACCGGCCCCTGGTACTACGATGCCAACTACGACCCGGACAGCCCCGACAACGAGGGCAACCGGTACTGCGAGCGCTACGTCGACTTCACCGACACGCCCATCCGCGACCTCATGAAGGCGCGCCTGAAGACGGCGCGGGACCTGGGCTGCGACGGCGTGGACCCGGACAACATTGACATTTCAAGCATCACCTGGGGCAGCGGCGCCACGCCACCCACGCGCAAGCAAGTGTCCGCCGCGCTGGTCGACCTCGCCGCGTACGCGCACAGCATGACGAGCACGCGCGGCTTCCAGTTCCTCATCGGGCAGAAGAACGGCGCCGAGTACGCGGCAGATCTCGTCGGGCACTACGACTTTGCCGTCCTGGAGCGCTGTCTGGAAGCCGGCTTCTGCGGCAACTTCACCGGCTACCTGGCGGCGGGCAAGCCGGTCCTCGCCATTGAGTATCCGGCGTCGCTGGAGGACGCGGGCGACGGCACGAGCGGCTGCAATATGACGCGCGAGAGCCGGTGCGAGAGCGGCGACGCGGACTGTCCGTGTCGCGATATCGGGGGCGAGCCGTTTGCGAGGATGGACAGGGTCCTCAAGCTGGACTTTGACGATTTTGGACTGAATGGCTGCACGCAGTACTGCGACTCCAGGGTGGTGGTGACGCCCACGGACACGGACAACAAGGGAGTCTGCCGCTACGGGTTTGGGGGGAAATGCGGTGTTGATCCGGAAAGAGTGGCGAATCTTTGCTGTAAGAGTAAATAGTAGAGTAGGCAGCGTCGCCCAGTTCCAGCAGATCTTGACGGGCGAGTGTGTAGTCGCAGCGATGTCAGCGGGCTGGGAAGTGACGCCGCTACCCTGCACCACCATATAATAAAGCACGTCAATTATCAGGACAGTGGACTATCTGTTTTCTGCCGCTGCCAGAAAGTACCGTATCTACTCACGATGAGGCCAATGATCCCTATTAGAGCATGTGGCTCTTGTTTTGTCTTTGTAGCCTGTTTCCAACACAGCTTCCACCCGGTTATGTCTTGGGTTGGGTTCTGATGGTGATGGTGAGGGGTACACGCTGGGCACGCTGGGCTACCTGTGCGGAGCAAATCAAGCCACAGCTGTGCCTGGATATCAGCCACAGTCTGGACGGCTAATCTGCGCCACGCCGCACCCTATTTTGGGCATTTTTAGAGAGCGTGGGAATGACTCGACGACGATGAACTCAATTTTGCCACTCGTCTAGAGCTCTGCTGCGTGTGCCTACTGACTTTTACAGCATACTGCATAGCCCTCGGGCTTTATAGCGATGGTACGGATTACAGTAGTATCAGCACAATGTATTATTACTACTGCCCTGGCTACCCGGTGGATCGTATTATGGCCATGCCTGCGAGAAATCGCCGATGGACCGAGACCAGGTCTCACTCTTGTGTTTGGGACTCTGTCGCTAATAATAATAACTAAGCAACTTGTCCATGTTGCTCACAGCTTTATTCCTATCTGCCATTTGGTCGGCCTTTATCCCGCCCCTGCGGCGTTATATACGCCACCTAATACTATCAAGCCCTTCCGCGAGTAAGCTGATTACTGATTAGCAAATTGCAGCGCAGCCCAATCAGTTTCGCCGCCCAGAAACCTTGCACTAGTTAATTATCAGCCACTCCAAGTCACGTTTTTCGTCAACGACTGGCGGGGGGGGGCGCGCCGCCAGAATGTCTCAGCTTTAAAGGTTTCTCTCGTCAGATTTCTCAGTTCTCAAGCTTGACGAAAAACCGACAAAGTGAAAGTGATTTATCGATGTAACAGTTTATCCTGTTGTTTCGCTTTCCCGCGATCATCGCACCTTTTTTCTCGCCCCCCCCCCCTCGTCCCGGACAATGAGCGACGACCGCTGGAGCAAGGACGGCGCCGCCTCGCCGACCGCCGACGGGTACCTCGTGCAGCACCCGCCCGTCTTTGAGCAGCAGCCGCCGCCGGCGCGCATCCAGCGCTTCCTCCAGGGCTTCCGGCGCGACCCGCAGTCCGAGTTTTACTCGCGCGACCGAGGGGACGTCGGCGTCGGCGTCGGGCCGCACTACGACCTGCGCAGCGCGACTGTGGACAATGCGCACTCGGGCGGCCTGATGCGCAGCCTCAAGGGGCGCCATCTCCAGATGATTGCCATTGGCGGGTCCGTCGGTACGTTGTACTCGAGTGTTTTTTTTTTTTCCGTCATGGGAGATTTTTGGGAAGCTGACCAGCGCAGGAGCCGGATTGTTCGTGGCGAGCGGCAAAGCCCTGGCCGTCGGCGGCCCGGCATCGCTGCTGCTGGCGTTTTCCGTCGTCGGCATCATGCTGTTCTTCACGTGCCAGGCGCTCGGCGAGCTGGCCGTCGTGTTTCCGATTGCCGGCTCCTTTTCCTCGTGGTCGACGCGCTTTCTGGACCCTTCGTGGGGATTTGCCATGGGCTGGAAGTAAGTTGCCCGGACCGACGACACATGATGAACGGGCCAAATGACTAACTGAATCCTTTTTTGCGCCAGCTATGCCATACAGTGGCTCTCCGTGCTGCCGTTGGAAATCATCGCCGCGTCCCTCACCATTGAGTACTGGAACGATTCCGTCCCGCGCAGCGTCTTTGTGACGGGCTTCCTGCTCGTCATCCTCACCATCAACATGTTTGGCGTCAAGGGCTACGGCGAGGCAGAATACGTCTTTTCCATGATCAAAGTCGTTGCCATTCTCGGCTTCATGTACGTCTCCCCCCCCCCAGCAATCTACCACCGGCCCCCCCGCTGAACCAGAGACAGACTCCTCGCCATCGTCCTCAACCTCGGCGGCACGCCCGACGGCGGCTACATTGGCGGCCAGTACTGGCACGACCCGGGCGCCCTGCACAACGGCTTCAAGGGCATCTGCAGCGTCTTCACCACGGCCGCGTTTGCCTTTGCCGGCACGGAGCTCGTCGGGCTCGCGGCGGCCGAGACGGCCGCGCCGCGCAAGTCGCTGCCGACGGCCATCAAGCAAGTCTTTTGGCGCATCACGCTCTTCTACGTCGTCGCGCTGACGCTCGTGGGCTTGCTGGTGCCGTACGACAGCCCGCGGCTCTTTGGCGGCACCAACCCCGTCGACGCCAGCGCCTCGCCGTTTGTCATCGCCATCGAGGACGCCGGCATCCAGATCCTGCCGTCCGTCATGAACGCCGTCATCCTCATCGCCATCCTGTCCGTCGGCAACTCGGCCGTCTTCGGCTCGACTCGCACGCTCGCCGCCATGGCCAACCTGCGCCAGGCCCCGCGCGCCCTCGGCTACGTCGACCGCAAGGGCCGCCCGCTCGTCGCCATCGGTCTCGCCGCCCTCGTCGGCGCCCTCGCGTACCTCGCCGACCTCGACCAGCAGCAGGTCGTGCTCGAGTGGCTGCTTACCGCCTCGGGCCTCTCCTCCGTCTTCACATGGGGCTCCATCTGCCTCTGCCACATCCGCTTCCGCCGCGCCTGGGCCGCGCGTGGTCACGACCCGCGCGACCTCCCGTTTCGCGCCCAGTTTGGTGTCGCCGGCTCGTATTTCGGGCTCGCCCTCAACTGCATCGTCATCGCCACGCAGTTTTGGGTCGGCGTTGCGCCCGTCAACTCGCAGCACATGACGGCAAGGGATATCGCGCAAAACTTCTTCCTTAAGTGGATGGGCGCGCCTGTCGTCCTTGTCTTTTTTCTGGGCCACAAGTTGTATTATAGGACGGGCTATGTCAGGATCGACGACTTGGATATCGATTCTGGGAGGCGCCAGTTTAACCTGCCGATTCTAATGGCGCAGGAAAAGGAGGAGAGGGATAGTTGGCCGCGATGGAAGTCGTTTTACAAGCTGATATGTTGATGGGAGAATGAAGAGCACATGGATCATGTCATGATGTCATGTATCCTTTCGCCTAGATGACTTGGCATGTTGTTTATTGAAAAGCGGCGCATATCGACGTATTGTCTAATAGCCCACATATGATTGAATGTACATATATACCATGCCGGCCGTTCTGCTCGTTCTCTCGATACAATGAAAACACCTCATGATAAAAACGCACTCGCCTCTTCCCAGTGCCACCCAGTGTACAGCTCAAATCCCACCGTGTAATCCCCGGGACTCTTTTCCACCACTTTAATCGTAATGACCCTTTTTTCGCGCGGTATATCGGCACACGTTACAGGATGGACAAGGCCCTGCTGCTCCATCGCCACGACGCGCATCACGGTGCCCAGCACCATCCTGCTGCTCCAGATGCCCTCCTGGCGGCTCTGCGACGCCAGCAGCTGAATCGCGCGCGCGCGCAGCTCCCCATCGCGGCACTTTTGCACCAGCCCGTACACGACGGGCACCGGGCCCGAGTTCATGTGAAACCGGGGCTGGCAGCCGTCATCGTCGTCGTCGTCATCATCCCGCGCCATGGCAATTTCCGCGAGGGCGAGAATCTCGACAAACGTCGGGCGGTGCGCGTCCCACAGCATGGGGTCGACGGGCCCGCGCACGACATTGACGGACAGCTCGGCGGCAAAGTACAGGCGGCGCAGCGCGAGGAGGGCCAGGGCGCGCCGCTCGGCGGGCGAGACGAGGTGGTCCGGCAGGCCGCGCCGCAGGGCGTCAAAGGCGAGCGTCCACGCGGCCAGGTTGGCGCGCGCCGTCTCGATGGCGCCCTCGTCGTACCGGTCAAAGTGCAGGCGGATGCTGTTGAGCACGGACTGCGCCTCGGTGGTGGTGTGGAAGCGGTAGCCACGCGGGCCGGGGCCGTGGCCGCTCTCGATGATGTTGGCGGCGATGGCGTTGATTCCGGGGTCGAGGTTGTTGATGAGCTACGAGCCGTTAGAAAGGGATGGAGGCAGATACCGATCCTCACGTACAATGTATATTTGGCAGACCACTTGGCTGAGAAAGTTGCGGGCGAGGGCAAAGAGCTTGCGCCTGTCTGACGCGTCCGGGGCGGGTGGCCGGAATGTTGCATACAGGGCATCTTCCGCCTGCAATATCCGATACCCCAACGTAGCTAGTCTCACCACCGGCACAATCTGCCCGCGAAGTGTCTGTTGCGACTTTTGTCAGTCCAAAGCACTCCATTCACGGGAACACGTTTGAATACCTCGACGCAGATGAAGAGTATGCACGACGCCAGCTGTACGTGGGCGCTCTGCGAGCTCCTGTCCATGCTCAGCACGTGCTGGATGGACGAATTGTACTGGTTGAGCGCAAAGCAGTCCTCGGCCTGGCGCCGGGGCATGCGCTGGGTGGAAAAGAGCTCATGGTAGGACGACAGGGCGATGAGGGAGTGCCAGATGCTCGTCTCCGTGTTGGCAATCTTGAGCACATACGAGGTCCAGAAGTCGTCAGGGAAGAAAGTGCACAGCTGCTTGAGCGTCTTTTCGTGAAAGTACTGAAAGGATCGCCATTCCTGGCCCGAGTACTGCGCGGGCGAGAGGGGCACCGGCGGCGAGGGGGTGGCGGCGACAACGGCGGCGTAGCCGTCGCATGTGCGGCCGGTGGATGTGCCTAGATGGTTGTGAGTACTGCATTCTCGGAGATTTTGGTTTGGCAATGCATCGGCACATACATCTGTGACAAGCCGGGCGGTCCTCGTCACACTTGACGCGGCGGACTAGAGCAGGTCAGCAACGTTGCCGCATGGGCATCAGTGGCTGGCCTTGGCTGGCTCATCATACGATGTGCGATGCCAATCTGCCTTGTACGAAATGTAAATTCTTACTTCTGAGGGTATAGTTTGTTAGCACCGTTTCGTGGTACCCGATAGCCTCTCCCTCAGAGGGGCTCGTTACTTACTTGCAAGTGCGGCAGCCCGTGCGAACCTTGGGTGCCTTAGCGCGGCGCCGCTGGCCGACCTTGACATGCGTCATGAGGAAGCCACGGTGGCGGTGATTCTATACGCGTCGACAGGAGACGGAGCAGTCGATGAAGCGCGGCCGATGAGGACGAATGACGAGGCAGGCATGGCTGTCAATAAAATGTGCTCCTCGGGCGCCGGCGGGCTTGTTGTCTAGCAGACTCCACCCCCCACTAGACCTGGGGTAAACTGGGATTTTATTTTTTTCACGTGGCGACTGAAGCTTGATGATGCTGCATCGCGAGGTGCCTGTAGATGGGACGAAACGCGCGAGGGTTGTCTTGGGTGGGTGAGGCAAGACAACGGACGGCTGTTGTCAAGGCTCAGCTTTGAGACTGGTGAATGTTCCAGCAAGCGGCAGGCCTGCTAGGCTTGAGTACAGGATACGGGGCGCATTTTTACCAATTACGATTTGCTCGTGGTTGTGTAGTCTACATAGGCAATCTGGCGGCAACGAGACAGTTAACTGAGTGCGCTCGCAACATACATGTTCCTTCAACAGGCGAGCTGTCTATAGCGAGGCCTCAATTATATGACGGCCCAATTCCTATGCGGGCGGAGCTTATCGGCCGTCGGTCCCGCCCATCATCAATTCGTTGGCACTCTGGGACTGTGACATATTGCCGGCTCTCATTTGACGAAAACACCTATTGTACTTGACACTTTCTGAGCATCAGACGAATCATTTGTGCAACAACTCGGCCGTCATTGGCTGTCCAACTAACTACACATGCGCATGGTTCAGCGACAGCCTGCCAGGCACAACCGCCGTCTACGCGTTGTTTGAAAAACGCATGTGATTGTGCTCCTGGAAGCTCTGGGGATATTGGAGGCGGGAGTGGGGCGGGTCTGTTGAGGAGCAATTGCTGCCTCTATTTGCTTTGCAAATAGAGGTTAATAATTACGTAGCTTACTGATTAGCCTGTGATGAAGAATAAATATAATGGGTTCGGGTTCTCGTATTGTGTCTGTCGTGTCAACCGTCATGGCGCAGAGCCTTGCGGAGTGGCGCTGTGCCGGGGTCGCTGGTTGGGCCGGCCCCGAGTTTTGGCTCCAATGGGCTGCGCAGGAATTCGTAACCTTTTGAGGACACACATATGTACAAGGCTATTCTTCTCATGCCACTTTCTTTCCAGAAAAGGAGTATTCACAGGCCACGGCATCAATATCCGATGTCGCGGGCAGGTTCACATACAACCCCTCCGTCTCGTCGGCTTTGGTGGTAGCTGCAGCGCGCTGTTCTTTCACTGTAAAAGCAGCAAAACCATTGTAAAAGCATCAATATAGGCTGTACCCCTGAAAGTCCCGAAACGCCCTGTAATGCCCTGTAGAACAGATCTGAGTTTAATCGCCCCCCGCTCACCCAACCGGGTTAGCGCATCGGCTCCCTGGCAAGTTCCAACACTTCCCCAAGCCGAAAGCAATCTCCAAGCCGAGGATCAAAGCAAACGCGCCCCTCCAAGTCTCGGGCTGTCGTCTGCGTATATAAATCTTCTCATGCCTTCTCTCTCCATTGATAATTAAATTTCCTCTCATTTCACTCCCGCCAATCCCAATAACCTCGTCCGGCAACCTCGATCCCCTTCCTTGTCGCACTCTCACGTCCCCGCAACCACCATCCATACAGCCGAGAGCTACTAGCCGCGACCAACCAAACACTCCAACCATGACCCTCATCCACTACCTCGAGTCGTCGCCGGTGCAGGCCGTCGGCGCCCTCGCGCGGCTCCTCACGAGCCCCGTCGTCACCGGCGCCGCCCTGCTCGCCTTCACGCAGTCCCCGCCGGACGTGCAGGCCGAAGTCGTGCGGCGGCTGGCCTTTCTCGGCGAGCACGCCGCCAAGCCCGAGACGATTGAGCTGGCCCTCAAGGTCGTCTTTGGCTGGGGCCTGGTCAAGAGCGCCAACGCGGCGCTCAACGCGGCCGCCGCCAACGGCTGGCGCTTCACCGCCGCCGCCGGCTGGGACTGGCCGAGCGAGGTCGCCGTCGTCACCGGCGGCTGCAGCGGCATCGGCCGCAACGTGGTCGAGCAGCTGACGGCGCGCGGCGTGCGGTGCGCCATCCTCGACGTGCAGCCGCTGCCCAAGGCGCTCGAGGGCCACCGCCACGTCCGGTACTACCGCTGCGACGTGACCGACCCGGCGTCGGTGACAGAGGCCGCCGACGCCGTCCGCGCCGAGCTCGGCCACCCGTCCATCCTCGTCAACAACGCCGGCATCACCGTCCCCAAGAGCATCCTCGAGATCCCCCCCGCCACGCTCAACAAGGTCTTTGCCGTCAACACCATCTCGCACTGGTACCTCGTCCAGGCCTTTGTGCCGCACATGGTCGAGGTCAACAAGGGCCACGTCGTCACCGTCGCCAGCATGGCCTCGTTTGTCGCCCTCGCAAAGGGCGCCGACTACTCGGCCACAAAGGCCGCCGCCCTCGCCTTCCACGAGTCGCTCAACTCGGAGCTGCGCAACACCCACGGCACCACCGGCGTCCTCACCACCGTCGTCCACCCCAACTTTGTCGCCACCCCGCTCGTCGCCAAGTTTAGCCACGAGCTCGAAAAGGGCGGCATCCGCCTGCTCACGAGCGACGACGTCGCCCGCCAGCTCACCGACCAGGTCTTTGCCCGCAGGGGCGCCCAGATTGTCTGCCCCCCGAGACTCCAGTTCATCACGGGCTTCCGCTCCCTGCCGGCCTGGATCCAGTTTCCTGTCCGCAACATGATTGCCAACAGCTCCAAGAATATTTAGACTAGATACCCATTTTTTTCTTTCTTGTATAGCTGGGCTCGGTTTTGTAAAATAGATGGTTCATGACAATAAAGATTTCTAGATGCTCTACTCTGCCAGCTTTGTGTCTGTAAGATTTATGGTCAACTGCAAAGCAATACTCGACACAGAGTCCCGCGCATCCTTTTGCCCGCCGTCGGTGTCGGTGCGCCGCCAAAATCGACCTGGTTACCTTGGTGCAATGAAATACAGAACAAATCACCAAAAGGAATATGCAGTAAAGACATTACAAAGCCAACGAAACAAAAAGTTTGGATCTCCGATGCGGGGAATTGAACCCCGGCCACTGCGGCACTCAAGGGTGAACATGAAAGCGCAGGATCCTAACCACTAGACGACATCGGACTTCGCCTTATGATGGGATGCCCGACGGCCGGTTATTTTGTCACATGCGTCTTGAAAACCTTCCAGTGGCTCAAAGCTTCCGCACTCGTCCTTTATAATACCACGACATTCAAATATAGCTTCCAGTAACACAAATTCCTTTCCTAAGAGCTGCTAGTTAAAAATGTGGCGTAGTAACAACATTGCGAATTCCAAGAGCGCTGATCCGTCCCAGATCAAGTCCGAGAAGTAGCAAATTGATTTATACCGAACCCTTCCCGAACCATGACTAACTACTGTACAGAACTTTGTTGTATTTTGCTCATTTTATCTTCGCTTCGTCTTCCCTTTCAAAACTGATATCCCTCTGCCTTCATCCAAATTGCTGCCCCCACGTCTCTTATATTGAGAAAACACAAGAAAAGGATCAACCACCAACACCCCTCCGAAGTTACCTGCTCTACCGCTTCTTCGTCGCAGGGCGGGGCTTGCACTCGTCATTGTTGACGGGGTGCAGCATGACCTTGATGGGCAGGTTTTGCGTGTTATGCTGGTAGCCCTTGCTCCAGTCGTAGCCAACCGAGTAGGCAAAGATGGTGCCGCCCTTGTTGAATGTGGTCGCGGTGATGCTACCACCGACGTTGGGATAGCCCTTAAGGCGGTGCTTAGCGTCCTTGTCCCAGAAGTGGAATGTGCCGTCCGAACCGGCGGTGCTGAAAGTGCCATGCACGGGGTGGAAGGAGATGGCGTTGACCGCGTGGACGGCGACGGTGTTGTTGACCGCGGCGTCACGGTGGCACTTGAAGGAGAAGTTTAATCTACACAAGTTAGCAGGCCCATTACGCGAACTAGGAGCCGATGGGGGTAACGTACGTGGAATCTCGTTCCTCAACGTATTGAATCGCGCAGCGCCCCTCAATGCTGCCAATAGCAAAGCCGGCAGCGTCGGTGAAGCAGCTAACTACCCTAGTCTGCCATTTGAGCGGGCTCTGGATCGTCTTGTAGATCTTGGTCGGTTCTTTAAGGTTGATAATGTTGATGTAGCGGTCGGCGGTGCCCACAACGCACAGGTTGTCACGCACGTCGGCCGTGTAGACGCGCTCCTGGCACTGCACCGTGGCCGCGGCGCCTTGCTGGCGCAGGTCCCAGTATTTGACAGTCTTGTCCCACGAGCCCGTCACCACCATGGGCGTGCCACTGCTGTCGAAGAAGCGGCACGAGCGCACCGGCTGGTCGTGTGTGCCAATGACAATGTCCTGTTGCGAAGCGAGGTCGCAGACCTTGACGTTCTTGTCGGCCGATGCGGACACGACTTTGGTTCCATCCTGCGCATTAAACCAGCGTGGTCAGTCGTTTTATTCTTTCCTTGTACTATTTTATTCTTGTTCGCCGCGGCGCCACTCACCTTGGAAAAGTCGCAGTCAAAGACGGCCTGGGTATGCTCGAACGCGTGGCGGCCCTGGCTCTGGCCGTTTTGGGCAATTTCGTAGATGCGGACCTTGTTATCCCAGCTGGAGATGGCCAGAAAGTCCTGCTGGCTCTGGCCCGGCGAAAAGGACAGCGCCGTGATGGTGTCGGTCGGGGGGTCGCTCAGCGCCACATCGGACTTCAGGTCACCGAGCGCGTTAGACGTCGAGGAAGCCGCTGACGTCGCCGTTCCAAAGAGGCCAGACATGGTGAGGTTGGCGGGATCGCGCCGTGATGGAAACGGGTGGCGGCTGGTCGTTTATGTCGAGGTGTCCGAGGAACGCGTGCTCGAACCAGCTTTGTGTTCTCGCGCCAGCGCTCTCCTCGCCCGCGGGAAGAGAAGTGGATATTTTTATAGCTGGATCTCTCCCTGCGACTGATCGTAGGAGCAAAGCTAGGCAGACGAGGCAGTTGGCGTTGATGCAAGGCTCAGGCAGCAGTAACAGGTAGGCAGGCAATGTTGGCTGAGTGTGTGTCTGGCAGAAGGCCCAGTGCAGCAAGCTCCCCTGCAACTGCATTCACCAAGCCAATCTGCGCGTCACCGCCTCCGCGCAACCCCACAATAGCACCTGGCAGAAAACCAAAGCTCTAAATTTTTCTGCACCCAATTTTCTTTTCCCTCTTTTTCTTCTTCTCTTCATCTCCCCTTCGCTCAACAGATCGCTGTCGAAGCTTACACACAGAAATGTTTCGCTCGAAGCATTTCTTCCTCTAGCTTTGGGAGAAAGTCCCCGGACACCTTTTCTTTCCCTCGCGGAAAGGAGAGAATGCGGAAACGCGCCGCCATAAAAGCACTGCGGCTGACTTCGGTGCCTTGGCCACCTCTGGCAACGACCATGCCCGGCCTTCCGCTACATTCGCTCTGCCTCGAAGCCAATGTGTCTCCTCGGCTTCCACAGCCGCCGCCCGAACCATCAGGACGAAGATATGAGTCCGAGTCGGGTGCGGCGTCGGGACCGAACGTGCGCTTGGCAGAAAGCAGGCGGATGGTAGGTTGACGCTTATGGCCTTGCTGTTGTGGTTGCGGGCGCAGAGGATATTTGTCGAGATCGATAGTTATGCGATTGCCGGGCTTCACGTCTTGGTTACTCGATGGGGCTCATTCTTGAGGCGAAGGGGGTTCCGAGCTACGCTCCGTTTGGACTGTGCTCGTATTTTGTTGATGCTTCAGGCATTGATCCCAAACCTCTTTTACATGCTGGAATTTCACTGGAAGTTTCTTGGGAGTTTTGCCAGGCGGAGACGATTCAAGCTCATATGATGATCACCAATATAGAGTCAAGCACCGAGCCCGTAACACGGCAATGTGGACCATATATATTTCGAACTGATAGCTTGGATCATCTGCCTATTTTTCTTTCTCGACGTTTCTCTATTCCCCCTCTCGTCATTTCCTCGCTTTTCTTGTTGCCGACCCAATCTCGTTTTTAATGTTACCATTGTCCCATATCCCTACATCTGCCACTGCCCTTCGTAGATTCAATCCTGTCACCCTTAGGTACTCGGACGTGCGTGTCGTCCTCCAATTCTTCCAGAGCTATCACCCTCTTCCCGGCACCAGTAAATATTAACAATTGTGTAAGAATCTGCCATGAGATGAATGGCTGGGTTCCGATTCAAGTCTTATTTACTTTGACGAAACGCACATTGCTCAGCAATATTATTTTCGCGAGTGTACTCTACACACCCTGGTCTGTCCAGACTCAATACGCGGGTGCAGTAATTTGTATTAGACGTCTGCTTGCTCCCCTATTAAGGGTTCCACCCCGCATGCACATGCATCTCGACAAGACTCACAAATCTCGAACACGTATCACCGAAAGTGGTTGAAGTAGCAACCTGGGGATGAGACAGCGGATCTTGCGGTCCGTTTATTCTGTCTCGTCGTCGTCTGAACTCGGCCCCCCCAATCGTGAGGTCTCCGTTGATAGGGGACTTACCTCACGAACCTCTCTCTACATGATCCCAATCGTGAATCCGACCTCGAAATACATGCGCTCTGGCAGTTGCCCAAGTAAATCCTCATGTCTGAGGACACCGTCGTCCTCGTACTCCAAGGGTGTGCCACGACAAAAATGGTCGCGGCGAACTACAGCACCATCACATCGTGTCAAAATCCCAGCCTGTGAAGCAAGCCGGTCCTCGATCTGGTCGCCAAGATCCTCTTTTCGCTGGTGGGTGACCGGACGTGCGTCCTTGTCGACGGTGTCAGCGAGGGGGGAGGCGGCGTGCAACGTTCTGTTGTGATCGATAAGGTGAAAGGAGGAACGCCTCGTCATATGATGGTGGTCTGTGAGGCCATGTACGGAGTAGGCTTCCCCGATTGACATCCATGTCAGTCCCCATCGACTATTTTATCTAGACTGCTGGATCCTTGCGGAGCTGGGGAGGCAAGGGAGCTGCAGTTGACTGACTAGTAATTATTACAGGACATTCGTAGATGATTGAGAGAAACAGTACAACTCATTGAGGACACACGGGGAGAGAAAATAATCCCGGTCGGGACTCGTATTTCAGCTGACGGCTCTATAGCTCGGCAACCCCATTATCAACTGCTCATAAATGAAGCGACGTCGTTTGATCTTCACATGGCAAGGCGGCCCTGTCATTTTAGTAAGTTAGCGACGCCGCTACTGGAGGCGGCCACGAACCATGAAACCAGACTAGGGGCTGCCAAACTTGCCCAGTTCACGAGATGGCGCTGCCGCTTTTTACGTCTGAATCAGTTATTTAGTTAGCATTGGGCTGAATATAGGAATATAGGGGCTTTTTGTCTTGGTTGTCCCCCACAATTACTGACGCCTCTGCACGGATGCCGTCTTCCCTGTTCTTATTATTAACGAGCATTGGAAATCGCTCTGGGGTATTTTAGTACAACAGCGGCTCGTCCCTCCCTTTTCGTCGAATCTTTGATCCTGTCAAACGTTCGCGAACTTGGCCCAGAGCGCAGGTTGGTTGCTGCGTTGTCTTGGCTGTCCATTGGACTTACACCGATCATCACAGCCACAACATCGACTTCTATCAGCACCGAAAAAACACTAATATTGGCTGCGGAACAACAACAACCAATGATTAGTTTCCAATACCAGATCCCGTCGAAATAGAAAACAACATAATCGTCGACATGCGCGTCCTCCTCCTCCTCCTCGCCATCGCCACGGCCGTCCTCGCCGAACTCAACCTCACAGCCATCACCGCACAGGTCCCGCCGTGCGCCATCCAGTGCGCCGTGGCCGGCCCGGGCCAGGCCGGCTGCGGACTGCTCGACAGCGAGTGCATCTGCGCGCGGCTGCCCAACATCTCGGCGCTCGGCGCGCCGTGCATGGTCCAGGCCGGGTGCAAGATTGACGACATAATGAGTTGCGTTGTTTGTTTGCTACTGTGAGGGAGAGCCGCGGCAGCTAACGTCTTTTAGAAACCGGCAGCATTATTGTAGGGGAGTGCGAAAAGGAATACGCGCGGACGCACAATGGCAGTATAGAAGGCATGTATGCCCTGCCAAACGACGCGGGCACGCCCAAGACGGGCGGCGCGGTGGCGGGCTTGTACGGCGCTGGATGGGCCGTCATGTCTGCCGTGTGCTTCACAGCCACGGCATTATGGCTATAGCCTCCAGTGCAACGAACGAACCGAGGTCCTTCCATTGTTGGGGCTTTCGAGCAGGGGCCGGACATGCTTCTAGGCGTGCGTCTGTTGTGCCTGCTGTTAGAGTTGGATGAGAAACCTCGCGATGAATTCATCTTCTTGTACATATTAAAAGCGGCCGACAGGTTGTTCTACCAGTCGCCTTGTTCTATAAATAATAAAGTCTACATGACCCATTCGGCGCATGCCCCATTCTCTTTCCCCTGCCCATTCTAATACACAGCAATGGCACCGTTGGTGCCGCCATCAAACGTACCATGCAGCGACTCCAGTTCCTGCACATGATGCGCCGTCTCCATGCCCTGACGGCGCGACGCCTCTACGCGCTGCCACGTCCACTCGCCGTCGGCGTCGAGGTCCACGTGGCTCAGATCGACCGCCTCGTCACCGAGCTGGTTCTCGCCGCTCACCCAGCCGCCCGGGCGCGCTGGCAGCAGCCCGCTCGCCTCGAGCACGACGGCCGGGTGGACGGTCAGGCGGCCGAGCTTGAAGACGTACTTGCTGATGGCGGTGGCGTGCATCTTGGCCTCCCAGCCGCCCGAGGCGTCGGTGCCGCGGCGCACGCGATAGCCCGCAAAGCCCGGGTCGAGCCACTCGGTCGGGCGCGCGGCGCCCGTCGGCACAAAGTGCGTCACAATGTACGCCCACTTGCGGTCCCAGCAGAGGACGCGGCTCCACATCTCGTACGAGCGGTACGCGCCAATCTCGCGCTTGAAGCTGCACGAGACGGAGCCGAGCATGATGCCGAGGCTGCCGCGCGCGGGCCGCCCCGTCTGGGGGTCCGGCACGATGCGGAACCGCGGGTTGGACGCGAGCTTGGCGAGGCCGCCGCGGCACAGGTACGAGACGAGCTGCGTGCGGGACGCGTCGAGGTCCGCAAAGTAGGTCGAGTTGGACTTGTGCAGGTTGTAGTCGATCTCGAGGAGCGGCGCGCGCGTGCGCGTGATGATGTGCCGGTAGAGGGCGCGGGGGCCGAGCGACGGCGCGGGACGGATGACGTTGTGGTGTATGATGGGGTAGAAGATGCGGTACTGGGCAAGGGTCAGCGGGGGGGGCGGTTGTGGTAGGGGTCGATGTGTGTGGGTGTGCTTACCGTCCAGACAAAGGGCATGTTCTTCATGTTGAAGAGCACAAAGACGAGCAGCAGGATGCGCGAGGTCCGCCCGGGGCCCGTGGCAAAGGCGCGGAGGGCCGTCTTCCAGTCGACGCGCGAGGCAGCGTAGCCCGCAGATCCCAGGACCAGCGGCACGCCGACGCGCACCATGACCTTGAACGACATGGCGTCTGTCTTGGGGGCGCCCTTCAAGGCAAGGCGAGGAGGATGTTGCTACCCGGCGCGAGGACCTTGGACGGAGGTGGCGGGCGGAGAAGGCGTCGAGCGATGGCGCCGCGCAGGGACACGAGCAGGAGGAGCACCAGGGCGGCGGTCCAGAGGAGCAGCGTTCGGGAGAGGCAGAGGATGGTTGTCGCAGCACACTGGCGCATTCAGGAAGATGACAAAATAATAATAAGTCACAGAAAGCAACAAAGGCGCGAGAAAGAGCTGGATGGCGTTTTAGCGTCAGGGACCCTCGAGAGGGCCGATGGACTAAAAAATTGTCCGTGCCTGGGCCGAGGTCCTTGCCTCTTTCCAGCGGCCCGCTCTGGGATTTCCCGTCGCAACGTGGGCGACGGCTTGAATTTTGTTGGGATGAGTCAGTTTGCCAGGTCAGAACCGGGGATTTGTTCATTCCCGAGTCCAGCCATGGGACGACAAATTGGCATTTTCTGTATGACGCAAAATTCAGAATGATGCCGTTGTGCGTGGCTTTGGTATCCCTGACTCGTCCGTGTTCCACGACAGACACCCAGCATAACGGCACCATCCCCTCATCTACGGCGCCTCTCCCGCTCTTTCATCGCATCCAAGACGAAAGGATTTGGCTACCTATGCAAATGTTTTGCTGGCCACTCGGGTTTCGGGGTAATGCATCGTGGGCCTGATTATGGGGTCACACCGGTGACGGAGCTGTATCTGCCTTGAAGCGAGACATTGAACGCCCATTGACCAATGTGCTTACGGAGTAGATTTGGGCACTACACTACTTTTTGTATACAGCTGGTCGTGCTGGCGAGCTTCCTCAACGGCACAGTTAAAATGCCAAGTGAAGCGCACGCTGACCAGCCAGACAAAGTCCCCTGTATCTAGGCATTTGTTAAATTTCCCCTCTATATCAACGCCAGTCCACCTTCGAATTACATTTCGCCTCTTGTCCCCCATCATGACCGAATCACTTCGGTGCCCCTTGCCGGCTCCAGCACCATCCAGCGGCACTCGAGCTCCTTGTTCTCATTATGAAACTTGAGCTTCTCGATAATCGTGTTGGCAATCTCCTCAAAGTTGGACGTGGCCAGCGCGAGGATGGTCGGCCCCGCGCCCGACAGGCACACGCCGAGGAAGCCCGGCTGCGTCCTGGGCGACATGGACTCGACGACCTCGGTGAGGCCCGGGATGAGCGTCTGGCGGTACGGCTGGTGGATGCGGTCCTGCATCGCGAGGTGGATGAGCTCCGGGTCGGGCGGCGACTGGCCCAGCGCGACGGGCAGCAGGGCGATGCGCTGCAGGTTAAATGTCTTGGTTATGTTGTTAGCTAACGAGTCCACTTTTGCTTCTCTGAAGGAAGAGCCTGGGTGAAAGGACTTACCACGTCCGCGCGGGCATACTTTTCCGGTAGCACCGCGCGCGCCTCCGCCGTGGGCACGACGAACTCGGGCACAATGGCCACGGCCTTGATCTCCTTGTTCCAGGGAAACTCGATGCGGTGGCCGATGCCGACCGGCGGCTCCGGCGGCCTCTTGCCAGTGTCGACGCCGCCGGCCGGCGACGGCAATACCTCGCTGAGCGGGACCTCGATGCGGGAGGCGTCTTCCGGCTTGAGCGGCATGAGGTACGTTCCGACAAAGCCGCCAAACAGCGCCGCGCCTACATTATCCGGATGTCTCTCTACCATCGCGGGGCGATTAGTCTCTCTCTCTCTCTCACTCTTCCACAAACGTACCAATCATCAGACAATAGTCAAACAGGCGATTATTGTCCAGGTGGTGCAGCCCGCCCAGCTCGCGGCCGAGAAAGACGCCAGCGACAACAGCCGCGCCCGAGCTGCCGAGGCCGCGCCCGAGGGGGATCGGGTTATTGATGTGGACGTGCGTCTCGGCCGGGAACGCGCGCTGGTCGTGGCAGCGCAGGACGTAGAGCGCGACGCGCGTGATGAGGTTGCTCTGCGGGTCGAGACTGATGTCGGCGCCGCCCGCGCCCTGGCCCTCGTACGTGATACGGCAGTTGAGCGGGTGCGTCGAGGGCGTCGTGCGGCTGCGGTCCACGGTAACGTGCAGCTCCAGGTAGATGGACAGCGCGAGGCCAATGACGTCGAAGCCGGGGCCGATGTTGGCGCTGGAGCACGGCGTCCGGATCGTAAACGACTCCATGGCTGGGGTCGGAGCAGCGGACGAGAGAAGGCGCGGCGAGGTGGTCGGGGGGGGAGGTTGCAGGTTTCAATGGGCGGCAAGGGTTCGTTTGGCGGGGAGATGCTTGTTTTTTAAATCGGACGGTTTTTGACGCTTGGCGGGGCTTCACCGATAACCGGAGCTCCGTAGACAGCGGAGGGGGTGAGCCTATAGAGCAGGGAATCTATATGTGAGGCAGCAGGGTACTCTATGCACTTCAAAATAACTCAATCTGGTATTTACATTTATTACCGCCTTTTCAAATATTTAAATTGTTCTGTTTTCACCATCACGGTGCACAAATGTGCGCTTGGCGGCGCTGGGCGACACGATAGTACCGGTGGATCTTGCGGCTGTGCAGGGCTGCCCGATCGAGCCCGTCTAGCAACGAGCCCCTCGATAGCTCTTCGAGATAGCATCATCATCACGAGCAAACATACATGCCTTAAGTTCTGTCAATTGACGTATAACACCAACCAAATTGAACACGTACTCTATCGGAAATCAAACGGGGTCTTGCTGTGCATTGCCTTTCCTGTGGTCTGTTCGCTTGCGTGTGGTGGTCATCCTGGTCGAGAGTTGGGGGGATGAGAATGGAATACCGTTGCCACGAAGCTTGGCAATTTCGAACGACTATCGTTGAACCAGATTTCTCCTCTACAACACGAGACTGCTCATCGACTTGCGGTCCGGCCCTACATACACAGCCTTGGCCTCCTCGCTCGCCCACAGCATCGGCGAGTAGTACACGAGCGGGAGGTCCTTGTACGCCAACCACGCATGCGCGCCGACAAACGCGCCAAAATCCGTCCCCTCGAACCGTCCCACCGCGGCAAGCACCTGCTGCACCCAAAACAGTCTCTGCGTCAGGCCGTCCACGCCGGCACACGGCAGCGCCAGCGCCTCAGCAATCGCCCGCGACCGTCCCCGACGGTCCTTGTCCCGGCTCGGCCGTAGCATCTTGAACAGCGCCTGGATCATGACGCCATGCTCGCTGCCTCCAGACCTGTCCTCTGCGAGCTCTTGGACCAGCACCGCCGCCATGACAGCGAGCGCCTGCGGCGGCGGGAGCTCCGCGCGCGGCTCCTTTTCCGCCGCGTAGCTCTGCACCATGGCGCCGCGCGCCGCGCGGACGCTGCCGCCGTCGTGCACCGCAATCAGGTTCGGCAGCGGCTTCTTGTCCGGCGGCAGGAACTGCATGCGCGCGCCGAGGCTCTCCCACAGCGCGGGCGAGTAGTGCGCGCGCCACTCGTCCCCGGCGATGCCGAAGAGGGCTTTGAACGCCGGCAGCGTGAGCGACTCGACCGACCCGGCCCACGTTAGCGCAGCGCCGGGCTTCTTCTCCGCATCAGTGGCGCTCGCTGCTGTCGCAATGGCGGCGTGGACCGTCTGCACCCAGAAGTAGGCCTGCGTCGCCGAGTACGGCGCGATGGCGGTGGTGACGGCGCGCTCCCGCATCGTCGAGGACTCGAGCGCCGCCAGCGCCGCCTTGACGATGGGCCCCCGCCGGCCCTGGGAGGCGAGCGTCTGCTGCACGACGGTGAGGCCGAAGCCAATGAGCCGGTCCGCATCGACGGCCGTCGGCGGGGGCGCTTGCCCGGCCCGTTGGTGCTTTTCGGCGGCGACGACAGACGGCAGGGGCTTGATGTTGGGCAGACTCCATCGTTCTTTGGCCTCGTGAGAGAACAGGACGCTCTTGGAGTAGAATTGGCCCCAGAGCCTGGAGTCGGTGAGTCGGGGGGTGTGCAAGAGGACGGCCTTGAAGTCCTCCCTGGCGAGCACGCGCTTCGTGTCAGTGGTGTTGATGTAATTGAGGGCAGCGACGTGAAGCTGGGCCAGCCAGAAAATGGTCATGGTGCTAGAAAGCTGCATTAGCCGGAAATAATCATGACTGGCTGGATTTTTGTCTCACCGATGCGTCGTGTTCCGAAAGCGCTCCGGGTTTCCCTTTCTCAGGCGCTCCAGATGGCCGATGAATGTCTCGGCCGCGTCCAGGACACCGCGGCCCTGTTCAAAGGCCTCGATCAGGACAAAGAAGCCCGATTTGAGGTGGTTGTAATGGTCCCAGGGCGCCAGCGACCCGTCGCCCAACGCACGCCAAAAGTCCTCCGTCGTCATGGCGTCGGCGTCGACCAGTGTCCTTGCCCGCTCGGCGTCCAACTCATCCGTGCTTGGCTGGAGAGGGTCCGCACCCGCTGCTTTCGATGCAGACGCAGCGCCGGTCTTGTCTGCCAGCATCTTGGCGACCTCATCCAGGACAATGTGCGTGTTCTGGGTCGTCTTGGCTGAAAAGCCGGGACTGTGGAAGACCTTGAGAAGCGCCGGTCTCTTGAAACAGGCAATGAGCTCATTGTATGCTGCCAGAATTTTTTCCATGTCCTGGTCCCTTGTGTCGGGCGCCATCAGGTCCTGCACGCTGAGCACGACCAGGACGGGCACGCGATGCAGCGCCTCGTCCGACATGTAGTCGGTAAGCACCTGCACCTGCTCGTCCAGCCTCTCCATATCCGCGCAGTTGTGCATGTAAATCACGGCATCCGTGTCGGAAAAGTAGTGCCGATGGAGTGGCCGGAGCTTGTCGCACCCTGCTGGCTCGGGCGATTAGCTGCTGCCCGGATCCATGGCCAGACGCTGTCTACATACCTCCAACGTCCCATACTTGAAAAGTGAGGCCGGTGGGGTGCTTTATCGTCTCTAGATTGAACCCGATAGTAGGGATGGGCTCAAAGGGCTCGTCGAGGACCCAGCGGTATAAGAGCGTCGTCTTGCCAGAGTAGTCGAGGCCCATGAGCAGCACCCGGCGCTCATTGGGACGCCAGAACATCCACTTGCCGAGCTCTGCAAACAGATTAGTCAAAGGCTTTCTGCAGTAAAGAGATGCAACTCACTCATTGTATATTTTTATAAAGCGATTGAATAATCGGAATTTAGTGACTTGAGAGTCGAGCAGTATGGGCGGGAGCGGTGATGGATTATATACGGGGATGATGGCCAGGCAGCAGAATATCTCCCGAGTGCGCTAACTAGGTCAAGACAGGTTTGCGAATCTACACAATAATGACACGTCGCTGCATTATTTAGGCAGCTGATTTCAATCCCTGAAATCATTCATCATCGACGTCTTCCGTGGTAGGCAGCAGACATAGACGCAGGGCAGGGAATGGCCACTGGAGTGGCGCCGTCTATCCAAGTTAGCCTTGAAAGTGAGTCTAACGAGAAAGTTCAGCATTTCCGGGTTTATATGGCTATTTTTCATGACTCGAAAGCTTTCTTTACTTTGGTCCATCTTTTACGGTGTCGTTTGCATCGGCGTAGATAACCAGACATGTTGAACGAGCTTCGGCAAGGGGTGGGTGATTCACGCATCGAACAACAAGTCTTGTACTATAAACCATTCCGGATGATATCCCATCACAGCATAAGCCATGCCCGCATTCCCAGCGATGCAGAAGCCCAACCTCACCTCCGTCCTCGCCGGGTGGTGCCAGCTCGTATACAGCACGCCCAGACCGCCCAACGCGGGACGAAGCATATGGATCCGGTGCGCCCAAAATGCCCGCTGACAGCCTATTTCTCCGCCCAGCATGAGCCCTTTCTGCCCCCTCCCCCTTCAACCGGAACGCAATACGAAGGCACCATCCGAGTTATTATTAGGGCCCCCCCCGTCTCCCGCGCACCCACCATGACGCTTGGGGCGCCGCCGTGTACGGGAGCGATCGCCCGGACCGGAGGGCTGGGTGCGCTGGCTGTGGGCTGCATGTCTTGGATGTGACCAACCCGGCGGGCGATGGGATTTTGTGCTGCTTGTCAAAGCCACATTGACACGGAAACGCAGCATGGTCCGCTTCGTATACGACTGCGCCCGACGGGTTGTGGCAGAGCCTTTTTCGATCCGTTCCATGTGTATATAAACCAGGCAGGTGCCGACGAGTCCGCGACAGCTCCTAGGCTTCCATCTTTCTCTGCAAGACACAAGTCACCCATATCATCAATTATTCATCATCCTCTATTCCGTCAAAATGTACATGCCATCCATCCTTGGTCTCGCTGCTCTTGCCAGCACCGCCCTAGGCGTCACCGGTACGTGTTGCACAACCCAACTATCCCAACCACGCCCCCCCCCCCTCTCCGCATCACTAACAACGGCCCAACCAACCAGTTTCGTACGACAGAGGCTTCGACGATCCTAGCCGCTCCCTCGAATATGTCTCGTGCTCCAACGGCGAGCACGGCCTTATTACGCGCTACCACTGGCAGACACAGGGTCAGATCCCGTGCTTCCCGCGCATCGGCGGCGCCCAGGCCGTCTCGGGCTGGAACTCGGCCGCGTGTGGCACCTGCTGGCGGCTGACGTATAACAACCGCTCCGTCACCATCCTCGCCATTGACCGCTCCGTTAATGGCTTCAATATTGGGCTCGAGGCCTTTGATAATCTCACGGGCGGCCGCGGGGAGGAGGTTGGCCGCGTCGAGGCGCAGGTGACGCAGGTGGATGTCAAGGAGTGCAGCCTCCCTTTTTAGGCTGCATATGATGATTGAATGACGTATTATGATTATGGATATTATTTTACTAAAAATACAATATGTGTACAAGCATTGGAGAACCATGGCGGGATATTTTGTCCGCTCTGCTGAACAGCCTCTATCATTTTCACCATGAGCCTGCAGATTCATCGCCCCGAATGCAGCCAGCGATGTACCTCGCCTGCCGTTTCCCTAAACAGCGCCGTGGCGTAGAATCGGTGGAATGCGTACAAGAGCCTGCTGCCGCGGTCGTCGCTCTGTGGATTGCAGGCGTAGCACTGCAGCTGGACTTTGACCTTTTGCGTCTCCCCGGCGGCGTCGACTTGCAGTCGCTCCACGCTCAACCGATGGCAGCCGGCAAACTGGCTCCCGTCGGAGCCGAACAAGAAGTCGGCATGACTTTCTGCGGCGTTGCTGCCGCTGCCCGCGACGTCGGCAAGGTGCACGTCTGCCAGCCGAAAGACGCCAAACAGCACCGTGTGGAGCTCCGGCAGCGCGCTGTCGGAGATCTCCGCCGCGTCCCACACATGCGCCGGCACCGTCGTGGAGGCGAGTTCTGCCCAACCCGCTTCAGCATCAATGATCAGGAGGTTGGGGGGAAACATACTGGTGTATTTGCTGTCTTGCAGCCGGATCAGCCTCAGCGCTCGCGCTTCCAGAGAAAAGACCCATCCGTGGAAGAAGCTCTTGGTCGCGCGCGCCAGGATCATCTCGTCGGAAACGTGCTTGCGCAGCGGCACGTCGAGCGTGACGGCGTGCGTGTCCACCACCCGACTGGACCGGTCGTGGGGGTTGACATGGTTGCGGATCGTGGGGGAGTCGATAAAGGATGGCGGGCCCCCGACCTCGTCCACAACTCCCAGCTTGGACGAGGCGGCGATGCGGAGCGTCGTCTGCGTGATGTAGATGGAGGTCGCGACAAGCGCGGTGCCCTTGGCCAGGGTAGAGGCGAAGCGCCAGGCTGTATGGGAGGTGAATGTCATGGGATTATACGAGTGAGTATGGGGATATTGATGATGTATTATTCGTCGCCTTTTGTGGTAGGTGTACACATATTTGTCTCGTGTGGCTGTGGCCTTTTATAAGGACGCAAGCGGGTGAGGCTGAGTCCGGTTCAGCCCGGCCCAGCCCGGGATCGCACCGTGATAACAGGTCAGCTGCCTGTTTGCTACGCAAGCCTCGCGGAATCGACGAAAAAGGCCAGTATGACTCAATTACAGATTATTTATTATCGCAAAGCCTGGCAGCTGATATCCGCTCGCTTATGTCTCTTTAAAGGGATTCTGGGCTACCAATCGAACACTTATCAATCGGATATCCTATCAAGTTTCAGGACTGCCCTTCAATCAGGCCCTCTGAATTCTGCGTGCTCGACTCGCCTTGCAGCAGCGCCTCAGACGGCGGATGCGCATCCGTCCACGGCTCAAAGATGGTCGTGCCCTTGAGCAAGCCGCCAATCGTCTCCCAGATGGTCAAAAACGCAATAAGCGCCATGACAATGACCATGAACTGCGTCGCGTTGAAGTGCTCGTGCGTCGCCGGGATGACCATCAAGACGACGGCGACGACGAGCCGCATCCCCACGCGCCAGTTCTTGGGCAGGATGAGATCGTGGCGCTCCTCCGCCTTGTACAGCATGGCGTACACCCAGAGGCACAGCATGCCGATGCCCATGCCGGCGCCGAGCAGCCAGCGCTGGCCCTCCTCAAACTCGTCGACGCGCACGCTCAGCGCGCTGACGTGGCCGGCGATGAGGAACGCGGCGGCCATGGGCAGGTGCAGCAGGAAGAAGCCAAACGCGGTCCACGGGGAGCGGCGGATCGGGTGCGTGGCGCCGGGGCTGCCGTCGCCGCTGACGTAGATCCAGTTGAGGCAAAAGGCAATGACGAGCGTGCAGACGGCCTTGGCGTAGCCGGGCGTGAGCCCGATGCCGGCCGGGTTGCCGACAATGACAATGTAGACAAACTCGCCGAGGATGATGATGAAGAAGGCGGCCATGCGGTCAATCTCGTGCGCCATGTCCACGGCCGTGCTGTACCGCAGCTTCAGCCGCCGCTTCAGCCACGGGCTCAGCGTCAGGCTCCACGTGAGCTCCTGGTACGCGGCCATGACGGCCACGACGGCCGCCTTGCCGCCCAGGCTGACGCTGTCGAGGAAGAGCGGCGTCGCGAGCAGCAAGCCCACGCACATGCAGCCGGCCATGATGCGCGCCTGCGCGCGGTGCGCGGCGCTCGCAAAGGAGCTCACGAGGAAGACGAGCATGGTGGTGCCCCGCGCGGCGACGTAAGCGCCGGCCGCGGTGCGCAGCGCGCCCGCCGAGACGTCGACGTGGTTGGCGTTGTTGGCGAAGAGCACCAGCAGCGCCATGACCCAGAGGACGACGAGCCGCTGCGCGAGGTCGTCGGTGTAGTACGAGTTCATAATCTCGCGCAGGTCGACCCAGATGTGCCACGCGGGGGTAAACGTCAGGATGTACTTGGCGACGTGCGCGCCGTCGGGGTGCTCGGCGAGCTCGTCGCTGAGGTTGGCGACGATGGCGACATCTGCAGTCCGCGGTCAGTGATTACGCTCCCGGGGGGGATTCCTTGTGAGAGAGATTGGGCAGAACGGCAGGGGAAGAGTACGCACAGAGAAGGTCCAGGAACAGCTCGAAGCGGCCGGCCTGGCGTTCCTCGTCGCTGTCCTTGTGCAGCTCCCCGTCGCAGAACCACTGCAGCGCCTTGGGCCGCTTGATGATGTAGTGCTCGCCCTTGGCGCCCTCTTGGAGCTCGTTGCAGTTCATTGCGTCACGTCTGGCTCGTATTTGAAACTGTTGACTTTGCACGCGTCACAGGACGTGATTGAACGAGGATGAGGAGGCCTGAAATGCCCCCCCGCGCGTAGTCTCACCAAGGCTAGCCCCGAGCTGTGATTCACGTTGGGCACCTCATCGTTGGTACGCTAGTAGTCAACGCGCTCAACTCTAATTTCCTCACCATGACTAGATATTCGGAGACCATCGTTAGCTTCATCACTGAGACGGGCAAATTGCCCCGGTCCTAATTAGATGTAACGCGGTTCCGGCGCAATTTTTCCTTTTTTCGAAAGCATTCTCGCCCCAACGAAAACAGCGCGGTCTAGATGCATCCTCTATACGAATGTGCGACCGCTTCGTGCGCTCTGATGATCGGGTGACCTCGTATAGTCTCTCCAGCACCGGCTACCGTGTAACATTTGTGCTGCATGTTTGCCTGTTACGAGTTTGCGGATGACAAGGTCCTGCCTGATGTTGCGCAGGCTCCAGAATGTGTGTATATAAGAACGGCTTGCCCCCTCCTCCTCCAGAAGAGAAGAGGGCAGCAACTTTGACCTTTACACAATCTTCTTCTTTGCTCAAGCAAATCTTCTTGTTGTCCACTCACAATGGACTGCTACTCTCGGAGAATATTGTGAGCTTCACACAGCAACCTGAGCTCTCTATGCTCGAGAGCCTCACACAGCAACCTGAGCTCTCTATGCTCGAGAGCTTCACACAGCAACCTGAGCTCTCTATGCTCGCAAGCTTCACAACTCCGTCATTATATACCCCCGGCCAAATCACAATGGCCTACACACTATCAAAAGATGTAAGCAACAAGTCCCTCGCTATAGGTCTACTCAGATAACTAACATCACTTCATAAGGTTGCGCAGCCACAGCCAGCATGGATCGGCCGTCCGTGACGCCAGAGCAGCCAGAGGTCTCTATGATCGAGAGTTACACTACTCCGTCATTGCAGACACCTGACGAAACCACAATGGCCTTGATTCAGTCAAGAAGCGTAAGTCAATAAGTCCATGTTCAATGACTCACGCTAATATGACTTTATAGAATTTTGGCTGTTTGTAACGCTAGAGAAGCCAGAGCTCTCTATGCTCGAGAGTTTCACAACTCCGTCGTCATATACACCTGACGAGATCACACTGGCGCACCTCCAGTCAAGAAGCGTAAGTCGACCAGTCCACCCCAAATATAGCTCTGCTAGACTCACTCTAACATGATCTCATAGAACTATCTTGCGGCAGCCGACCCCCCCTGCCACACCCAATCCCGATCGATTGGGGCCGTCGGTCACGCCAGAAGTGATCCAGAGGACTGAGTCCTTCTCGGAGGATATGAGGGTAGCCGACTTTGGCTACGCCAATGTATCGGAAGCGACCGAGTCGCCGGTCGAATACGTGCGGATTGAGACGCCGCCGCAATCATGGTCGCCTCAATCCGCACGGTTCCTTCTTGGAGGATTGGAGCACGCCCGGCTATGGCTATGCAAATGTGTCGGAAGCAACCGAGTCGCCGGTCGAATACGTGCGGATTGAGACACCGCCGCAATCATGGTCGCCTCAATCCGCACCAGATGGCTCGGTCACATTGCTATCCATTCGGCGGAGCTGCTCCGGGCACGAAGCGCGGGCGCGTGGCCGACCGCTCGAGGCGGGCTCTGTACGAGTCGATCGAGCGTGGCCGGCACCAACGGCTGACCATTTCGCCGTGAATCGCCGTGAGTCGCCACGAGCCTACATCGCCACCCGCGCGGCTGGTGCCGACCACGCGCACCCGCGCTCGAAGCTTGGCCCATCGAGAGGGCCGCGGCCCGGCCAACTATACCGGGGGCCCGTTCCCGGGATGGCGCTGCCAGAACTGGCTGCGCTGTGTTTTTGTTCCAGGTAAGTGCGATCCCCTCTTCCCCAAACGCGTGATTGCTGGGTGGAAATTCCCGGGAGCCTGGGGTTGGATAGTGGTAGTTTGGTGGTGGAATATATATCTGTGCTTGCTTGTTCATATGTTTCCATGAATCCTGGTGAATGAATGCTTTCCCCCGTATCAGCGTAGTTGTTCGTTGGGCGCGCGTTTCTACAAGCGATTGCTGCGATGCCATCTCGCCATAGCGATCTGGGGCGATACGTGCTTTGCCCAGGCATGACCATGGGGGGCGCCGGTAACATCGCAGGTGTGTGCATTTTTCACCAATTACAGTAGCTAAAAGGGCCTTTTTCCTACCTCTTGCCAGTGACCATCTTGTAGGGGAGGAGGATGTTGCAACTTGGCATACAGGGTAGCTACACAACGACTACCAAACACACCCAATACGGCAGTTGTTCGTCCTGCTGGACTGCACGATATTATGGGTTAATAACTACATGACGACATGCATGGCTAGGGGTTGCGACTTGTAGTTCTGAGATGAAACATCAATCGAAAGGCAGCATAATGACAGCGATATGATGCGCCGGGATCAAGCCTGTAGCGACTGCAGCAATCGCGTAATTTGTTTTGTCAAGCAAGGACCTTCCCTGCGACCCGGATTCATAAAGAAAAAACACTGGAGATGATAAAGCTGCGATGGACCTTGACCAACAGATCCGTCTGCCCCGCCGTTTCAAGCTCCGGCTACTGATAATCACGAACAACTCGGCAGCACCCATGATCAGGCCCGCAAGCTAAAACTTGACGACAGCGTACCAGCGTCGATAACCCGTTCTAGGGCTCAGCATTGATTCGACTCGCACAGAAATTGCGTGTTGCCAACAGGGTGGACGCATTGACATCGGCGTACACGGGACCCTGCTTGCCTGCGCTGCAACCTGCGGGTAGTGTTGCAATGTTCGGATATGCTTCTATCTGCCATTTGGATGGACAGCCTTGTCGTTTGTTAGCGGCGGGCTCCGACATGGTTCAATCTGAGCGCATGGAAGCCACAGAAAATGTCTGGCACGGACTGGCTGTCACAGGCCACGCGCCGTCATCTACAGAAACAAAAAGCGGTTCTTGTGGCAGCCTGTCTTTTCCATCTTCTTCTGTCCGAAAAGCTCGTGGTATTTGGCATTGACGATGCGCTACGGCAAAGAATAGCGGCCCGTACGTAGCGCGAGTTTAGCTGTTCGGGTTACTCGTTCATGCCGCCTCGTCGTCTAGACCTTGGGCCTAGTCGCGCTGTCGTGCAGATTCCAACTAGTTCATCATTTTATGTAGAAGCTCAACCATCTGTATCATCTTGTAACAGAATGCGTATTTTGAGATGAGATGCCGTGGCGGCGAGCCAAAGGGATAGCGGCAGCTTCCACCAGCCAAACTGTCTAGTGGCCGCCACAAGTCACTTGAATCCGATACCCCTGGTCACTTTGAGACACGTTGTTGCGAGAGGGCTGAGATCCGTGCGCAGGCCACTGGTTTGCTGCAGAATATTCCGTTGGCCGGGGCGAGCCGCCTTTAGCCAAGTAGCCGAGAGCGATAGCCAGGTTGCCAGGTTGCCAGGGACACAAAGACTAACGAGTTTGTTCTTTGGTAATAAATAATGAAGAAAGACTTAATTAAACCAATAGACATGAAAAAAAAGCCAAGACATGACATATATTGTACTGAAACAGTTCACAACCTGGGCGAGCGCTAAGCCCGTCATGCATCGCTTTCCGAGATGCTTCACCGGAACGCCAATGAACCAGGGTCGCAGTTCAAAAACGTGGCCATGCGCCATGCCCGACTAAATTAATGACCTAGAGGAAGCCGTTCACATTTCTCTCGGCGGGCACCACTATTTCTCGGGCGGAGTCACGTCGGTCTGGTCACCACTGCCGACATGAAACTTGAGACACGAGATATAGAAAGAGGAGCTTCACCTTGTGGCCTTGGGGTTGCCCTGATCAAGTACAAGAAGCGACAAAAAAAAAGCTTCCCTTTGTACAGGGACATGGATGGCCGGGGAGCAGATCGCAGCAAGGACCTCTTGCTCCGACATGACGAACTAACTAGTTGAGCTGTTTTTTTCTTTCTTTCTCGAGGCAATGTCTGTGTCGAGTACAACCCTCCACTGTGGTGCTCTTCGAGTAAATGTCGCACAAAAGGTCTCAGAGATATTTTCTAGCGCGCCAACAGAGACTCTATTCGTATAGCTGTCTCAATGAGGATTGAGAAGTGACGAGCAAGCCCTTCACCTTTTTAGCGCGCACTTGACATCTCACAACGCCACGCGCCATCTTGACCTCTCAGGATATGTAGTTGGTTACACTTGTGTGGGTGGGCCGAGGCTCTTCCCTTTCCAACAAGCCCAAAACACAGCCAAGGCACACCACCATGTCGAACCAAGTGCTCTTCCAAGCGTTCGCCCCTGTAACAGCCAGTTCTCCCTGCATATCCCTGCAAACCACAGGTCCTGTGCATGTGAGTTACAATGCACAACCACCAGTTCGCGCAGGCAGCCTGCGCAGAGATCGTCGAGCTTCAGTCCTTTTCTAATGCCGGGTCTCCATCAACTACCCGTACTTGCTGTCTGTGCCAACGTCTGTGCTGTACCAAGCCAACGGATTAGATGGAGAGCTACCGATTTCAGAAGCAAGGGCCTGCCACAGATACAGTGAGTTACAGGACGTCAGCCACATGTCGCGTCGCCGGCACAGTATTCGGTTATTCGGGCCCATCTGTTCTTCACTCCTGTCCATGTTGATGAACTATTGAATAGGCGTACTTGGCTTTTCTTAGTTCGCTACTCTGCGAGTTAGGACGGACAAGGGAGAGGCTGAGATTCTGTACCTAAGGCGCGATCGGAGCCGAAACTCTAATAACCGCGGTCCGAGAACTGGGCCGGCTTGAAGAGTCCATACACAACAGACTGGAAAGCAGAGGGCAGCAAAAAGAGGCATAGATTTGAAAAGCAGTTGCAGGACCCAGACAGCCCACAACCATCCTGGTTAAATGTCCGCTGCTAAAGCTGGGGGTGGATGCTTGTGTGGAGGACACGCTGCGGCGTCCTGACTCGGCCGGTGGCCCTACTATACATACACGGCGAGGCGCTCTCCTGTTTTATTCTGGACCTGCTGTTTCGGTTGGGTTTTTTTTATTCCAATGTTCAATTGAATATGTCATCTTGATATTGTTCATCCTCGCCTCTGTCGCTAGAAAACCGCTCTCGCTCGATTTTGGTGATGCGCCTGGTCGACTTACACACTGGCCAAGCCCGTCATCAACGCCGCAACCACCGGAGCCGGGCCTCTTGACCGCTCACAACCGAAAGCCCCTACCCGTCCTTCGATCCAGATCTTGTTCTCGATTATGCGGCTGCTGTACGCTTTGTCGACGGTCCTCGCAGCCTCGACGCTGTCGGCGGCCGCTGAGCAAAAGCCCAGCGGTCTGTCCCTGACCGATGCCATCTCCCAGATGCCCCCATGCGCGGTAAGCAATTGCCATTTGCGCAGCGTCTGTCTCCCTCTCCCGCTAATACCATCCGCAGCTGTCGTGTCTACTAAAAGCTGTCGGCGAGGTCGGCTGCGACCCCCTCGACAAGACGTGCATCTGCAAGACCAACTTCCACACCATCGAAGAGACTGCCTCGCCATGCATCATCAAAGCCTGCACATTCACCCAAGCCATGCGTAAGAACCCCGCCCACTCCCTCCTCACAAAACCCTCGCCTGGTGACCAGCCCACTGACTCTACTTCCCAAACAGAGGCGCGAAACCTCACCGCGCGGTCCTGCGACGCCCCCGTGCGCGACAAGACGGCCCGCTACAACGTCATGGCCGTCACGCTCGGCGTCATCACCAACCTGCTCGTGGCGGTGCGCCTCGTCTTCAAGCGCTTCTTCAGCTACCGCCAGGCGCTCGGCTGGGACGACTACACCATCATCGGCGCCGTGCTGCTCGGCATCCCCGCCACCGTCATCAACATCCACGGGCTCACCGCCAGCGGCATGGGCCGCGACGTCTGGACCCTGACCGTCGACGAGGTCAACCGCTTCGGCGCCTACTTCTACACCATGGAGGTGCTGTACCTCGCCGAGATTGCCTGCATCAAGCTCAGCCTCTCCGTCTTTTACCTCTACATCTTCCCGGGCGAGCGCACCCGCCGCCTGCTGTGGGCCACCGTCGTCTTCAACGTCGCGTCGGGCATCGCCTTTGTCGTCGCCGGCGTGGTGCAGTGCATCCCGATCCCCTTCTTCTGGCACAAGTACACGGATCCCGCGGCCAAGGGCCACTGCATTGATATCAATACGTTTGGCTGGAGCCATGCCGCCGTCAGCATCGCCGTGGATCTGTGGCTGATTGCCATTCCTCTCAGTCAGCTGCCAAAGCTGCAGTTGCACTGGGAAAAAAAGGTTGGCGTGACTTTGATGTTCCTGCTGGGTACTTTGTACGTTTCTCTGTCATCATTCCTGTCGCTGCTTGGACTAACCGGCCCAGTGTCACCGTCGTGTCCATCCTTCGCCTCCAGTCCCTCATCTACCTCGCCCGATCCTTCAACCCTACATGGGATCAATGGATCGTTGCCTGGTGGTCCACCATTGAAGTCCATGTTGGCATGATCTGTGCCTCCTTGCCGACCCTCCGTCTTGTGCTGGTGCGCATGTGGCCTCGTGTATTTAGTACCAACATCTCGCGCAGCAAGTCCATCACGGAGCGCAACACAAGACCAAGCAGCACTAGTTATATCATCCAGAGTAAAGAAGTCACTCTGTCGTCGATTGAGATTGAGCTAGGCGCTACAAGCAGCCCAGAAATCCGACGTATGCCTCTTTTTACTCCTATCCCTTGTTATCCGCTGACCTTGGTAGCTGTCCCTCCCCCAAAAAACGATTTCTCGCCGCCATCGCCGCGACCGTTCGTTCCACCAAAGGATTGGTAGCGGTGACGATAAAAGCATCTAATTGCCGGGCATGTGCTAATTCACGGAGAAACGATATTAATAATTGGACAAGGGGCGATAGACGACTGAGGACCATATACCCAATCACGTCATCCAGGTCTGCACAAAAGGTACAAACAGGACCAGCCAACTGGAATGAATCACTGTATTGTTTGGCGTGCGGTCTTATAATTACTTGCTTTCAACGTTTTGCGTCTTATGAGCGATAATGACTATTTCATCAACTTCTCTGACTCCAGAGCCTGTGACCTCATGAGTAGCTTCCGCGGATCTCGCGTACAAGATGCTCCAAGATGTCTCTGTAGTGGATTAGGTCGGGTGACTCGGCAGCCCAGAATTCGAACTGTGTGAGGACCTTTCCAATCTTGCCACCAATTGGGTCTTGGCTCCCTTGCCAGTACTGCCCTGGGGGGGTTCCCCATACAATGTCTGCACCACCAGGAATCCAGGCGGCCTGGCCGCTCTTGATAATGGCCAACAGAATCAAGGATGCCGTCATGATGCTACGCAGATCGTACCAGAGGCCATGGTGACGATGGCCTTTGGATCGCACGTCAATTGTTTTCAAGCAGCAATCAATGCCAGAAGCGACCAGCGAGTTGAGCATCTCCACCTCTACATCGTCAAGTTTTGGTATGTCGTTGATGGATTCGAAGCCCTCTGTCCCGACGGCCGTAGCTGGAGGTGAGTTGAGTAGACTGGGAATACTGGGCTCTGTGCTTCTTGATGCCTCCATACGTCGCAGTAGGTTTGGCCTAGCCACATGGATAAAGTAAAAAAGAAAGGGCTGATATAGCCAGGTCTGCATCTCCAATAGTCTGTTATCAACCGCCCAGCTGAGCTCTCGTGTGATGTGATTTGAAGTTCCCTCCTGGGGCGCGCGAATGACGGAGGCAGTTTCGTAATTCTGCATGGCTGGTGGCAAGTGTGCCGACCAAGACGATACCTGAGCTTCAAACTCCTTTGCCATTCGCAGCAAGGGCTTGAGGTTCATGATCCAAGCTGATCGCCCTTGTCGGAAAAAGGTGTTGACTATGCGGTTGCCGATACGACGGAGGGCAATTTCTGTCAGGTAGTAGTACCAGCTCTCTTCTTCATTACAGAGACGCACAGCGTGCTGACGGAGCTCTAATTCTTCCGCGTTGATGGATGTGTGACCATCGGTGGATCTGTCGTCACCCAAGTTATCCGGTATTGGCGAAGGCGGTGATGGGAACAAGTCAGGGTATTCAGCTAGGCTAATCTCTGACTGTTGCAGAGGCAGCTCGACGCGAAACTCGCACTCGGACTTGAATGCAGACCAGTAGAGGCTCTGCTCGAGGCGTTTCGACTTTCTGGTTGCAGGATTCGATCGGTTAGAGTGGCCATTTAGGGCCTCTTCCAAGTCGCCAGCAATGCCGTGGGTCATTCGAACGTGTACTTGGAAGAAGACTGAGGCGTGGAGAAAATAGTGCCAGGATGCCAGTGGCCGTAGTGTGTACATCAGATATACTGTTTCCTGTTAGCTACCCCGGCTTATCTATTCTTTAAACCCTCATATTTTGCTTTCTTACCTCCTGCAAAGAAGTGGCACTGAGCGCCAAGGAGGGAGTATTTAAGAGACCCGATTCTTCGGCATGCAAGCGCGAAGCAGGAGTCGGCCATCTGTAGCTCTCTGGCATATAGCTTCGAAGAGGACGCGATGGACGTTCTCACAGAATGATTTGTACCCCAATACACGTTTGTCGTCTTCGGCAGCGGCATGCCGAATGGCTTGACAATGGATCCCAGGGCGCAGGCCAGAAGGACCAAACATGACCGGTCGTCCCATCCGATGCCTTGATCTGCGCAACGCCGGCCATGCTTGACGAGTGCTTCGACATCAAGAATCGGATTTTTTGTATGCACATTTTGAAGAAATCTATCAATAAGGGATGGTATGGCTTCTTCGTCCAAGGGTGTCAGACGCGATGGGGCGATGATCAGGTCATCGGTCGCATCTGAATTGGGCTTGAAAAGGCTGCTTATCAGAGCATTGGCAGGAAATTTGTCCTCGAAAATCTCCCAGCGAAGAACAGTGTCTGCACTAGCAGGATGTTGCGGGATTTGTAAAAAATCTCGTGATGGCTCCAAGGGTTGGGCGGACTGGGATGCATCGACGGCAGGTGTGAGCACTGGTGCTGTTTGCCCAGACGCCGCCGCGGGGCGAATGATCTGCGGGGGAGGATCACACGGGGCTGGCCCATGGTCTTTGGGAGTCAGTACAGTTGCCATGCTAGCCCAGGCGCAGCTTTCTTACCTCGAGATTCTACAAGGTCCCGTAGACTAGCCAGTTCAGCACTGAGATATTCGAACTTCTGCAGAAGTGTAGTCGTCACAGTTTCGAGGCTGAGAGTTGTCACAATTAGCAGGATCGCATACATCGGCAAGGCCTCTGCTTACGTTAACTTCTCAGCCCCTTCTTCCAAGTACTTGCAATTGTGGCCACCAGCGTCACATATGGTGCAGGCAGGTCGCTTCTTATCACACTTAATCTTGCGAAGCCGACAAGGCTGGCACGCTGCTTGACGTCTCTGCGGGGCCTACAGTGACGAGGTATTAGAATCCGTTCAACACACGTGTATAAAAGGCCCAACAAAGTTCTGCCGTCGCTATGGGCATGCTTATCCAATCGCAGGGTACTTACTGTACTGCAGGCATCATTCTGCCGCTGCCTCTTGGAAGGTGGCCGTGCTGGTTCGTCAGTTGTTGATCGGCTGTGCTGGCTGGCAGGGGCAGGGCTGCTTTCTGGGGAACCCGGAGACATGACGCGTGAAGACGGGTCTGCTCAATCAACAGCCGGGTCGCCTGTGCAGAGTCCTTGTTTTTGTGCAGAGAGGCGAGGCCGAGCAGATGAGAGATTGATGTCGTCGAAGAAAAGGTTTGTGAGTGGTGCGGCTGTACGGGGAAGGCGACCGAATACCCCGAGCTGGGCGTTAGCTCGGTTTCATTAATATTGGTGGGGTGCGCTTTATGTTGGTGGGGGAAGGACAGCAACGTTCGGACAGCGCTCGATCCAGACTTGAGGATGTCGGATGACTCCGATGAATGTCACGGATGTGATGGAGTCAAGAACTTGGATCATGCACAGAAAAGGGAGAGTCGTGTAATATGCTGTTGGATTGGACGCCCGCAGTGGGTTATGTAATGTCGCCTGGGGTCCGGCAGGCGAGATTACAGCTGCCAGCAAACGGCAAACGGACCTCAACAAAACAAGGCTATTTGTCAGACATTTCCTCTCCAGCATAGATTCATTTCATCCTCATCCGGAATTTTTTCTACTTCAGCTGAAAGTCTGCAAACTACATGCGTCCGATCAGCGTCTGCCGTCGCACAGATGGTTTCCCCAGACTCCCCGGACACCAGGGATGGGACCAGCCGATGCTCCTGCTGCTGAAGCCTTGTCCTAGTCAGGCCACAATAAAGAAGGGAGAAGAACAGAACCCCCAGTTCAACTGCTAACAAGTTCGTTTCGTTCGTCGTCTTACCCGGAATGGACAATCTTGATTCGCGCGCCTAATAGCCTCAGCGCCACGACTGGCTAGCTCGGGGACTTGAGTCCAAATCCCCGACGCCGCCGCGCTCCGTGAAGCCGCTAACTCACCCCATCAAGGGGCCCCAGATAATGGCTGCAGCCCTGAGAGCAAGAAAAGCTGGGGAATTACACTTTTATTGTTCTCGAAACTGGGGCTTCTTTCTGTTAATTGCCTGTTTTTCTCGGACCAGCTGACCGTGGATCTGGGGGGCAAGCCATTGGCGAGGGTTCTATTTAAACGGCGACATCATCCTTCCTTCCATCTCTCCCGACCATGCATTCTCACACACACTGGCTGGCATCAATTTTAGGTTCTCCCACATGGTTCAAGTTTGACCAAAAAGGCCTGAACGCCCTTTTCCTCTTATTGATCCATTATACATTCGTATCCTTACCATGGTCGACTTCAAAGCCTTGACCGAAAAGCACAATGTGGCTCACAAGCTGTACAAGAGCTCCCTGCTCAACACCGTCTGTCTTGTCGCCGGCCTATCCATTTTCTTTTTTGGTTACGATCAAGGTCTGATGGGCGGTGTCAATACGACGAGAAACTATGCCGAAACAATGGGTTTTGGCCACTGGGACGAGGAGCAAGGCATCGTTGTCGTTGATAAGCCGCTGCTACAGGGTGGTATTGTAAGTGCACGTCAAACTCGGAACGACGCTGGCTAATCAAACTAGGTTGCTGTCTACTATCTTCCTGGTACTCTCGCAGGCTGCCTGCTTGGTGGCTGGATGGGTGATCGTTATGGCCGCATCACCACCATAGGTCTTGCCTGTATTTGGTGCATCTTTGCCGCAGCACTTCAATCTGCTGCTCAGAATGCGAGTTGGATGTTCTGCGCCCGCGTGCTCAATGGCATTGGCACCGGCATCCTCAACGCCATCACGCCTGTATGGGCGACGGAGACTGCTTCTCACACCTCTCGCGGCCAATTTGTTGCTTTTGAGTTTACTCTGAACATTTTTGGTGTTGTTGTAGCCTACTGGCTCGAATTGTAAGTCTTCCGTACAGCCCCCTGTCACCCAGCACTAACAAACTTGCAGTGGCACTTCCAAGTATCATGACCCCGAATCGTCCTTTATTTGGCGCTTCCCCGTTGCTTTCCAGATTTTACCCCTTATTGTGCTCCTCGCTGTGATTTGGTTCATGCCCGAATCGCCTCGCTGGCTTGTCAAAGTAGGACGCGAGGAAGAAGCCCGCTTCATTCTCGGCCGCCTACGTGGTAACGAGGGAGAGGAGGGCGAGGCAGCCGAAGCGGAGCTCCAGGACATCATCAGCATCAAGAATCTTGAAAATGATACCTCTGAGCAGCAGAGCTATTTTCACATGTTCTTTGGTATTGGGTCTGGAAAGCTGCACACCGGCCGTCGCGTACAGCTTGTTATTTGGCTACAGATTCTCCAAGAATGGATTGGTATTGCAGGAATCACCATCTACGGGCCTCAAATCTTTACCATCGCTGGCATTGGGGCCTCTGATCGTCTTTGGGTCAGCGGCGTCAACAACATCACATACATGGTAAGTTGACAAAGGATTGATATAGAGCGCGTTGCTAACATATCCCAGTTCGCCACTCTTATTTGTGTATTTACACTCGATCGGATCGGTCGCCGTTGGACGCTGTATTGGGGTGCTGTTGGCCAAGGCATCTGCATGTTCGCCGGCGGCGGCCTAGCTCGCGCCACCATCAACGCCTCGGACTCGAACCGCGGGCAAATCGGCGGCGCCGCAACCTTTTTCGTATTTCTCTACACTGCTATATTCGGCGCCACTTGGCTCACCGTGCCATGGCTTTACCCCGCTGAAATCTTCCCTTTGCAAGTGCGAGCCAAGGGCAACGCTTGGGGCGTCGTCGGCTGGTCGATAGGCAACGGTTGGTGTGTAAGTACCGCAAATAAGCCAGAAAACGCTATGCGAGTATGCTAACGTAGAATTCCAGGTCCTCCTGTTGCCCACCATCTTTGACAAGCTCAAGGAGAAGACACTTTACATATTCGGTGCCGTCAACGTTGTCAGCATCGTCGCCGTCTGGGCGCTGTACCCCGAGTCCAACCAGCGTACGCTGGAGGAGATGGATCTTGTGTTTGCCAGCGACAGCATCTGGACGTGGGATGCGGAGCGCAACTTTGCCAAGCTCAAGGCTGAGAATCCGGACCTCATCAAGAGTCACAAGGACACGCGTGGCGCGAATGACCTGGAGCGCGGCATCTTTGCGTCGCGACGGGCGAGTAAAGCCTCAGCGACACCACCCAGCGTTGACAAAGAGACCACAGTCGAGAACGTCGAAAATTCGAGCAGGCCTCATCCTTGACATCTTACTATGGCAGTGGAACATTTGATATTGCAAGCCACTGTGCTGCAGGACAAATGCTAGCTTTTATTCTGGTTCCACATTATTATCGGGTAACTCGTCAATTGCATCATCATTTGAATCACCACCACCACAAAAAGAACTGAAAGGAGGCAAGAGGCTGTCACTAGGTACACCATTCTATAATTTATTGACTAGATCACGTACATGGTAATTAACAAGAGTGGCAATCATTGCTATTCCAGGGTTGGGTAGCGATGAGGAGGACTCGGGTAGCACGACGATCCTCGGGGATCTTGAGCCGTGTCGGGTTAGTTAATACACAATCTGTAGATCAACTTATAGTTTTTTGTGCACCTCCAGTACTGGTGTGGTTGCTCTTTTTTTAGGACACGGACACTATGCGTTGCACCCACATCTTTCCCCGCCCCCAAAAGCCCTTAGATGAGATATGTACGGCATCAAAAAGGGGAGTTGCGCCTCACTGGCAAGGCCATGCCCAGACAGCTTGCTAGGCATTCTCGGTGAAGGCACACTTCACAATAGGATCCGCGTAAATGCAAGCCTATCCGGTGCTAAAATAGCCACCGTGCCAGCTTATGTCTTAATGGGACCGCTGCTATTAATAGAGGAAGGGTCACCTGTGCTCCTGCAGGTTGTCGGCGCCTTCGAAAGGCAACACACTATCACGTCGCTTGTACGGGTCCGTCTATTTGGGGAAATCGGGCTTTGAAAGACTCGGCAAGTACCAATCAGCGCCCGAGTCTCGCTAGGATCGGCGATGCCGCTGCCTGCTTCAAGACGCCTGCATTCTTCGCGAGATGCAGAGACTTCGCTGGCATACAGCGCCCCATCCGAAGCAGGCTTGAGCTGAAAGCCAATTCAATTACCCAGCCCCGAACAACAACTATCCCGCAGCCACGTCAATTCGAAAACGAGGGCTTATCATTCCTCCTTGGAGATAGTAGTGAGACAACTACAGCCAGCCTTCTCCAGCAAGAACGCATGTTACAGGTCGTAGAATAGGCGTCTAGATTTGCCGCGACTTCTTCCACGCGCATGACTGTTGCATGAAAGGGCAGAGCTGATGCAGAGCCGAGATTCCATAAACCCTGAAGCCAGGCCCGTGGATTGCTACCCAAGATATAACATGCTTGCCGTTCCCAAGACACTCGATAATGAACTCACACACTCCAATGACCCAAATACAACTTTAGTTTACAGTCAAGTGGCTTGGCTAGTAAATCAGCGATTTCATTCAATTGTTATTACTTGTCCCCACTCCCCACTACCCGGATACTTCATCATGCCTCAGAAGGATCCTCCCCAAACCAAAACACATGATGCCTATACTGTGGGGTGGATTTGCGCCTTGACGAATGAGCAAACCGCAGCGACTGTTCTTCTTGACGAACGACATGGTGATCTTCCCAGCCCAACGACAGACTCCAACGCATACACGCTAGGTCGTGTAGGGAATCATAATGTCGTGATTGCTTGTTTGCCCCAGGGCGTTACAGGAACAAATGCCGCAGCGGGAGTCGCGACCTCAATGGTTCAGACGTACCCGAAGGTCAAGTTTGGCTTGATGGTCGGTATTGGCGGTGGGATCCCTCCAAAAGTCAGACTTGGTGACGTCGTGGTCAGCACTCCGGTGGGCAACTACCCCGGCGTGGTTCAATGGGATCTGGGCAAGGCACTATCTGGTGGCGAGTTCAAGCAGACGGGAGTATTGAACAGGCCACCTGACATTCTTCTAACAGCCTTGTCGAAGCTGCAGACGCAAAACGACATGTACGGGTCGGAAATCTCGAATTATCTCACTGCGATTAAAGACTATCCAAAACTCGCCCGGTTTACCTGGTCTAAACGACTGAAAGACCCTTTGTCAGAGGGGGGTCGCGATTTCTCGACCAGCCCCGACGAGAAGATGGGTAACACCGGGCCAGCCGAAGAGAAGGCTCAACGATCGGAGGAAGACATGTGTGTTCACTTTGGGCTGATCGGCTCGGGTAATCAGGTGATCAAAGATGCCAAGCTTCGCGACAGACTGAATGAGCGTTACGAAGGAGAGCTCTTGTGCGTGGAAATGGAAGCGGCGGGGCTCATGAACAAGTTTCCATGTCTTGTCATACGCGGCATCAGCGACTACGCAAACGAGGAAAAGAATGACGACTGGCGGGACTACGCCGCAGCCAGAGCCGCAGGTTTTGCAAAGGAGCTTCTATCCTTCGTCCAGCCAGCTGAGGTGGACAGAGCGTCTGCTGCGAAAGACGTTGCTGGTATTATTATCGAACAGGTTGGCAAGGGTTAGTCGTCTCTTCTTCTACTGAGATGCAAAAAATGAAAGGGGTTTTATTCTGAATTCTGACACTCCGTGTAGTTCAAGTTTCTGTTTCGCACATCGAAGACGATTTGGCATATTCTCGGAAACGGTCGTGCCAACAGGATACCAAAGAAATACTCGACTGGTTCACGCCGGTTAACTATGGCCCGACGCAAAGCGACTATTTAAGTCGGCGACAATATGGAACCGGATCGTGGTTCCTTGACTCTGAAAAGTTCCAGGCCTGGGTGAATACGGACAAAACGACACTTTTCTGTCCTGGAATACCAGGAGCTGGGAAAACAATGTTCACGTCTATCGTCATCGATTATTTGGAAAAACGATTTGGGCTGACCCCAAAAGTTGGCATTGCCTATATTTACTGCAATCATAATAGGCAGCACGACCAGGAATTTCCCATCTTACTTCTTAGCTTGCTGAAACAGCTTGCAGCACACTTGCCTTCGCTTCCAAAATGCATGGAAGACCTATATCACACCAAAAAGAACACCAGTACTCGACCATCTCTAGATGAAATTTCAACAGCATTTGTAGCTATTCTTGGCCTGTACTCAAGAGTTTTTGTCCTGTTCGACGCGCTCGACGAATCCCCCGACAGGAGCTGGTCAACATTGCTGAAAGGACTTTTCCACCACCAAAAGAATTACAACATCAATATCTTCGCAACATCAAGAAATATTCCGGACATCAATGAGCATTTCAAAGCTGCTATGTCTTCGGAGATTTTGGAGATTCGGGCAAATGACAAAGATGTCGTCAAATATCTTCATGGTCACATGGATGAGCTGCCATCTTTGGTGAAGGACAACAAGGATTTGAGAACGGAGATTATTGAACAAATTGCAAACGCTGCCGATGGAATGTTAGTTCATACACGCGACACTATATCACAATTACTGACGCTCTGCAGGTTTCTTTTGGCGGTGCTGATGATTCGCTCGATCGCCGACAAGATGACAATGAACCAGCTCCGAGCTGCCAGCCGCCGCGACAAACAAGGCGGGCAGTCTATTCTTTCGATTGTCTACAAAGCTACCATGGACAGGATCAATACTCAAATGCCAGGAAAGAGGGAGCTTGCAAGAAATGTCTTGTTATGGCTCTCGTGCGCGAAACGACAGCTGTCTCCCAAGGCGCTCCAAGACGCTTTAGCCACTAGGCCAGGAATGACCAGAACTACTAGTGTTGGTGACCGGCCAACTGTCGCAGATATGGTTTCAGTATGTGCTGGACTGGTGACAGTCGACGAACGGAGTCAGGTCATCCGACTAGCTCACTCTACGACGCAAGAATACTTTGAGGAAACGAGAGAGCATTGGTTCACAAAGCCAGACCAATCGATTTTGGAAATTTGCATAACCACTATGTCATCCAACTCGTCCCCGGGGTATCCAGTCGCTAGACCTGAACTCAATTCCCTCTCTACTTACGCCCACTATTTCTGGATGTCTCATCTACAGAAGGACCTAGAGGCGACTCACACGGTCATTCACTTTTTTAAAAGTGAAGACATCTTCAAGAAAGCTTGCCAGACAGCCTTCAGTATCCGCAGCAAGCAGGCGATACCCAATAGTAAACTTCTGGGGTTGATTATGGCGGCGATGTTTGGACTCGCCAAGATTACAAAGGTTTTGATTGATAGCTACATCGAAACTCCGCTATTGTGTGTGTATGCGGCCGATCACGGGCATGCGGATACCGTTGAACAGATTCTAGGAGCGACTGCTACTTTACACGCTTCATCCGGGGCGACGCGAAGATACTGCGTTGAGAAAGCAATGACGGCGGGCCGTGATCTTGACACTACATATCGGCTACACGCGGTACCTGCGCTTATCTCAGCTGCAGCCAATGGTCACCTTGAGATTGTCTCAATGCTGTTGGAAGCCGGAGTTAATGCCAAGGCTGCCATTGTTGGTTTTATATCACACTTGGCACGTGACTTAGCCGCTTTGCGATACCACGCTGAGATTATTAGGAGGCTAATAGAAGCGGGAGCTGACGTTAATGATTCTTACGGCGAAGGGATAACCGCATTACTAGCAGCCGCGGAAGGGGGTCATCTGGAGGCTCTGGAGATTCTGCTAGCAGAGGGGGCTGATGTGACTACTGGGAAGTCCCGTCAACACGGAACAGCATTTCAAGCGGCTGTAGAGAGGGGCAAATTTGACATTAGGAGTATCCTTCTAGCAGCCGGAGCTGACGTGAATGCTCCAGGCAGCCGCCGGTTGAGGGCAACAGCATTGCAAATGGCTGCGAACAGGGGTCATGTGGAGGCTATGGCGATGCTTCTAGAAGCTGGAGCTGACGTGAACGCCGCTGCTGTCCCTAGGGTTGCGAGCACACTACATGCAGCCGCAATTACAGGTTGTTTGGCACTTGCGGAAAAAATGAGAGCAGCTGGTGCGACTAACCCTGATTCTCCAAGAGAAATGGGTCGAATGCTTGGCGATGCTTGCTTACGAGGCCCTTTTGACTTGGTACATAATCTCCTGGCCTCTATACCTGAGCAAAATCTAAGTATTTGTCTCGAGGAAGCAAACAAGTACTGCTGGGAATACCATGATCCAACAGAATCCGCGAGTTATTTGCTGCTTCTTCTTGAGCAAGTTCTAGCATCACCGTTTGCTGCTGATAAGTTCTCGGTGCACAGACTCGCCGTTGCCTATTTCAAACTCGACTTCGCAAAGAAATTACCACCAACAGGGCTCACATAGGATAAGAGGTAAAGTTATTATATTCTATATATTCTATCTAGTTATATAGTATAGATATATATATATTAGGTGATAGGAGATTGTTCCTCTAGCTTCTGGGCCGTCTGTTATTAAAATGAGCTTAATGAACCTATGCACGCATGACGAATTCAATAATAGGGTAGATTAGCTAGCTTATTTCGGCCTATACGTGACTTTTGCTTCCCTCGCTGTCAATTCCCGTGGGATATCTATACCGCAGTAGGACCGTTCCCACCTCTCAGCTTTCTTTAGAAGTAGGTGGTATCTTGTTGCCACGCGAGGACATTGTGACGCGATGAATGTCTTCCCATGCCAGAGGGGATTCGAAAGTGGCGGCTCACTTACCATATGATGCCACAGTTCCAGGGACTATTTGATAAAACGGCAGACTTCTGCAGGTAGGACCGCGAATTTTCAGAAGCTACCTCTTTACCGTCGCCAGCTTTCCTCGCACCGGCACATTCTCGACCCTGCCGACCTCGGGCAGGCCCTCCAAGCGGACGCCCTTCTGGAACACCAAGCAGTGCGTGCTGCCTCCAAAGTGAAACATGCCGAGCTCCTCGCCCTTCTTCACCCGCTGTCCCTCCTTGACCGTGATGTCGCACGTGCTCACCTCGTCCATGCCGATGCCCACAAACGCCACCAGCCCGAGGTCCGCGTTGTCCGCCTGCAGCACGATGACGGCGCGCGCCGCCATGCACGCCAGGTACCCCTGCGCGACGCTGATGCCGCCCGTGTCGATCTGCTCGACGCTCGCGTCGCCGGGGCCCTCGAAGAGCGGCTCGCTAAAGTAGGTCCCGTCGACGAGCAGCGCCCGCCGCACCACGCCCGACACGGGGCTGTGCCAGCGGTGGTACGACAGCGCCGAGAGGAACGCCTGGTACACGGTGCCGCCGACGAAGCGCGACGCGAGCACGTCGTGCCCCAGCATGTCCAGCAGCGAGTACCGCTGGCCCTTGGCGAAGAAGTGGTCGCGGAGCTGCGCGTTGGCCTGCACGTTGAAGATTTTGGACTCGCACGCGTTGGCGATGACGGAGTCGTCGTCGGGGCTGGCAACGGGCCGGGCCGTGTCGTGCACTTTGCGCGTGAAGAAGTCTATTATACCAGGTCATGTCAGCATTCCGTCCATGTTCCGTCCTGTTCATTACATGACGGCAACCTTACCATCCCAAGACTTGAAGCCCATGTGCTTCGCCGACGGATCGCACACAAACATGTCCTCAAATTTATGGCTCGACTTGTACGGCGCATTGGCGACCTGCAGCAAGTCATGGCGGCCCGTCTCGCCGAACCAGCCCGTGGCGTGATCGCCTAGCACAGCCGCCGACTCCGGCGTCTAGCATCCCCCGTCAGCAGGCGCCCATCTCTGACCCAAAATACCTTGTCGAAACCGGAACTCACCTGCAAATACTTGCCCCATTCATTCAGGACCTTTTTCAGCGCCTTGTTCACATCTGGATCCAAAAAAGCGGCATGCCCACTGCGCAGCCCCCCCCAGCATTAGTCTCCCCGTCCAATTTCCCCTGCCGCATTGCGTAGAACAAGACTCACCTCGGGGTACCCATCGGGTAGTCAAAAACCGCACACATTGGCACGCCGACGACGCCCATGGCCGCCTCCGTCTGCGTCCACGCCGGCGCCCGCGTCACAATGTGGTTGAGCACGCGCAGCATATGCTCGTAGTCGCGCACCTGCTTGTGGCCCGCCGGGTCGCGCAGGTACGGCTGCTTGCGCGGCACCTCGTCAAACATCTGCACAAAGTACATGTAGATGCGCGCGTTGCCCTCAATCAGGTCGCGGAACTCTTGCAGCGCCGGCGACAGCGCGCCGCCGGCCGTCTTGCCGGAGTCGACCGAGTCAATCACCTCGGCGAGGTACTGCCGGTGGATGCGGTGGTCGGCGGGCAGCCATGCACCGGGTCTTAATTTGGTGGTCAGCCGATGCATCTAGCGTAATGACAGGGTTGCGTACTTGTGCCTTCGGTGCTCCGAGGGGATATCATGGTGGTCGCCGTGCTGATGGACCATGGTTGCTGTATTACGTACTGGGAAATTGGATTCACTGGCTGTTTGTGGTTTGCGAAATTCAAAATCCTCCTTCACCTCGTGGTACTTAATGTAGCTTCCATTGTCTTTATATAAAGACCAAAATTTGAGGCTCTGCTGCCGAGCTACCCGGCGCGAGATGCCGAGCTTGGCGATGGTGATGCCTGTATGACGTACATGACCGATCCGGCCCGCCGCAACCGCGAAACCGGGTATACCGGCCGCGCCAACGTTGCGAGGGTTGCGTTTGCAGCTTGTATTAAAACAGGCGTTGTGTACTGTACTTTCTCTTGACAGCTCCGTACGGTCTTGCCGCGCATATTCTTCCTCGCGCGTCCTGCGTGCCAGCATCCTACGCGTGGGGGCTGGTTGGTGTCGACAGCTCATTGGTGGGTTACCTGGATAGTTGAGACCATAGAGTTTAGTGGACATTGGAGCGATGCTTCAGAGGCCTGATCAAGAACAAGTATGCCTTACAAGTTGTGCGGCGAGGGTTGCGGTTTTTATTGATGCTCTTCTTCACTCTACACTGCGTCAATAGTTGTGCATCTTGTAACCCTCATAAGAGACGTCTGCACTGAATACTCAAAGTCTCGTTGAGCTGTCTAAAAGTTATTGTCACGTCTTTCCTGGCCTTCTTCATTCATGCACCAAAATCAAACTCTACTCTCTAGTCGCCGTCTGTTCCATAGCTTGTTCGGCTACGGTATTTTGTTTCATATAAAACCTTGGACATACTTGTCTGTTCCTAGATCTCATTAGGAATGGCTCGCTGTTTCAGCACCCTCATTAACTAATCAGAAAGGCTGAGCTAACCAACTCTTGTGCCACCACTAGCAGATGGGCTGTCGCTGCCCAGGCCCGCTGCTGCAACCACATTTCCTTGCTGGGCGCCGGATTGCGACGACATTGCAGGGCTGCTGTGTTGGGCAGAATACTACTGGCTAGCCAGCAACGGGCAGGTGCGTGGTGAGCGTCCCAGTGGCCACCGGTTCTCGCTCGTCAAGGTCGCATGGGCCAGCTAGTGAGCTGTGGTAGACTGGATGGCGTTGTGCGCCCAACGAGAGACAAGGGCGAACGATTGGGAAGAGATGAGGGGTCGTAAAATGGAAAGGGGCTCCCACGATTCGAATTAGGAATGCAAGAGTTTCCGAAAGAAGAGTTGGTGCCTGAACGCGGTAAGTCCAAGGTTATTGATACAATGCGTCATAATCGTGTGCGACTTGACCTGATACCAATGCTCACAGAAACAGGGCTTTTCTGTCGTATCTGTCGGTATCCGTATCGCAATACACTGAGAAACGAACGCTGACACTGCTTGTTTTCTGCGAACCAGTGATGGAAGCGTGGGGAGTACAGAGGTTGTGCGAGAGCAAAACGATGTAGAATGTTCTTGTAGGTGCAACCCGCCATCTTTGCTCGCGATTCTTCCACACAGGTTAGTGGATGGGACAGCTCACGTTTCTAGATTGAGCTCGGCCCTGTGTCACAGCAGTCACAACCCGACAAGGCTTGACCTACGTGTCACAGAGGGAGCCTCGTGTTCTGTGTTGGTACTACGTTGGACATCTCTCCTGCACCCCCATTTCGTTCTCGAGCCCAAAGGCGGCTACAAAGACCAAGGCGGTGCCATTTCACAAAGCATTCGCCAGCCCTCGTCATTACCCACTATTATGTCCGCTGATGACTTCTAAACTCATAGAGATGCTAGCCTCTGCGAGAGAAGAATTCGCCGATGTTGAGGTCGAAACGAGTGTCTAGGCGCGTCGATTCGCGAGAGAACAAGTTAGGGCGACGAAACAGTTCAAGCCCAACTTTAGTCAAGAGAGAAAACAAAGAGCGAGTTTACACGTATGCATGGTGCAACTGGTGGCTGTGCTGAGACATTTGCGCACCAGAGTGCCTGATGCCCAAAAAATCATATGCTCTTTCCACATGGTGGACTGAGATGGATGCAGATCGAACAGTTAGCACGGTGCCGTATGCAGGTGTGCATGAATTCTGCGGTGTAGGGCCGTTGGTGACAATCAATAGAAGCAGCACCTGTGCAAGAAAGGTGCAGACTACCCGGGCATCTGTCCGCCGGAACTTCGGCGTGGGCAAGGTTGGAAAGACGGCAGCGGGCCCCCGTGATAGTCATTGGAAGATGATAAATGGCACAAGCCGTGCGGTTGCAGGATGGGCCCCAGACTGACGTGCATGACTGGCATACCGGCGTGCATAATGGAAGAGGCTGGTCGATGCTGGATCTGCACGAAACGTACTTTGCGCAGGTAGTCCCGATAGAAACGAGCGGAACGAATGAGCTGGCTTTCCTGGAAGTAGAAGCCAAGCTAATGCTGCGGACCCCGAGTTTAGCGCCCCCTGCAGCACACAAGCACACAACATCGGCAAGGCAAAAGAGGCAAAAGAGGCAAAAGCATGGATGCAGTGGCGAGCTGGCCCCCACACGATGAAGTGGAGGGTTGGCAAAGAGGTGTCGGAATTGAGCAAGAGAGTGGTTGCAGGGTGCAAAGGCACGGCGCGCTGCAAGGCCAGCCAACAAGAGACCAATGAGAGGTGCTTTGTCGCCGGGCAGGTTGCTTCCGAAAACGAGGGCGCTTCTTGCGAGAGCAATTGAGCGGGCCAACGTTGGCCTAGTCGTTTCGGAGAAAAGCGAAGTGGCGACTAAGAGAGAGACGGGGAACTGGGATGGCAATGCCGTTCATCGGTGAGTGGTGGTGCTCAAAAATTGTTGCGATGCGCTGGCCAACATGGCATCGAGAAGCAAGGCGCCACGGCGTCAGTCTGGCGAGACATGCCGCAAAACTGCACGCACAACTGCAGGCAAGAGGAAATTATCCCCAGCCACCGGTCAATCGTTGAAACGAGTGAAGCTGAAGCTGCAGAGATGATACGATTTTGCTCATCAGCTAAATGACGGGAGGATCGGGCATCTGGACGCGAGATGCGAGACGCTTTCGCTTTGGTCGGCGATGGTGATGGAAAGTCCACCGGGAGCATGACCCCAAGTTTCCAAAGTGTGGGCTTTGTGAGGGGGAGACGGAAACGAAACGAAACTAGCAATAGCCGTCAGTTCATTGGGTTGTTGAGGTCGTGGTTCGGCTTTGGCAGCCAAAAATGTTCCTCTCTAGCGCGGGACTGGGGTTGTCGCAGCGCGATCCTGGTTCAGCGCCCGAAAGGGAAATGGCAGTGACAAAAATAGACGACGAGGACAAAAATAGATGGGGTGTACAAGGGGACGTTGGAGAGTAAGACACGGGGGGGGCGAGGCATTGAAAGGGCGGAATGAAAAGATGGGGAAATAAAAGGGTAGAGAGCTAAATGTAAAAAAGCAAAAAAGACGGGTGATGAGGATGGAGGATGGAGGATGCGGCCAGCGAGCAAACGGACCTCGAGGATGATGACACTGCCGGCTGCCAGCTGGCAGTCGACAGCTGGGTCTCGTCACCAACTTGCGCTCGGCTAACAATGATGGTAATTTGCAGGTAGATACGATGCTAGAGGTTAGACTGGGGTAGAAAATGAATAGAAACAATTGTTCCAGTACCTCGGTGCGCGAAAGCAAACTTGGTTCGCAGCCAAGTATCGGTACTCGGTAGTTGTCCAAGATCTGTTTGTCGCCGAAACAAGCTACAAACGCCACAAACACCAACAGCTCCAACTTGCAGCAGCACTGACGAATGCTAGGTACTGCCGGAGTTCAATAACTGCGACGCTTTCCGAGCTATGCATCGTGGCTGCAATGCAATCGGCATAAGTAGGTAGGTATCCAAGAGCGCCTATCATACACGGAATCGGGCTGGCGCTCCGGTCAGGATGGTGTCCGGCCAGGTACCTAGGTACGTACAGATGCAGGGCTCAGCCTCCCGTGAAACGACGAGGGAGAGACACGCAGACAGCCTTGCAGTCCTGAGGTTATAATAGACTTTGCAGTGGTTTGGTCTGTTTCTTGGCCTCCTGCTCCTGCCTGCATTGATTTTCCCTTCCAGCGGTGATCCCATGCAGCGGCCCGACCGGAAGCATTGGGCTGGTGTTGGTGCCACAAGGGGAGATGATCAGGACTGGGTATTTCGGGGCAGCGGAGTTGTAAGCAAGGTACAGGATATAGCCCGGGGGTTTATATCGCAGATTCCATGTACCGTTTCTTACATATTCACATGATATTTGGGGTAAATGTTCGAGGAAGGGGGAGTTGTGCAGCTCCATCCATGTCTGCAGGGTCATGTGGGTGCAGCATGCTGGTGGCTGGTGATGACCAGCGCCCATTGCTGTTTATGGTTTGGCTTATCTGATGTGTGCCAACGTGCCTTATTTTTACCGTCTTCTGTTTCTCCGTAGTTTATTACCTGCCGTGCCTATCCTGACGGGTCGGGTCAGCCTCAGACTCAGACAGCATGAGCAGCCCAACCAGTCCAGATTCGAGACATTGCCATTCAGCGATTCGTGCGTCCGGCCAGGGCATGGCAACAGGGGGGGCCAGGGCGAGGACAAGGGCACGAGGCACATGTGGTGGCGCGCGCCGCCGTTGGGGAGCCTAATCTGGTAATTCTGGCGCAGGCGGGACAAGAGCCGGGCAGGGTTGGACGCTAGAGGAGAGTGAGAGCCGGGCAGGGTTGCTCTTTGAGAGGCGTCCAGGGTGGGCGAATCCATGTCGAGTGCGACAGTAGCGTGCGTGACGGCGCAGGTGCGAGTTGTTGATGGCGGCCGTGGTGGCCATGCATGGTCGCGCCAGCATGTGGTCGGAGAGGTTACGGCACTCGCAGGACGGAGCAGGCCGGCGGACGAGGTAATGGTCGAGATGGCTGTCAGTATCCGTACTGGAGCATACATGAGCATACATGGGCATAGAAGCGCCACAGCAGATTGGCGTCTGAAGAAGAAGGGTGAGCGAGAGGGATTATCCGAGCAGGACAATGGCCGACGGCTGGCCGCCACATTGTGTCCCCGCCATTTTGGTGACAACCCGGGGACGGTGGTGAAAACGTACCCAGCGGACCGGTAGTGACGGGCAGGGCTGGGCGAGGCAGCACAAAGCAAGACGAGGGCGACTTTGGCGGGCTTGGAACTTGGGGGTGCAGTTGGACAAACTCGTAGGCAACTAGCTCGTGGCTCGTGGCTCGTGGCTCGTGGCTCATGGGCTCGTATTGGTGCATGATGGCAGCCATCCACTCGGGGGGTGCATGTTCCACCGGAGCGCAGGAGTGTTAATTTTGTGTAGGGATGGTGATGGTTTGTTGCGACCCGTTGTTGTGATTGTTTTTGTTGTTGTTGCTGTGGCCGTCGTGTCTGCAGTATCGCGTTTGCTTGATGCTGGAGGGAGCATGCCGATAAGCTAGTACCAGCATCCGTCTTGCTGCGTGTCTTGGTACCGGTTCACCCGTTGCAACGGCCTAAATACTTGTAAGCAGCCGTTTACTGGTAGTAGCTCCCGTTATTCAATTGCTAAACCCGGATCTACCTACCTAGGTATGGCTTGAAAACCTACCTAGGTAGGGAGTAATCTAAAAATCTAAAGCATTCGACCGACCTAGGCCTGGTCAAGACAGTTTTGCTGCTAAGAATAACTAGCGCCTCTGCCGTTGCTGCTACTGCTCTCACCACCAAACACAGTCTAACAGTAACAATTCATGCCTTGGCTGTTCGTCTGCCTTAGCGATTTGGCTACAACCCGGCGACCACTGACTGACAGCTGGCATGACTACTGTAGGTATTCACCCTTTGCCCCTCCTCCCTCTGTCTTCCTCGCTGGACTCCGTCATTCTCCCCTCCTTGTCCGCCTCCTCTTTCTTCCTTTTTCCCCTTCTCTTCTCTCCTCCTCCTTTGGTATCATCACCCATTCATCGTCGTCGTACCGATTTCCATCGTTTGCCATACTTCCCTCTGTCAATTCCATCCCCCTTCCCCTCCCCCCCTCCACTACACCCCCCTCCCCTCCCTTATTCCTTCTCCCCTTCTGCCCCTTCACACCCTTTTGTACACCCTCCCCTTGCCCTATTGGTTTTTTTTTCCTTTGGCGGGCCGTTATCCTCACCTCAAAGTCCCCCTCCCTCACACCATCTCACACCATCTCACCTTGCTACACCTGCCTTTGTTCCCGGTTCCTTTTTTCTTTTCTTTTTTTTTTCCCTTTTTCTTTTCAGGGACCAATTCCCAACGAGGCTGTGCTCCAGCAAAGACAGCGAGACACAGACAGGAAACAATAAAAACAACAGCCTCTTCGCCTGTGGCTCGTCTATCCGTCCGACTGTTTCTAGTATCCGCCAGCCGAAGCTTGATCACGCCTCTCTTTCCCGACTTATCCATGTCTGCAGTCTCTCTCTGTTAGCTCTTGGTCAACTAGGCAGCTTCCATCTTCTAGCCTGCCTCCGTCGTTCGTTTCCCCAATCATCACAACCACCATCTTGACGACAATCGCAACACGACATTCTTACTACGGCTCGTTCACCTTCAACGCCCTACTTCTTCTTTGTTCTGCTTGTTCTGCTCGGAGCACCACTTGGCTGTGTGTTTGCTCTACCGTGGTTCGGCTAGCTCGACACGCGTCCTTTGTCACCTTGCTCACCTACCGGAATATTGTCATCAATTGCCAATTTGTTTCGGCTCATCGTTTCAGTCGCTTTGCTCGCACCCATACGCATCTCTGGCAATTCGACTCCCTCGCCGCAACGCAATTAACTCGTCCGGTCACCGCATTCCTGGCTTTCCCTGCCGCCGACGTTCCCGCTGAGGCTGCCTCCCGTCATCTTCTCCGCCATACCTGGGCCTACCTCGCAAACTCTATTCTTGTTTAGGTCTGCACCTATCCCATCATCGTCCCCGCGCCTCCACTCGCGCCCACGCCGCCGGCCATCTCGCATTGTCGACCGATTTTGTCATTGGACTGTATCACCTTCATCCACCTCGATTCGTCTGTCTTCATCGCCGCCTTTACCACGCTTTCTCTCCACACCCTCTTCACGCCCTTCCACGCGTCTGTGCTGCGCTGCCAATTCTGCTACTCTGCTGCACCTCGACCACACACCCTTTGCCTCCACCTACCACGCTTCGTGTCCCTGTCGTGCTGTATCGCGACGCTCCCACGGACCTCTCACAGGCTTTGCACAATACTCATCTAAACAGCCTGCTCATCCACACCTCCACCGACCGTTTTGGAGCAATAGCCCGCATTTCTGACGGTTCCGAGTCAAGTCTACTTGCCTCCTCAGGAACCGTCTCTTGAACTGGCCTGTTCTTCTTCTTCGCCATTGTCCTCGAGTCCATCACACGCCATGCCGGAATGACCTTGAGATGCTCCATGCATAGAATTCTTACGCCCCTCTGGTCCATTTCCGCTTTCGTCTTGAGCTGGCCGCCACATCCAGCTTGCTCGCTCACTCAACCGCCCTGTGCATTGGCACGGCCAAACCAAACAAATCAAAGTTGATACTGATTGCTCACACGACTTGTATGCTTACCCTGTCAGCCTTTCTGCCATGCCCCAGTCTTTCTTCTCATCTCCATAGCTTGTATTCTATCTCAGTCTTTCTGCCTCTGTATTTGCTTACCATTTTCTGTACACGGCCGTTTTATCTATACCCTCCCTCTTTCGCCTGTCTTGCATGCTTCCTGTTTATTCTTCACCTGCCCTTTCGCTTGCCCTGCGTACCTCTTGCTCAATCTTCATCTGCTCCTTGCGCCCGCTCACTGACAGCATGCTGACGCTCCAGAAGCATCCAATACCGCCTTACGGCTATAAGGCTGTCCATGACCTGCCGACACCACCTTCGGCCATCAACTCTCCAATCACCAATTCGTCAAGCACTTACTCACTGCCCTGGCGAGAGCCTTTAGCTCCTTTGACCATGTCGGCACCTCATCGTGGCCTTCCGCTTCCCCCGGCCATGTCCATGACACCTCAGCAAGCCACAACTCCGCATCCGCCGGCCCTCCAACCTTCGCATCAACATTCGCACCAACCTCCACCTCCCGTTCACCATAGCCAACAACATCCCCTACCGCCGCAACCTGCGCCTTCTCATCATCAGCATCAGCCTCAGCACCATCATCGAGACTCCTGGGCGCCAGGCCCTGCTCCTGCTCCTGCTCCCGCGGCGCCTTTCCCGCCCCCTCCGCAGCATTGGTCTAATTCAGACGAGTCCATGCGAAATTGGCTTCTAGCTCGAACCGAAGAAGAGAAGACGAGACAGGAGGAGGAGAAAACGAGACAGGAGGGACTTCGTTTGGAACAACGCAAGATTGAGATGGACATGCTACGCTCTTCTCTCAGCGGGGGTATCCCCCCTCCCATGATCCCTCTCGTCTTTACTGGTATGGCCAGTGGCGGTATCCTACCGCAGACTGCCTTGGACTGGGCTCACCAGTTCATGGTTTCGCAACAACAGCAGTATCCACAGCTACCTCCTCCCCCGCCTCGGCCCCTGTCGCCCGAATCTCAACGTGAAGCTGCCGCCCAACCGCCTGCTCAATACCATCCGCCGCCCAACCTCCCACCACCACATGGGGGCGCATATGCTGCCTATGCAACCTCACCAACAAGGGCACGAGGGCAGACTGTCTCTACAGTGGCTCGGCCGGCCGCCGGTTCCAACATTTCGTCAGCCGGATCAAATACGCCTCAATCGGGAGGTCTCCAGCCAAGCACCTCGACACTAGGCCCATTTCAACCTCAACAGTCGAGCGGAGGGCAACCAACTCAGCATGACTCTACTCTCTACTTTCATCATTGGCTACCACCGGCAACACAGTCGGGTCAATCTTCTGGGGCATCAAACAGACCCAGCAGCCCAGCAGGCGAGTCACAGAAAAAGCGCAAAGCCGCGGCAGACCCGTCCCACCACAGCCGTACCAGCAGTACGCAACGTCCAAGATCCCCGCCAACCTTTGTTCCAACCGATTTTGCAGGAGCCCCGGGCCGCAAGTCCCACAAGCGGCACAAAAGCGATGTTTCCTGGCATCACGCCCCCCGGCATGCCATAGGTGCAAGCCACGACTCGAGGCATCGGGCTCGAACGCCGGCGCAGGATAACTCTTCGACCTCGTCTAAGGACCGAGAGGTGGCCGAAGGTAGTAAACCGAAATGATTCGTGTTTGCATAGACTAACCAGTGGAAGGATCTCGCCGTGATTCACAGTCAGAGACGTACGCACGTCCCCGCCAAGAAGATGAGGGACAGAACCGAGACCGCGAACGAGAACGAGAAGCTTCCGCCGCCCCTGGCGAAAGGGCCGCGTAGCACGTCCGATTATTGTCACATGTTTTGTTTTCAAGCATACACTATTTTTACACGACACGAATCTTATGAACAAGTCACGTCGACGAGAACGAATTTTCTTTGGCACTTGATGTCATTTCAGCATAGGCATGCGGGACATACAGTTGGACGCACATTTTATGCATATAATGCAATGTGCCTATACTCGAGATGCACTACTAGGTTGCATCTAGTTATGCAATTCGAAGCTCTCTTCACTTGGATTGAGTATTTTTGCTTGCGTCTTCTCTCTTCACATTTTGTCGTTATATGCTTTGATTTTCCTGAAATGTGGTCTAGTTTCTCTTCTACCGTGTGTGTACTGCCATTATCGAAGCAAACACCACAATTGTTTTATTCCTTTTCCGTTTGAGAAACGATGCCACGTCTTTTGTCACGACAGAACTGAATGTTGTTAGGACGATGCGAGAGCTGATTCACGAAGACACGCGCACCATGGCGTTCTGGGTGTGTATATAGAAAAAGTATATGAATTGATTCCGGTCATGGACAGATACACTTCGCGCCATTTATGCGAATACATTTACCAGGTTTTGGGTTATACAGAAATTCGCAATGATTTGCACAATGGTTCTTTAGACGTGGATTGTTTTGTATTTGTCCGTGTGGCCCCGTCCCAGTAGATTGGTAATATGAAAAGAAGTCTTGGTTTCGGATTTTCCCGATCCCGCAACGGCCCGATTGATGTTCCCCGTCGCTTTGTGTTGTTCCCGCATCACCCATCACTGCATGTACACCTTGACCGGCTCATAAAAAGTAGCTTGACTGTCTCAAGCAAAACGTAGAGAAGACATGATGGAAAAAAAATGCAATTTGTTCGCTAACGAAGAAGACGAAGGCGTAGGGGTATAAGAGAAATGAAGAGGGAGAAAAGAAAAAAAAACGACGATACAAAGGAAAGTAGAAATGCTTGGCTAATAAAATATCTAATTTCTTTGCCGTAGTTGGTGGGTGGGTGTAGAAGGAAGAAAAAAAAGACGGATAGAAAAAGGGTATCAATCATTACGATGAATGAAGAACAAAGGACGTGGGACATGAGGAAAAAGAAAACGGCGTTATGGGGTCGGGGGGTGTTTGCAACGAGACTAGATTTTTCCCCGTCAACAAAGGAAACCCCCAATGCGACAGAACAAAAACAACCAGAGGAGAAAATCATGAGCGTCTCTTAAGCTGCGTCTTCCACTCGGCCTTGGCCACCTTCATGAGCAAGTCCTCGTCCTTGATGGAAATCCACGACGTGAGGGCCTTCATGGCGTTTTCAAAGTCGGCGTCGAGGAGCACCTCGCGCAGGGCCTGCATGAGCGCCGCGCTCGTGGCATGCAGCACGTCGAGGCCGCTGCTCGGCGCTGTTTGCGTCGTTTCCTTGAGGGACGGGAGAGACACGACGCTGGCGACGCTTGGTTTCGGCTGCGGCGGCGGCGGCAGCTCGGTGCCGCCGCGGGCCGCGTCGCCCAGGAGCAGGAACACGTCCCAGACGCGCAGCTGGGCGGCAAACGGAATGGAGAGGTTAAATAGGGTCAGGTACCAGCGGGTGCCGTAGGCGGTGCCGTCGATGCCGAGGTCCTCCATCTTGCGCGCGACCTCGCGGGGCAGCCAGACCGTGGCCAGCTCGCGCAGGGCCGCCAGCAGGCCGTCGAAGCCGGGTTCGTAGAGGCGCTCGAGGCCGCGCAGGCGCCACATGCGGACGAGCATGACAAAGGACTTTTCCTCGTCAAAGTAGCAGAGTAGCGTGGCCGCCAGCGAGGCCATGCCTTGCACGTAGCCGGTGGTGGGGAAGTAAAGCGAGAGCGCGTGCAGCACACGGAAGAGCAGCCGCTGGCCACCGCGGTAGCGCCGCCGAAACATGACGTGGGAGGACACGGTCCGCGGCACGTCGAGGTCAATCTGGATGTCGTCGGCTGAGGCGCGGTCCTGTAGGCGGCGAAACGCGGCTGTGATGTCGGCTTCGGTGGCGGTGGCGTCGCCGGCAGGGTGCTCCCGGGCAGATGTGGCGAGAAAGGACCACCAGGCGGCGGCGCGCCACCGGTCGGGGATACCCTTCCAGGTGCGCTCAATGAGCTTGGGGTTGCGCGTGTCAAAGTCAAATGCCATGCCCTGGCCGTGGTCGTGTTCGTCGTGGTCTCCCGTGCCGTTGCTGTGGACGACGCGCGCCATGCGCCGCCATTTTTCGGAGCGCTCAATTTCTTTGCGCTTGAGCGCCTCGGAGATCTTTTCCACGCGCGCCTCCTCGACGCTGTCCTGCAGGTTCGGGGACACGGTCAGCATGTCGCCGGCCTCGTCCATCCAGCGCCGATTTCTATTCTGCGGGAGGAGGTTGCTGGCCTGGCGGAGGACGGAGCGCGAGGAGCGAAACGAGACTTGCGAGACTTGCGAGTGCTGAGTGTAGAGGGAGCGTGCCGAGGCCTTGCGGCCGGGCAGGCGCCCGCCGCCACCCTGCGCCGAGGCGAAGCCCATCGGGTCGCGCTTGGTGAGCACGTTGCGGCGCCGGGGCGACTGGTTGAGGGAGCGCACGTCGGATGGTGTGCCCACACGCGAGAGGCTGCGCGGGGTGCCGATGAAGCCGTAGCGGTCGACCATGGCGCTGTCGAGGTCGTCCCAGTCCTCGAGGCCGCCGGCCGGGTCGGCGAGTTCGTGGCGCACGGGGGCCGCGGCGTCGTGTTTAAGCTGCGACAAAGAGCTTGCGGAATTTGGAACGGAAGAGGCTGCTGCGGGAGAGTTTCCGTTTCTGGGGAGACGAGAGGAAAGGGTCAGTAGAGTCTCGGGCTGGAGAGAGAGCGGCGGCCGCAGCCGCTGTGGCAACGAAGGGAAGTTCATACGCAACGGACTCGTCGTCTTCGGTCAGGACCTCGGGGTGAGGCTCCAACCGGTCGCAGTACGAGTGTCGAGCGGATTCGCGCAGCGAGGCGGCGCGCTCGCCTGACGCGTATAGCTGGCGCACCTTTTGCGACTCCTGCTCCATGTCGGGTGTCATGGCGGGCAGGTCCGAGGCGGGCGACGCGACGGCGCAGCTAGTTCCTGACGAAGCAGGCCGCGGCACGGCTGCAACGACGGACGAGTGCTGGGTCGGCGTGGCGCTGCGGTCATCGTCGTCGGTGAGGGACAGGCGGTTCATGGCAGCGATGCTGTTAAGGTCAAACATCAGGCTGCCGCGCTTGGAAAAGTGCAGCGACGCGAGGAAGTCGTCGTCCAACAGGCTATCGGTGGGGATGGCGACGCCGATGGGAGAAAAATCGGCAGCGCGCTCGCGGTCAAGGTCAGGAGAGGGCGACGACATGGTGGCCGATCGGGAGGAGCTCCGCGCAGGGGGTACAGGTGGCTGACGTTTGGCGGAGGCTGGGGTTGCTGGGGTGCTGCCGGGGCCGGTGTGAGCCTGGGCGGCAGCAGCAGCAGCGTCGCCGGGAATACTCGTGTCACCAACAACAGTCGTCGAGCCGCCCCGCAGCTGGGAGACGCTGTGCCAACGTCGGAAAGCTTTCGTCGCGGAATCGTCGTCGTCGTGCGGCGGCGGCAGCGGCAGCGGCGTGTGGGCAACCGTGGCGCCGTCGTCGCGAGAGCCGCCCCAAAAGGACAGGCGTTGCAGGCCGTGTCGGCTGAGGAGCTTGCTGCGGCGGGACGTGGAGCGAACGGGCGATGGGGGCGGCGAGCTGGAGGTGGAAAGAAAGTCGGAGGCGGTGACGCTGGCGGCAGGTTGATGCTTGGAAGAGGGAGAAGAAGAAGAAGAGGAGGAGGAGGCGGCGACGGAAGAGGCGATGCGCAGGTCGAGGGGTGCAATAACTGTCAAAGGCGATCGCGTGGAGGCCCTAGCGGCTGCAGGGCTGCCAGTATTATTAGTGGGCGCACAGGCGCTCTTTTTAGCAGGCGCACCGGCGGTGCTGCACTCGCTAGGGGAGGGGATGGCCGCCCTAGCAGTGGCAGGCCGCACGCCGTTCAAACTCTGTGCGCGGCGGGTTCCGGAAAACGCAGTGCTGGGATTATTATTATTCCCAGCTGCCGGAGCCCATGTGGCGTGTTTGGACCACTGCTGCTGCTGCTGCTGCTTCTTGTCCCTGTCCACGAAGCAGTCATCCTGGTCCCTGAGCCCGACGACGTTGAGACGCTCCTCCTCCAGGATGGTGTCCTGCATGACGGCGCTGCCGTGGCCCGAGTCCCGCTTCCACTCGTCGAGCGGCAGCAGCGGCGGCGAGCGCAGGGCAGGGTGCTGCTCGGTCGGGGGCGCCACGACGGGCAGTAGCTGCAGCTGCAGGCGCGGCGGCGGTGCCACCACCACCACCGGCCCTGCTGATGGCGAGGAGGACGGGGGGCGCCGCCGTGAACGGACGTGGCCGCGGTGCCGGCCAGCGAGACACCCGACACGGACGCCGCGTACGAGCGCCCCGAGGACGACGTCGTCGTGGAGCTGGATGGCGAGCGTTGCAGCGGTTTGGGGCGGCAGACGGCGCGCGGCGTCGGCGTGACGGTCGTGGGCGGCGCCGCGGCGACCGTCTTGTCGTACCGGAGACCTACCACGGCTGGCCGGCTGGTGGCGCTCTTGACAGAGCTGAAGCGTGAGGGTGCTGTCATGATGGCGATGACTTCATGTGTGTGTGGCGTATTTCTTTCCGGCAGGGCTGTACGCCGGAGATCTGTGGAGGGGATGGCAGCGAGCTGTTCAAGTGATTTTCAGCAGGCTGATTCGGCACCGATTTGTGTGCGTGGGTGTCAAATTGGCGGCTTGAATCTGTTCCCAGGTTCCTCGTCGTCTTTTTAGCAGTGGCGCAAACGGCGTCAATGTCCGTTGATAGAGTGCTGAGCTTCCTGACAAATGTCTGAAAATCGTCAAGATGCTGAACGAGACGTGTAAGCCTATAGTAGACGATGTCGAGGCTCGATTTCCGTGTAAAACAGGTCCAGCAAACGAATCGGTTCCAAGGCTATACCTAAGGTTGGTCGAGCAAGCTAGCGGCGAGCGATGCAAGTTGACTGAGATGCGCGGGAAGCGGTCTGCCTTTTAATTCCTTCCTTTTCGGCCTCGTATATCCTGGATTCCGCTATACTGGTATGGCAGAGCTGTTGCGGTGAAGAAAACAGCTGGGAATCTTCTGTGGCAGGTATTATGTAGTATGGCAGGCTGCGTGCGTGGTGTGCGTGGTGTGGTGGGTGGCGATAGGTACGCAAACGGCGACAGGTTGTTGGTGTTGTAGTTTGCTCGAAGGGAACGACAAACGGCCAGATGGAGAGGGGGGGCAGCAAAAGTTAATGTATGGGGAGACTGACAAGGTCCTTGTGAGGTTTACAAGAAGAAAATGAGTAAAACGACTCACACACACATGGCACACACACATGGACTCACATATCACGACACTGACACCGTCTTTGCCTGGGTCCCGAAAGAGCGGCCACCAGCGCTGCCAGCAAAGAGACTGCTGGGGCCCTTGTTTAGGCTGCGAATTTTGGGGGGGGGGGGCCTTGCACACATGCCACAACATTTTTCCCGTCTCCATAGTCAGGTCTGTCGGCGGTCACTAGGGTGCATTGCTGCAGGATCGCATGTACAAGCGGTACCTCCGTTGACTTGATATTCCCAATTCTTTTTCTTTCTTTTTTTCTTCCCTAGTTCCTAGTTCTGGGCCTAGATTTCTTTCCCCCGTCCGCCCACCGTCGAATCAAGTGGTTGGCAAAAAAACAGTGGAGAAAGCTGACCCAGTTGCGCAAGGCCGGTGGAACGAGTTACAAGCGAGACGCCAGGGACTTTTCTTTGAGTGCCGAAATGTATGCCGAGTCAAGTACTCTGAGCCCCAAGTCCACCATTCTCTAACTCGCAGGTTTCATTTCTCTCATTCTTGTTCTCGTCGCTCATGGCTTTGAAATCCCTCTCCCAGCCCCCCTCCCGGCGTTAAACGTTACAGAATGCTCAACGCCTGTACATTGCGCAAAACCTCCGTGTTGCGCCAGGTTGTTCTCATCGTCATGGCACTCTGGCTTGTGCATCCTTGGGCCAGGATCTTCTCATCGCCCTGGCACCTTGGCTTGTGCATCGCTCGCACAAGACTCCAGACATGCGAAAATGGCGAGCGCCCGATTTTCTTCAGGAAAAAAGCCATTGCGCCGTATTGCCCGTGCTTATCAGGTCACTACTGCCTGTACAAATTACACTCGTTGGCTACCTCTTCTCCAAGCAACAAGGCCGCCACATGCCCTGACTAACAACTGTCCCGGCACCGGCCGCTAAAAGGGAAAGAAAAAAATCGAACCAGAACAACGCACAACGCATGATAGTTAGCTCACAAGCCAGCCAGAGAGCGGCCCAATGTATCTCTTGTACTTGCATGTACCCTACCAAACCAAGCCCACCATCGAACGGCTGCAGCTACCATCGGGACAGGGCGGTATTGATACCCGTTTTGCTGTTGACTGTGCAGAGAAAATATCAGTGGCTCTCCCCGCCACCAATCCACCCATCCATCCCATCCCTCTTCTGCGGTGTGTGTGTGTGTGTGCCGAACCACCAGCTCGGTGGGCTGCTTGTGACATGAACGGCTTATTCCAGGCCCTGTTCTTATTGAATACCTTGAGGGCAAGGACATCAATGAATTGCTGCAAGGCGCTCCCGTCAGGACCATTGCAACACACCGTATTGTGTGACACGCCGCAGCAAACTCCCCTTGGCAGAAAAACCACACAAGATTCGAGGCCGCCAGCGATGTAGTCATGTACATAACTTGCTGGCAAGATCCGATTAGCAGTCGGACCCTTGCCGACCCCTTCTGCATTGGGCAACACACTTCATGTCCAATCCCAGCATGACAAGTCTACCCGCTGCAGGTACCAGCGGCCGACTTGACTAGAGTCACCGCCGCCACCACACCGCTGCCCAAAGTGGCCCAAGGTACATTTATTTGTTGACCGCAACCCCTCCTTCTCTTTGGAGTCCCGAGGTAAAATGCCCTAGTTACTGAGGCCTTAATAACAAACCCTCCTTTATTACTAGCCAACAAACGTGGAGCTTGCCACGGGGCGCGACGAGGACGGTTGCTGCCAACACGGAGGGTTTGCGCCGGCGCGCCGGAGAACAGTAAAAAAACAGCGGGTTGTCGGAATCAAGCCCTGAGTGGTCCCTCGAAAGTGGGCGATGGGAAAAAGGAACAATATAGTCGGATAGTTAACGAATAATTTGTAAAGTGCGGATACACACATCTGGTCGATGCAATGTCGGATTTGGCGTGCAGATGGTACTGCCGAAATATTTGCTTTTTCATGTCACCTTGTCCGATCTCAGCGCTTTTAACACCTTTGGAAAAAGAGACGAAATCAGCAGTCTCGGAACCAAGCAACAACCACCACCACGACTTTCTTTGTACCGGCAGACGGGGGCCTCCCAGCGACTTGCGCTCGGCATCTTGGGTGATTGGTCGCACATGATTGACCCTGTGGTGGTGTGCTCATTTCTCATGCTTGAGTCATCTCGCTGCTGTGGCCAAGACTCGTTGGGTCCAAACAGAGCGATACGGCACACAAAGTTGTCCGCCAAAGAGGTATTATGAACCAGCGCAGAGCCCCAGTGTTGACGATGGGGAGACTTGTTCCCAACGTCTGGCCCATTGTTCCCTTTGGCTACCAAAAACAATCCGCAAAACATCAAAGGGTCCAGCTCAAGCGGTTACAGCACCGATCCCCTCCCAAAATGTCTCGTCTCGGGTACCGCTTCTCGCCCGTGTGGATAATCATCGCGCTCCCGCTGTGCGTCTGAGACAAGGCATGCGCCGAGACAAAAGATGAACGTTGCCATCTGCACATGAAGAAAGACAAAGAAAAAAACGTACACTGCATCCCACGATTTGTGACAGGAGTCCGGCGGGCATCTTTTTGCCAACCGCTGGGGTTCTGGGGGCCGTGGAGTTCCCGCTGTCGCTCGTGATGCCATGTTATGTTATGTACATACCCCGACCATGAAGTGATCCAGGTGACCCGGCGGCAGGCAATAAGCAACAATTAACGCTTACATAGCAATGTTCTAGACAACTCAAGAAGGAGACCTGACGACTCACTTCCCGCCTGATCCACAATATCCAACGCTGGTAAAAAAAAAACAGTTGCCAAGCACATTTTCTTCGTCAACTGATCAACAGCGTTTGCGCCTCAACAATTTTTATGCTCGGCAGCAGCGCCCTCCCAGATTTTCACTCGCTTTTTTTCTCCCCTCCTCGTGACGAAACAAAAAAATCAACCACGTAGCGCCATCTCTTACGCTTCACTAACAGGCTGGTTCTTCAATTACAAACTTGGCCGTTTGATCCCCCATGGGAAATCTGGACGTGGGGGCGGGGGTCAAAGGCTCCAGATAGGATACTACCCTGTACCGTAAATTGAAAAAAACCCTTTTTGCCTTCGTTGCGCCTGAAACGGGACCTCGCGCACTGATGTTGTTTTGGGAGAGCGGCCTCTTGTTCGTCGTTGGTTTCTTCTAAGGGTTCCTCTGTTGGCAAAATGTTTCGACCGCAACTGAGGCCTCCAGGGTTACTCCCATTGCTGGGTTGTCTTCTGCTGCAGGTCTCCCAGTGCCACGTTGGCGAGGTCTGACCGTTGTGCCAACACACTTCACACACCCACCACAAGGGGTTTTCCCTTCCCCAGGACCCCGAAACAATTATTCTCTTCATTGTTTTAAGATTTTTTATTTATTTCCCTCATGCAAGCACTTAAAGTCAAGGCTCCTCTTCCCGTGCCTTCCGCACGGGAGAAATGGGGAACCCTTCATGTCGCACCGTAGAACGCCCGTTTCGTCCAAGATTTGTTGATAAATGCCGCTCACACATGGGATCCCCCCTTTTTCCGTAACTAGTCGTTTTTGTTTGCCCATTTTTTTTCTTAGTTGGAAGTTCTGATTTCTCCTTTGAGCGAGAGTTGCCGTCCGGGGTTCTGGCTAACACCTCCAAAGCAACAAGGTGTACCTCGGCAGTACCGAGTCAAACTAGTTCGCGCCGGCCGGTTCTGGGTAGCTTGGCCTTGGTTTATCATCGAACGAGCGATTACCAACTTGATGATTTTCTCATCATTGTAACCCCCCACACCACCATCACGACACTTCACTGCCTATTCCAGCCTCGCCCCTGCCAAGGAACTAGACAGCGTTGGGACAGCGCGGCCTACATCCGGAGACGGAACAAGGCCTGGTCAGGAACGGGCAGCAAGTGTCCCCGTCCTCTGGTTAATAAAAACCACGTTTTTTTTTTCTTTTTCATTTCGCTCACGCCGCACCCTTTGCCAGGGTTCCCCGTCTAACTAGTTAGCCTGACAGGAATACAGCCGTGGACAAAAAAGTGCACACTGTTGTCATCATCCCAGCAGCTACTCCGAAGTAATAATAAGAGGCATTGTATTGTTTGGGAGCAAAGGGACTATCCGTCTCAGCTCACAGTTGCGCGGCACAGGCCCTTTCAATCTCCGTTAGTCGTGCGCGTGCCCGCCCGCGCCGTCGGCTCATGCCGAAACAACCCTCGCCCGGACGACAGTCTCATCTCGCATACGACGCTTTTTTTTCTTTCGCAAAAAGGACAATAATTTCAACAACCACCGCTGCTGTTGCAGAGCGCACTTCCTCTTCCAATAGGAGTTTCTCAGCAACTGCCGCTTCCTGCGTGCTGTCTGGTACGTCCGTGTTACGCTTTCGTGCGACAAAATCGTTCTTGGTCAGCTTTCCCCGTGCTCTTGTTTGTCTGTGCGTGGCGTTGATCGCGTAGGTGACGTTTTCTTTGTAAGGATCCCAGCCCAGCCCGGGCCGGGAATCGGCCATGTGTCAACAGCCGCGACCTGCGAGTCGAGTGCATACGTTTCATGTCAAGTGATGGACAAGGCCCGTGGTCCTGAAACCCGAGGCGCCTTCGCCCTTGTGTGCCCTGCAGGCCCATCTAATACACAAAACATCACCGATTTTATTTGGCGCCGTGTATCAATCATGTAATGTATTGTATCAATAGTCATTTTAATCACTCCCAGATGCATCCGCTTAAACCTCCTCATTCTCCCAGTCCTTCTCCGCAAACATGGGGTCCTTGCGTCCACCGCCGCCCGCCACCTCGAGCTTCTCCAGGAACTCGGGCGGCACCGTTGGAATGTACTTGCGTTCCCGCTCCCTGTTGACGCCGCCAAATCCCGCCCCGTACGAAATCAGCATGTCCGTCACCGAAGGCAGCGTAAACGGCAGCATCAGCGCGGGGTCCATCAGCAAGTTCGGTGGCGCCTCGTCGTCGTCCCAGTCGTCGGCGTCGGCATCGTAGCCCCCTCGTGCCGGCGTGCTCTGCGCGCTCGGGGGCGACGCGCCCAGTCCATTGCCGCCGCCATTCTTCTTGATTGGGGTCGAGGGCACACTCGTGTCGGGACCGCCTGTTTTGGGCAGTGGCGACGCGGCTCGGCTCCGCCGCCGGTCTCGTTTCAGCGCCGCCTCCTTTTGAATCTCCAACAGGTACTTGGTCGCGCTCTTGGGAAGTCGCTTCTCGCCCACTTCTGCGCGATAATGCGTCGCCGCATGAATTAGCTGCTGTGGTGTCAGTCGTTTAAGCTGCTGCAGAGTCCCCACGAGCGCCTCGAGGTCGTCCTCGACGAGCGACGAAAAGCACTGTAGCCACTGCAACAGCTGGATGACGGGTGCCAGATGACGCCTGCTTGCGTCTGCTGTAGTTTCTCCCGTCGACTTTGTCTCGCCGCCTTCGTAGTGCTCGGCTTGCCTGTTGTTGGTTCGAGCCCACTCTTCCAAAAGTGAAACATTCATGCGAATCTGCATAGCTTTGGTCCTCGCCAAGTATTTCCTATTTGACATGACGCGGTTGAACAGCTCGGCCCCGATCCAGTACAGTAGTTGCGAAATGATTTGTGTCGTAATCACCGAATGAATGTCGTACAAGTCCAGCACAAACACCGTCGAGGACAGTAGCGATGTCACGTTGCGCGGCGACGGTTTGGCTCTCTGCTTGGGCGACGGTGGTCTATACCGCTTTTCCAGTGGCTCCTCCTTGACTGTAATCTTTCGCTTAAATAGCTTCCACTCGTTTTGAAAGGTAATGTCCTCAAAGCCAGGGATCGTCTCGTGGTCCAACATGGCTGGGTCCAAAACCTTGTCTAGACGTCGCTCAGCATCGCGCACAATGAGAATGAAAATCTCGTTAATGAGCTCTGCCAGCTGTGTCTGGAATTCTGACGTTGCCTCGACTAGGCCTGCATCCTTTTTGAGGTAGTGTAGCAGTAATGTCGCATTAGAGATCCAGAAAGCTAGAATGGTCATGTCCCACTGGCATGCCTCGACCTTGTCGTTAATAAGGTCCATAGAGGAGACCAGTAATCGTTCCAAAAGCTCTGGACTAGCGTGATAGTGCGCATATCGCGCGCTGAGGAAAATCATATTTGCTGGAACCGGTTTTTGCGATGGCGACCGTTGCGGTGTCATCTTGGTAATAATAATGTCGAGTATGCGGTCGAGTTCGTGCTCCTGGAAAACAAACATTTGGTCATGTAAGCACCTTCCCCAGTCGAACTCTTGTTGCTCTTCTTCGAGTTCTTCCGCGGGCTGTCAACATCAGTCAGCCAGTGGTCAGAATGTTGATATGACCATGCCATTCGGTACGAACCTCGGGTTGGTCATCCATTCCTACGTTGCCCAGATCAACTTCCAGGTCGCGCGCACTTTCCATCATGAGACGGCGGCGCATCTCGTTCTCGGCCATCTCTTCTTCGAATCGATCTTGAGAGAATCCCGGGTTGTAAAAGTCGTCGCCCATTCCAGCGTTACCAATGTTGTAACCGTTGTCATGAAGGTAAAAGGACATGTCGCTGTCGGGAGGCACAAAGTCGAACGCGGTTCGGCCGGACGAGGTCTTCTGGTCCGAGGAGGCACCGTTGTCGAGAAGGAGTTTAGCGATATTCTTGTGGCGATTTGTCATTGCCCACATCAAGGCGCTCCATTGATTCTGGTCCTGCTTGTTGACATTAGCGCCTGCATCGATGAGGGCCTTGACCACTCCTTCGTGGCCCTGCCAACAGTTAGCGTGTGAGCAAATGCATGTTCTGAACATGGCATACAAAGCAGCTGGCATAGATGAGCGGCGGTGTCCCATCTTCATCTGAGGCGTTGACGTCGACGTATATTTTCGCTTTGCCTGCAAGCATTTTTGCAATCTTTTCTACGTCGCCATTGCTGGCAGCCATGTTGAGAGACTTTTGTAGCGTGTCCTTTTTCTCAGCTTCGGGTATCTTGTCGCTTTCGGCAATGGTGCTGTCGTCTTCGGCGCCGTGGCCTGCCTGCTGAGCAGCAGCCTGGGCTGCGAGCATCTCCATGAGTCGGGCGTCGCTGTCCTTGGGACCTTTTGGAACGTCGCCCTCGTAGTCGTTGTCGTTGAGAGAAAGGTTGGCAAAGTTGAGCGGCTTTGCTACGGCCGGTGTCGTCAGAAACTGACTTTCGCCTGGTGAATTGCGCGTGTCAGAGGTTTGGTCAGGGGCGGGGAAGGGACCAGCGGTGGGAGGCTGGGGCGGGAGACTACTCACCTTGCCAGCCATCGTATATTTCCGTCTCGGGGACGATGTATTCTGTAGGCGCATGCCGGCGGTCGTTGAGAGAAGTCGGCAGGTTGGTCGGCATGGGGCGAGGCGGGTACGGCTCGTCGTGGCCGACAGGCGACGTCGATTCCTCGGGATCCATGGCGCAGGAGAGGAAGGGAGGGGCAGCTCCGCACTGCCGGACACGTGCGAGGGCTATGCGGCGAAGAAAAGAGTCATGCGCGCCTAGTTTGAGTAAAAAGGCACAGGCGGTCAGTAGGTGAAGCGCCCGCAGAGGTCAACCAGGAAAGAACGCTGCCTGGTTCAGGTCGTGTGAGGATGGATGGAGATGCAAGGTTGAGGAGCCCGAGGTGGGCGGTACATGGTGTGGCGGGTCCAAGCCACATCATCGTCATCGTGCCAGAGCAGCGGGCGGTAGCCACAACCTGCGACGGGACATGTTCTATTGCCAAGATTTTATTCCTTTAAACGACAAGCAAAAATCATGCCTATGTATTGCTATCTATTTTCGCTCAAATCTTTTGTCATCTACATTCTCCTGTTCGGTACGTCAGCATCGCACACTTGCAGAGTCATTGAGCGGGCAGGGGGCGCGTCGCAGGCCCGTGCCTAGATGGCTCTGCGGCCAAACGCGCGCACGCGCTTGACGCCGCCATCGGGAATCATGACGAGCTTGACGTGAGTAAAGACGCTGTTGGTGTCAGCAGAGGCAAACTCGTGTTCCAGGTCCGCCTTGGCCTTGGTCGGCGGGACCACCTCCTTCCAGCCGGCGTCGTCGGCAGCCGGGCTGGCAGTGGCGGCGTGGATGGCCTCGAGGCGGACCTTTTGGGGAAAGTTGCCGCGAAAGTGCGCCGTGTCGACGACGAACTTGTCGATGCGGCCGGGAGCGCCGAGCTTCACAATGGTCCAGTCGATGTGGTCCTTGCCGCGGGAGCGCTTCGTCTCCCAGCCGTCGCCCATGTCTTTGCCGCGACCGGGCAGCAGCAGGTTGTCCTTGGTGCCAAAGTGCTGGTCGCTGCAGGACACAGCGACGGCGCCGTTTTGCGCGGCCGCGAGGTCCAGCACGGCGTCGGGGTCGGCCGGGAACACGGGCACGGCGTGGCCAAAGAGGCGGAAGCGGGCGATGCCGCCGTCGGCGTACATGTTGAGGCGCACGTGCGTGTACTGCTTCTGCGTCGGGGCGTCGAGCTTCCACGAGAAGCGCGCCGAGGGGCCGCACTCGCGGATGCCCACAATCGTCGACCACCCGCCGCGCGCGCCCTGCCACGACGCCACCTCGTCGTCGTTGTCGCTGAAGCAGCCCTCGACCGAGATAAAGGGCGCGTAGTTGCCGGTGAAGAAGGCCGTGTCCACCTCGATGCCCTCGACGGTGCCCGACGCGACGCCCAGCCGAATCACCACCCAGTCAAAGGGCTCCTGGTTGTGACGGCGCGTCTCCCAGCCGTCGTACCAGGCACCGGTGAAGACCATCTTGCCGGGCTGCGAAATCGGTGCGGTAGGAGTCAGAAGATTGGACGCTTCTGCGAACCACTGGTCTGAAAAGGCAAGAATCTTACCGCCCAGAGTAGCCGAGATGAGGTCTGTACGCGATGGCAGGCTCGGTTAGCAGAGCATGATTTGGAGGCGCAACGGCGAGAAAACATACCAATGCATGTCGAACGGAACGTCTCGTCAATCTTGTCAGCAGGGACGACGCTGGTAGCAACGTCGTCGCTAATCTTGTAGCTGATCTCGTCAATTGTAGTGGCCATGTTGACTGTAGGGTGGGATAGAATTTAAGTGCGCTGCGTGCGGGTTCAGCTCGACGATATTCTCGTTTGGCGATCTTGGCTTCGAAATACCCCGCGATTTTTGGCTTGGTTGCTTTGCTCACACGAACAGTGCATGGAGCCGCTCTAGCCAGGAACGACGGGCGAGGCCGTATTTAAACTGCCCTCCTAGCCTGTGCGCATGCGACTTCGGGCCACTACGGAGGGAGTGGGCTATTGGCGGTGGGGACCGGGGACCTCCGACGCCGGGACACGGCCGGTGCCCAAGATGAAGCCGCTCAGGCGCCAGCTTAAAATCGCATGTCGAAACGGTGCAACGGCGGCGTCACAGACTGGAATTTGGGCGAGACCATTTTCCAGGGCGGGGCTCTCGCCGGAATTCTCGTGTAGGAGGCCTGATGCATGGACACGAGTCTCACAAGCGAGCAAGGATCGTCTCACCGATGACGGGCTTGGCTGGCCAGTTTGAGAGAAAAATGGATGTGAGTTCCAATCAAACGAACACAACGCGCATCACAAAATGAAGCTATCAGGTAATAACGCGCCTCTCGGCAAAATTGCAAGGGAAACTTTACTCGATGGCTTGACGTAACGTCGGAGTCCGCTCTTGGCATGCGGGGCTGAAATTCGGAGGCGCGGGGCTTTTCCACGTTGTTCTATTTGCCTGTTTGTCTGCATGTAGCCATGACCAAATGAATCTGCTTACAGCTCTGGGTACGCAATTGTTCTTGGCCATCAAGAGAACAATAAGCCCTCCTCAACGGCGGGATTACAGTTGGTGTCTCCTCTACTCAGATCGCCAACTTGCAAAGCAAGCCATCTAAGCCTTCAGGCAGTCGCACACTTGCTTATCGATCTTGGGCTTGGCTAACCATGCCCATTTAGGAAGGCCACCTATACACTCGTTGCCTTGCAGGGGTCCAAGCCAACACCAGTGAGTTGTCAGTCGCTGCGGCGTCATGTACGACGAACTAACAGCACACGACGTTTCCGCTGGGGTGCCGGAGGGCGCCGAGGCTGACACTAACACGGTGATGCTGCACTCAGCTCGCCTTGGCTTACTTCCCACGTCCCTTTGCACCACCCTCAAACAATGGCCATTCGAGCGTGAGTGGGAAAATCTTTGCCCAGCCTGGTCAGCCCGGTGGCAAAAGGTATAGGTGGCCTGCGGGCCCTGTCTAGGTGGCCTGTGGATAATGTCTAGGTGTCCTGCATAAGTGGCTTTGGCTAGAGTTTAGCGCCATCGCCATTCCCTTGCTAGGCTGACCGGGCAAGTAGCCGGAGCCGGAGGGGGAGCAGTTGAAGCGAGCGACCGCCCGTCGACTGTGGTGCTGATGCTATGTGCGCACATGGTCATTGCCTGGACCATAGAGGTGAAATGGCTGTCAGACAAAGGTATTCCAACTCGTAAATCTCGTAAATCTTTCTCCAATGGTCATATTTCTCATCAAGAGTCACCGACTTGGACCGAAATCTCACTGCCCAGGTCTCATTGTTCTCTAAATCAGTTAACGACACCGACGGGATCTACTGTCAATGCTATGAACCATATTGGAAGTATGGTAGTCATCTGTATACCCGTTGGCAATTTTCCTCAGGTAGCAGCTGCAACTAGCAAATCGACATCAATGACCGGTAAACGCAGTTTGGGATACCCGCAAGGAATGATGCGTGCCTTCGCCATTGACGACAGAGAAGTGGCCAACATTCTACCTGCAGCCTTGCATTTCAAATGCATCTTAATCAGTAACCAATCAATGTATTATAAACTCTTGGTTCACTGATAGCAGACAGAGGAGGTCAACTTGTTCCGTGCCATAGCGGGGTAATGCTCAGGCTGACCAAACTGCCGATTGCTGCACAACGTAGCAATGCAACCATTGTACGACAAATAGCGAGATGGAGACGATCTGTACACTGGGGGGTGGCCGGCAATTTCTTGACCACTCGGATGTCAAGTTATTTATGCATGCACTTCCATCAATACGAGGTCGTGCAAATTATCCCGCGATCTACCTGACACAGCAGCAGTGCGAATGCAGAACATATTTATTCCGATGGCAGGAAACCCCCTCCTCCTCCTCAAACAACCATCCTTCAACTCTTCACTAAATTCTAGTCATGACTCCATCTTCGTCTTCTTCTCAAGTGGTCGTTGCCGTCACCCAGGCAGAGCCAGTCTGGCTGGACCTTGATGCAGCAGTTGATAAGACGTGTGCACTCGTCTCCGGGGCCGCAAAGAATGGTGCCAAAATCATTGCATTTCCCGAAGCCTGGATCCCAGGCTACCCCGCTTGGATCTGGTAACGACACTTCACAATCGCATCGTGTCTCGAGTATTCTAATCTAGTGCAGGTCCCGGCCGATGGACCCGGAATTGACCACCCGATATATTCAGAATTCGCTCAAGCTGGACTCCCCTCAAGCGGCCAAGATTACCCAATCGGCTGCCGAGCACGGCATTGTCGTGGTTCTCGGCTTTTCAGAGAACGTCAACGGCTCGCTCTACCTCTCGCAGGCCGTCATTGACGCCGACGGCACGATCCGCGTCGCGCGAAGCAAGATCAAGGCAACGCACATGGAGCGGACCGTCTTTGGAGACTCGTATGGCAACTGCCTGGACAGTGTCGCCGACACCGAGGTGGGCCGGGTCGGCGCCCTGAACTGCTGGGAGCATCTGCAGCCGCTGCTCAAGTACCACCTGTACTCGCAAAGGGAACAGATCCACGTGGCGTCGTGGCCGCCCGTTTACAACGACGTCCCAGACGCCTGTCTGGAATCCATGTCGGCCAAGGGTACGTACTTGGTAGCCCCAATAGAACCGTAAGACTGATTGAAGATACTAGGCATATCGGCAACTGTACAGGTGTACGCAATCGAGTCCCAGGCATTCGTTCTCCACTGCACGGCTGTAATGAGCCAGCGCGGTATTGACCTGCTGCGCCTCTCGCGCGGGTCGTTGATAAGCACACCCGGGGGCGGTCATTCGGCCGTGTTTGGGCCGGATGGGGCAAAGCTGAGCGTTGATATACCCGAGGACGAAGAGGGCATCATTTACGCCACCATTGATCTGGACGAGATCCTCAAAGCTCGGGCATTCATCGACGTCTGTGGCCACTACAGCAGGCCAGACCTCTTGTGGCTGGGTGTGGACAAGGGGATCAAGCGACATGTGAGAGACTCTTGACTGCCATGCCCTTTTGCTATCAAGCCTCTCACAGCTTTCCTGGGTATTTGAACTGGCGAGCGAGAAGATCAGCCACGTTACAGCTCCACTGAATCTACCTTTCGAAGCTTTTATAAACAAAGTTGCGATAAACATGTTGTACTCGATAGAGAACGTCCTTCGTTAGTAAACTGCTCATGTTGAAAGCGGACGCTCATAGGCATGGGCGAGATGGGGTGTCGCTGCCACACGAGCACCTAGACGCGCCAAAGTGCAAGTAGTCGACATGTGGCGCATAAAGCGAACAACTTTGGACGCAACAACGCTGTTTAATACTGAATCGCATTCTCTGGATACTCAATAGCGTGATGGACTATTTGCTGAAATACGAGCCCTCCTCAAGCCTCTCACCTGCGGACTGTGAGGCTGCAGCCACCGCCTCAGGTGCATGCCGCGATGAGGGCTGTACCCAAACTCTCAGCTGTGGTTGCATATCTGCAAAGAGCGGAACCTTTGTACATGCCGGGAATATAATAGCTCACCCCAAAGTGTCTTTCTGGGGGTTTTAAAACGAGACATTATTACTTGAGGCTCTGCCCCCGCAAAGAACATAGTGTAGAGTCGTCATGTCATCGTTTTCGCCCAAAATTTCTCGCTTCTTGACAAGTATTGGACCTAGGCTTCTCACAAATTTCCCTATGTTCTGCAGATCCTGCATGTTCTGTGGAGAATCGCAATGAATGCCAGCATCATCAAGCAGCGCCCTTGCCTCACGTACAGTCAGGCACAGCACAGTGGTGGAGGGCAAGATGCGCTCTCCAACACAGGTGATGACTTTGTACTGACGCGGTTCTCCTGTTTTGTAAAAGGGCTCCATGTCTATAACCACTTTGCGGCCGGCTTTCAGGTGCTCCGACACGACAGTGATGGATTTCGCGGAGAACAGTGCAGCTGTGGTGTTTTCAGTGTCTCGCCAAATAGAAAAGCAGAGCACAGATTCGTCAAGGAACAAAGAGTCAAGCATTATCGATCTCAACCACGTCACAATCTTTCTTCTCCGTCGCGTTCCTGAGCTGGTTTTCCAGCGTTTCGATAGCGGCGCAAACAACCTAGAATAGCATCCTCGCCCAGGCTTGAGCTGGGGCCGGACTACATTGGAAAATGCAGCTGTATGCCAACACCCGTGGTGAACGTCGTAAGGACTTGTATCGAAACTTGATAATATAAAAAGACAGCGCATTTGTATGTCCTGCAGACTGACGGCAAACTCGGCATGGAACATTTGGGGCATCGTGATGGCGGACAACGTTGCCCTAATCCCCCACCAAGGCTCTTCAACTTGCTGACGAGACCAACTACCAGAACTTGTTGCGAGCCTGTCAGCTTTTGTTTCACGTCCAATCTCGTGTACTGTCATCAGAATTTGAGAAACTAAACCCTGCAGAAATGGGCGGTCTTTTGGTCAACACTGCGCGAACATGCCGGAGCCAACAGGTGAGACGTACTCAAATGTTGTCGACAAAGAGGGAAATGCCGCCTTCCTGGACAATGGTAACTTCAAATGGTTTACATTTAGAGACTATTCAGATGCAAAGCTTTTTGGATAATATAGCATCGAGGCCGGGTCATCCTCCCATGGAGTCTCATCGACTCCCGTGAATGCAACCAAGCTGAAGGTACTTTGGCTATGAGCCGTGTTGAGCTATGTCATACTGTGTATTCTGCGGCTAATTTTCTCCCCTCGTCAGTTCATCCTGAGCCATCGCTCCACCCCTATACGCCACCCATCGCATAGTCGTAAGCCGTCCCAGTTGAATCTGGTGAAAGGTGCTGACCTCTGCGGGAGAATGGTGGTCTCCAAGAAACACAGTTTCTAACACGCACTCCTTGCGAAAAACATTGGAGTTGGTTCTCCCTTGACGCCCGTTGCACAGGGATAAGGGCGATATTCTAGTTATTATACAACTTTCCAATTCATGATTGTCTCATGTGATGCAAGTATCAAGTACATCTGCCACCCATATACCTCAAGGCGATGCCCAGACCCAGCGCACCGCCCGCTAGCAACAGGGGAATGTACGAGTATCCTCTTTGACAAGAGTAAGATCCATCGTTCAAGGTGCCTGCTAAGACTTCTTGCGGAATAGGCCCTCCGGAGGTTTCTTTCTGGCCCAGATACTGGTACGTTTCCGTTCCCTTGAACCGGTCCCCGCTTGGTATACCTGTAACGGGTCAGTCTTCGTCAAGGTTGGTATTTCCAGGCTCTCAGGCATACCAAGTCCAAACGTGCACTTGATAAACCAGTCACGAGCGTGTTTCATGGCGTCTATATTGTCAGTGGGCAGTTTCGTCCTCATTCGCTGGTGCACGTCTTTGGCGTGCTCGTCCGACAGGGGAAACGGATAAACGAGCGCGTAGGTCTGGAAGCAGAGCGGCAAGAGATTAGCATGCTCAAAGTCAATAATCCAAAGAGCGCCATCCGCGTCGAAGATGAAGTTGCCTGGATATAGGTCCGCGTACACTAGATAGAGTTGGCAGTCCAATTGACACTCGGGCCGTGGCGGGTTGGCGGTGTTCCTAGACCTTTGAGGCATGGTGCTCATGTAATTGACGTAATCCTGGAGAGACGCGACGTCATAAAAGACCTTTGGCGCTTCACTATCTCTGAATAGTGGATGTTTGATCAGGCCTCCTCGGTACGGCCCAGGGGCGGCATCGCTGGGGACGGGGATGGTCAGGAGGATGTCGATGGCCTTGGCAATGCGATCAATGTACTCAAGCTGGTCTTCCCGAGACTTTGTCTTTGAGATGTTCAGAAATGTCATTCCTTGGACATACTCCATGATGATGTATGCGCCCCCAACAACACGGAAAATCTTCGGGACGCGGGGAAGGCCGATAGGCGGGGCGGCCGAGCGGGAAATGACTTCTAGAGCATGGTATGTGAAGGTCTGGGTTTCGGCCTCCATTATAGTCAGGCACGAGTATGAATTTCCATATTTGATGTAGAACAACGGAGAGGGGGAATCAAGCGGATATGGGAATCCCGTGCGATCAGAGCCAGCCGCGTCCTGCGCATCGCGCATCTGTTTTAGCGTCAGGGAATTGGCGGCATCCTGTAATTCTTGTATAGTTTTCATTTTGGCCCAGGAAAAGCCGCCGTGATGAGGTGAGAGAAGTGATAGCACGAGGATAGCTGTCAAGGAAAGAAAGTGGCGTCGCAGGCCGTTATTAGGTGAGGACGCCTGTCATGACTAAGCACCAGCTGGTGCCTTATTTTAGAATGCCTACAAAGCGGGTTAGTGTATTACTATTTCACGTCGTGGAATCCCTGAAAAGGGCAAATGACGACTGCGGGGACCTATAAAACTAAACTAAACTAAACTAAAAAAATAAAACAAAACAAAACAAAGGCCCGTCCAACAGGTCGTGGGGTCGTGGGGCTTTCGCTGGTTAATCGAGGGGTCAAAATGGGTCGCTCGCGGGCCCAGAACCTAATTAGGATGGGGGAGACGTAAGAAGGAGCGTGGCGAGGCCACACCTCGCTGAAAAACAAGGTGTCGCCTTGCGTACTCAAGCCAACTAGCACCAATGGTCTCGTCAACGTAACTGCGTTGGCCGAACTCCGGAGGCGCTATCTTCCCCCGTATCTTCCTGCAATAGATGATATGTCCTGAGGACTTTCGTCGGCCACTGCTACACGTGAGTGTTGCATCGGCGTGGTGGAAGCGTTCATGATAAAGGGCAAAGTCTCCGTGGCCGGTCCGGGCCGCGAAGCGCGTAGGGAAGTGACCAATCAGACAGCAGCGACAACAAAATGTACTTTGTTTTTATAGGCAGGCTAAACCATGATGGAACTCCTAGCATTTCCATTGCACGCTTTACATTGCCAGCAAATTGGCTCCCGTTGCGCATCATCTGATCGGACGAACAGCTCCGAAGCGCCAGAAGGAATTAGAATCGATATGCAGGGATGGCCAAGTACGTAGCTTGTAAGTACCATCGCTTATGTGTATGTGACCTTGTAGGCGTAAGGGATTCTCCAGGTACTTCATTTTGGTTGCATGATGATGTACTATTTATATCCATTGTCACGGGCTGAGTCCGTCCGCGACAGTGGGTGGACAAGTATACCAATGATACAGGTCCACCCAAGCAACCAGGCCCATTGTTGTTACGAATCCTTTTGCCTGGTATTAACAGGCAGCAGCGCTGGCTGCCGCTAGAGCCCACCGGCCCCGTTGCATCACATCCATCAGTCCTCACGACTGATGCTTCACTATGCTGAAACTCGGTGTTGATCCCCGTTCACCTACCTATTCATGGCTTGGATGTATGCTACCTGTGGGTAGAAGAACTCGTTTAAGTTGGCAAGAAAACTGGACGTTTTAAATCGTACCAAATATACATCGAACAGCAGGAAATGACTCTCAAGATACAGTGGCACATTTGACTCCAAGAAGTAGCAGCCTTAGGGCTCCATTTTTCTTACTCTCAGTAATATAGCCGGTTGTGGTGTCATCCCCGCCCAGAGTGGCTGGGATTGGTCTTTAATGTCTTTAATACCGGCCACATTGAAACGGTAGTTATTGAGGTAAGAAGCATTGCCAGCATTTCCCGCACCACCGTACCCTCCGCCGTATCCTCCTGCTGCCTTGTACCCTCCAGGCACTCCGTGGCCGCCACTCTGATTAGAAAAGCGGCCAGACTCGTCTGATTAAACTGTCAGCCGGTATGGGATCCGGTGACCGCGGTGCTCGGTCTTGCGGATGACGCCGGCCAGGACAAAATGACCCGGAGTAATGGGATGAGGCGCCGCCCTGGTCACGCCCTGGTTCCCTTCTTTCCAGAATTTGTTACCGATGAGAATGTGGAAGCCCCTGTGTCCCTCTTGTTGCTCTAGTCCACGGATGGGATTGGTCAACATGGGCGGTTCCTGCCGGGACCAGTTCCACGATACAAGGCCACGCAGGTTCCATTCAATCATACACTGAGCTCTTCCCAGGGTTAGCGTACTTAATCAATGAAGGGCAACGTTCTCTCACATGAAGTCGCGGCAGCCCGCCATGTTTCCCTCATCGTTTGCCGGTTGAAAATCAAACTGCGACAGGGGAAGGATATCGTAAACCCATTTGTGAAAAGGCACCGAAGCTTCCACGTCAAACTGAAAGGACGCGAAGGATGAACGGCTGGATCCCTCATAGGTAAGTAGCTTGATATGTAACTCTCCGCCAGACATGTCAGGCCCTGTGCCCTCGAAATCCATGCTCAGGCGGCACCCGTAGACACTGACGGTGCGGTTGACGCCAAGTTGAACTGGGAAAGAGTTTGCGAAGTCGATTTTCAGGGTGACGTGGGGCTTCACGGCCTGTTGATCCAGGAACTCAACGAGGAAGCGATTCACATTCTGCTTGAGGGCCAGACTGAGAGACGGTGGCACGGTGCCACCCTCATGCAATTCGTAGGTATCAAATTCCAGTTTATCCATGGCTGAGGTTGCTTCAAGTAAAATGATGGTGGAAAAAGTGAATAAAAAATGGTGACTAGAGGAGAGTGGCTCTATTTATCAACATCCAGCGTGATGACCAAGGCGCCGAATTCTTGCACCTCTTCAGTTGTGACGGCCCCATATCAGCCCCAAAGCCTGACCTGACGTGTTTCCCCATCACGCAGGCCGAGATGTCCGCTATCTACATCTCCTGCAGGACGACCAGTTATTAAAATCATTGATAGGCCATGAGCGTAGCGCACTGTTTGGCAAGTGCAAAGATGGCGCATCTTGTGGAGGATGGTAGGGCGTTTCTTGGTGGTTGAGCGACTCCTCTTTTAGTTCAGCTCACAAAAAGTACCTAGCCATTTTTAACTTGTCATAATACTTAAAGAATCAGATTGTAATTGTTTTTCAATTCAGTAGGTTCTTGAAGAAGTTTGTTCCTGCTAGCAGATAATACTCACCAGTCTTTTTTGCCGCTTGCCGCGGCCAGCTCCGCTTTAGTAAGCAGCGGCTCCTATTGGCTCGCTGCTAGTTCCCGATTTGAAGCTGTCACCAGCGAAAGAAGCGGAGCGAGCGGCATACGCGCCCGTTATTTTATTTTATGCAAAGCTACCGACGGCCGCAGCGTAAGCGACCGACCCGGATCCATTTGCCCCTCGCAGCCGCTGTGTGTCGAACATGGCCAGCACCGCCCTCCCCAACAGCCGGGCGCCTCGCCAACGCAACAGCGCAGCTCAAGTCCGCCGAGGATCCAATCAAGACGGCCCACGACAGCAAGACACGGCGTTTTTCATGGCGCAGCTCTGGGATGGTGCGTGGCCACTGACCGTTTTTGCCCTGTCACGCGCAGCCCCAATATTGACATTTCTCCTCCAGGCACCGGTTTCATCGCGCAGACGGCCGTCGTCACCTTTTCGCTGTCCCTCGCCGGGCGGCTGCTCGCGCGGCCCCTGAGCCTGTTTTCGTGGCACCCGCTGTCGCAGCTCCTCGGCCTCGTGACGCTGCTGCAGTCCATCCTGGTGCTGCAGCCGACGCACGACGCGGGGCAGAAGCGCGTCGGCCAGGCGGTGCACGCCTGGCTCAACCTGGCCTCGTTTGCGGCCTTCTCCGCCGGCTTCGCCGCCATCTACCTCAACAAGGAGCGCGGCGCGGCGCCGCACTTTGCCAGCCTGCACGGCGCGCTCGGCGCCGCGCTGACGATGCTGCTCTGGGCCCAGTACGCCGTCGGCTTCACCATGTGGGCGACGCCGGCGCTGTACGGCGGCGAGGCGCGCGCGCGTGCGCTGTGGAAGCTCCACCGCGCCGGCGGCTACGCGAACCTGCTGCTGATCCTGGCGACGTTTGGCACCGCGGCGGACACGGGCTTTGTGCGCAACGTGCTCAACGTCGAGCGCTGGGTGTTTTACGTGCCCATGGCTCTGATTGCGGTCGGCGTACTGCCGCGCGTTCATCTTTATAAGATGGGCTTTGGGAAGAGGAAGGCGTAGCTTAGGGAAACCTGTGGCATGTGAATTCGGGAATTCGCTCCGGATAGGTTGGTAGGCAGAGTAACTTGCGTGAATGTTGGTGGAGGGCGGCAGTAGAAACGTTCGCCTTGACATCTGTCGTTGGCGGTGTTTTAATATTTCCCGAATTTATCATTTTTCTGGAAAAGTGTATAGTTTCTTGAAGCATACCTAACCTGCTAGGAAGAATAATTGTTCAACATTTCTTGAGTACATACTCAATCAGCCCTATGGTACGGCTCAGGCTCTGACGTACGGCATGGACTCAACTACCAATCTACTCTCTTTTGTCAGCAAAAAAACTAGTTGGTACTTGATGCTTCAACATTGAGAAACCTATATTTGTAACAGAGAATGTGATTCACGGAACTAGGAGCCCGGCCAAAGCCGGAGCGTAAATCGGCGAGTCCACTTCCGCGACACTCATACGTGAATTGGCGAGCAGTCATCATCTGGGAGCGGTTTACACAGCATAAACACCGGATTTGCATATTTTATGACGAAGTCGCCGTTTTGATATTTCAGTTGAGCGTCGGGAACGGGTTGTGGTGAGCAACCACATGAGAGATAGGCCGAGACGTAAAGCTAAGCAGCGCCGTTTTCGGTTTGCAGAGCAGCATAGACAAACACGCCTGGCCTATCCAAGTTTAAAGAAAAGCATTAGCAATAAGTTTTCGAGGATGACACATGTGTGTCTCTCCCGATGCAACGGCCGATGCATGACGGGAGTGCTAAAGGCGGCACCGGGTAGCAACAGGACACCGCAGGGTAGCGGACCTTGCTGTCCAGTTGGACGAGGAAGTGAGTTCGAAAAGGGTCGCTGCGTCTAGTAAAACGACCTTGGCTACTTTCATCTTGCTTGTTGGATTGGAAGTCGCGTGTGCAAGATCGGACCGATGGGTCAAAAGATCGTCGATTCCGTGGCAATATCCGTCGTATCTGCGACGTGGCTTTGCGGAATCCAGGCCGCTGTGACGCGCACCTGCAGATAAATACCTTTTTTGTTTCACTCTTTTCGATACATGCGTCCACTTTACGATGAAGCGGATGTTTCAATGACGCCTGATGACGTCCCTGCTCTTTCTTTGGATAATAAAGGACATGCTGGCCGTTGTGGGCGGCCCATGTGGTGTGCGTGCATGGACAGCAACAAGGCCATGATCAGCACAGCTGTGGGTGCCAACAAGATTTTGGGCTGATGCAATCCGGCGGTCAGCGGAGGGAACTTGCCGAGGAAACCCCCAAAGAAGGCAGCTAGAAGGACAGAAGGAATTACGGGGTGCAAGGGGGCTTTTTCCGTCTGCGCGCATCGCCGCCGACGCCATGGGTGACTGGGGGCTGGCTACTGGATTCGGCCTGGGGCATATGTGGGCAATATGATAACGGTAAGCGTACTATAATAATAACAGTAAGGCTATCGCTGTTGTCTTTGGGTTTTTTTCTCTTTCTGCGACCGATTGGGAGGAATCGTCGGTGTTTGCGAAGCGATTCTTCTTTTTCCCTTTTTTTGCGTCGACTTGTCCCTTGTCTGGGACATACAAAGGAGGGGTCGGTCAGTGGTTGGAAAGGCAACAGGGCTCTTGAATGCGACGGCGGGTTATTGCATTTCTGGTGCCGGGGTTTTCATGCAATCGATGTAGCTTTAGTATTTCCTTTATTTATATTGCAGAAAGTAATGCAGTGCGACCGGAGCGGAGATGTGTGGCAGGTGTTCGATATACGGTTATTGATTTTCCTCTCTGTACATGAGTGGTAATACATCTTGGGCTTGAGAAATGATGCAGGTGGTGACATCTTTGGCTGTGTGACGGCACGCTGGCGACGGCTTACTTACTCCAGACGGTTGAAGTTGCCAGATTAGGGCGACTGGAGGGCTGTGATGTGATATCCCAGATACCGTCGTTACACAGGATGGCGCGAGGCGTTATGTGGTGATACACTGGTAGTCTCGGGAATAGCTTCAGTGTGCGTGGGCACTAGTTATGGTTGTGGTACAGCCAGAGACGCCGAAAGCGGATTGTCGAGGCCGGCCTCCGTGTCAAGCCAAGCGTCCGTCCCGAGGGTCCGTCCCAAGGGCTCGGTTTAGGTTGCTAAGTTGAAAGGCTATTGAAACTGGGCAAGGCTAGGCGAAGGGTGTGGTCAGATTCGGTGAGTTGAACGGGCACGACGAAGCAAAGACAGCTTCGGCTTCTGAGCGGCAATGTTTTTTTTTTTAGGTGGGTGGTTGGCCCGGATGCTTGGGCCGCAGGGGAGCGCCAGGGGGGGAAGGCAAGGCGGAAAAAGTGGCGCTGGTTGGGCATCAGGGAGATGAAGGGTAGCATTGGCGCATCAAAATGTTGCAATAAATAGAGAGACAAGAGAAACAAGGAGAGTGATAACTGATGTGATGTGGTGTGGTGATGGTGGTGGTGGTCAGTGGTGATGATTTGACATGGCAAACGGATGACAACTCGGTGTTGTCGACCCTTGTTGAGCCATGTCCGCGTCTGGCACACACCATACGAAGCTCGGGGCACGATGACGTTGTCTTATGACGTCGGTGAAAAAAAAAAGGTACCAAAAATAGGGACCAAAAAAAAGGCGAAACAATGCATGGAAGAGAGCAATATTAAGACCGTATCCGCGTCGAAACGAGTCAGGAGTGCCCATGCGAGGTAGACTATGTAGATGGATGGATAGTCTTGACGAGAGATCTGGCGCTAGCAGGTACGAAGAAATAGGGTCGAATGAAACGACGACGACGGGTGTATGATATGGATGCTCATGAGTAGCTAGTCAGTTTGGTAGGAACCGCAAATTTGGAGCGGTGGGCTGTTGGTGGCCGAGACAGTGTGGGAACTAGGCGCGCCCAGGTTGATGGATCAAAAGGAAAAAGGAAAATAGAAATGGAATGAGAAATAGTGGAAGAGACAGGGCTAAAAAAGGAGATTTAAGATTTAGTTATGGACAGACAAGTCGATATGTGCTGATGGGATGCGAGCCTTGTTGAATATTCGGTCAAGAACTCCCGCCGTTTTGGACACGAAAGCTCTCTTGGGGGCGTTGGAGGCGTTGGAGGCGTTGTGGCGTCGACGAGGCGTTTTCCAGTGGCTGAAGGCGTGTCGCACTTTTTGACGTCGGTACCTACGTCATGGGCACGCGCCGCTGCAGGTGCTGGGGTAATAAATTCCAGCTTTCACCCCACTGGAACCACAGTGGTGGCTTGCGGAAGGAAGAAAAAATGTGGAAGAGACGGGGAGAGGAAAGTAGAGTAATAGGGTGTGATTTTGCACAAGAGGGAGATTTGCGGTTGAGATGGGAAAAAGAGAAGAGAGACTGGCTGGCGAGCTGATGCGATAGATATCGTTACAGACTGGCCTCGAGGAGATGTAGTTATTACGCCTGCCTCAGGACAGGGAGCAGCAAGGAAGGGGCTCCAACGCGTGTTATAGGTGGCAGCCGGCCTCTCCACCTCCACTTTATTAGCGCACCGCCAACCTCTTTTGCACTAACTAATCCGTACCTACCTCCCTCTAGCCTACCTACCAACCTACCTAGTACACTCAAGTACTGAGACTACTACTGGCACTCTGGCATCTGCTGCCAATACCGTTACTATTCTGCCCTTTTTGCCATCCACAATTCCACCATCTCACCATCGACTGGCCGCCCTCTCCCATTTTCACCCGTCTTCCATCGTCCGTTGTCTTCCTCCGGGTCCCTCTCTGCTCGCCCCGTGGCCACAGTTCAGTTTCTCCCACATATTGTCTGCTCTGCCTCCACTTTGGCCACGGCCGTTTCCAAACCACGCCGCACACCCGTTTTACTCTCACTAACGTTAATTGCAACAAGCCCTCTTCAGCCTCTCTTCTCACTCCCATTCCCTCGAAAGAACCAGCAGCTCTCCCCTTGGCTACACCTCTTCTTACTAAACGCGCCCCTTTGTACAACAACTCAGATACCCCCCCCCACCCTCCAGCGCTGCTGCTTGGAGCACTCGCCACGCGGTACAAGCTTCCCTCGACTAGCAACGCCAAGCAGCAGCCACCACGCTTTCTTTCGGCAACGGCCAACAGGCTGCTCTGGCTCGACCATCACTGCTGTCCCTGGCTTGGTCGCCTTGTCTCATACCAAGGTTTGGTTGTCGAGTATCTTGACTCCTTCTTCCCGTGTTTGCCATTCACGGCCGCCATCCTGCAACCGCACGTCATTGCAGGCTACCGTCCGTCGCCGCCCGGCTCTGACACTCGACAACAGCGTGGACGCATCACCACCTACTTGCTCAACGGGCTGCTCGCAAAGCCCCTTCCCCCGCTGCTAACCAGCCTGTCGAGAGATGGACAAATGAGTGTTGACGGTGCCCCGAGTGCCCCTGCGCATGGCCCTGACCCGACGACAATGTCATCGCGACGTTCCAGCTATCCGCTCTCGGCTGCCACCGAAGCCGCCGCTCGCGCCATGGCTATCAATGCCCGCCACGCCGGTCCAGATGCCGATGCTGCCGATCCGTCCGATACCGTCGCAGTCGCCGACACGGATGGCGCATTTGACGGTCATGTGGCCGTCGACGGTCCTCCATTGGCCGCTTCCATCTCCCCACATCAGCTCCAACTCAACGAATACCGAGAAAAGCTTGCTCGCGATCTCGAGCGCCGCGAACTCCAGGCTAGAGGCTTGTTACCTACCACACCCGCCGTCGACAAGATCCGTGTCGTCCCCATTCGAGAAGAACCCGGGCTTTCACCGCCCAGCGTCTCCAACCTCAACACATCGTCTACGGAATCGGGCAACACCGTCCGCGGTGCCATAACACCCGCCCTGCTCGCCCGCACACCTTCTTATCCCTTTCCCAGGATGGCCTCTACCCCAGGCGCTTTTGGCCCCGGTCATACATTCGCCAACATGGCTAACCCGACCTCTCGCATCAACATCGCTATACCACCTAACGAACCCAGGGCCGTCCTAGAACGCGTCCTCTCCGAATCCTCGACGCCAGCATCCGCCTTTTCCTTCAACCCAGCCGGTACTCCCATGGCCGAGAATTATGACTATCCCAGTCCCGATCTGTACAACCTCTCTTTGTTGCTTTCATCCGAACCAGGCTTAGACGCCTGGTGGAATACCGTTGTCCAGATAATGACAGATGTCTTCCAGGCCGAGCGCGTAACCCTGTCTGTGCCTGCTGATGCTGCAGATTTAGAAAATGTCCCTTGGGGTCAAAAAGCTACCTATAATGAACACCAGGAAGACGAGCTCAGTGTCGGTTACATGGCCAAGGGCAGCAGCGCCGTGCAAAGCAGCGATGCTGATGCCGCAGATACCTTGTTTTCGCTCAACGATCTCACATCGCCAGCAGGGTCCCCCTTTCGCCCTGGCCTTAGCAGTCGCCATTCTTTTACCAGCTACGAAGAGCAAAATGACCCTTCACCGACAGCACCCCGTCGGCCTACTCATTTGTCGCGAAGTAAAACCTCGGCGCCATTTCCCTCGAGAGTCTTGCGGTCCGGTACCCGTCTCGACAAATCCAAGCTGGAACAGCATGACGCTCAAGCTCAAGACGACCCCACTATTCCAAGCTGGGAGATTCCCTTCCTCGCACGCTATGAGGGCCAAGGCAGAGTCCACTCCGTTCTGCAGGCCCTCGATTTCGAGGCTGATCCGCTCATCGACCACGCTGGCGTCGTCAGAGTCCTCGAACGAGGCGGCGCTGTTACACTAACAAGGTCGTACCCATATCTTGCCCCAGATGACGAGAAAGAAGATGCCTCCAGAATGGCAGCTGCCGATTCGCTCAAAAAGGCCAAGATACATTCCTCGGAATCATTAAACAAGCTTTCTTCCATGCTACCTGCCGCCGCCTTCAAGCCTTCTGGCAAGGGCAAACAGCCTGGCATAGATCGCGAGGACGACGAGACTCAGCCTTCTACTCCCAGATATGAAGAATATGAACAAATCGCGGCCTCACCCTGGGCACAGTCACCCGCCCCATCGCCTGCCGTTCGCTCCGACACCGCTGAGAATCCCTTCTTTGCCGAGGCCACCGTGGACGAAGGATCCTTTAACCCTGCAGCCGGTGCTGCCGACTATAACGACATGCGACCGCCCGCAGCCATTGGCTTAGACAACTCGTGGACTGTTATTCATGTCCCCCTTACTCATGTTCTGCAGTCAAGGCAAACGCGGCCGTTTAAACTCGACGCGACCAACATGGAACAGAAATTACAGGGCCAAAAGCCCGACAGCCCCCAAACCCCTGCTACCGATGCCAAAAAGAACAAGCCCGCACCCATCGCCATTCTGTCCATCTTGAGTACCGTTACGCCGTACCCGCCTAGCTTGCGCAAGTCGCTAGAGCACCTTTCACCTCACATGGCCACTTCCTTCTCTCTGGCTCGACACTACACAAATCTCGAGACGGAGCTTGCAGGCCTTCAAAGGCGGCGCCCTCCCACCACCGGCTTTGGCGCCGTTGCGCCCTACGGACGCTCGTATGAGAGTACCGCTGCCCTGGCTGCAGCCGATATTCTACAACCACGATCATCTGGAAGCATAACCAGCCCTAGCGACTACTCGGCCGTTTCAAGGAGTGCTGCTGACTCTCCAATTGGTACACCAGGCTGGAAACGCCAGCCCGTGCCCAGTCCAGCCGCTCTTTCAGGCGGGGACAGCTACTTCAGCCTCAAGTCGACGGCAGCTGGTAGGCAAGAAGCCGCTACAGGGCTGCAGAGAGCCAAATCTTACTCTGTGGAAACCCCGTCAGGTGATAAGAGATCCTTGCGGCTTACAAATAGCAGTGTCATGCACGATGCCACAGAAGAGTCTGAAACGGCGCCTGATGGGCCTGAAGAAGGTGTCGCAGCACAACATAGAGATCTTCGTTTGACAAGCAGCAACGAGCCGCTCTTCGAGATCGGCGAGGTATCAGTCTCTTCTAGCGTCGAGGAAAGACTCGAAATGGAGAGACGTGTATCGCAGCATCATCACCAACGCCACCCGCATACCATGCTCCATAGCTATGGCGCCGACTTTGCTTCCACCTTCCAATCTCTGCCGCCCAGCTCAAGCTTGATGAGCCGACCGCCACCCACACCGCTCGTCTCAGGCGTACCGCGTAGCATGTCGGTTATTTCCTCGACCGCAGGTGACATGCCGCCTCCATCAGACAGACTGAAGAGCCTCATTCTGGATTCCCTTCCCGCCCACGTCTTCGTTTCGCTGCCCCAGACCGGCGAGATTGTTTGGGTCAATAGCCGTTACCTGTCATACCGTGGGCAGACAGTCAACGATCTTACCGCCGACCCCTGGAAAAGCCTTCATCCTGATGACCGCGACGAATATCTCAAGGACTGGGGGCACTCTCTTCGAACAGGGGATCAATTCTCGCGCACTGTTCGTATTAAGCGATTTGACGGCGCGTACCGCTGGTTCTATGCCCGGGCGGTTGCCTCCAAGGACAAGAGAGGTGTCATTATGCAATTCCTTGGCTCATATATGGACATCCACGACCAACACATCGCGGAACTCAAGGCTGCACGCCAGGAGGAGATTGAAGCCTCTGAAGCCAAACACAGATTGCTCGCAAATCTTATCCCACAAATTATCTTTACGGCTACGAGAGACGATGGTGTCACGTTTGCCAATGAGCAGTGGCTCTCCTACACAGGACAGAGCTTCGAAGACGCTCTTGGACTCGGCTTTATGGATTTTGTGCATGGCGATGACTTGGAAAAGTGCTGTATCCCCTTCACCCGGCCTTCTTCTGAAAATCATCCACAGAAAGGAGCCAGCAGAGGAAGTGCGGCGGTTTCAAGGTCTGTCCGATTCGGGCATAGAAGTACGGCTACTAGCTCCACCTATCAAATGCCACGGGCGACTCTGGCCGAGCTCGCAAGAAAGGGCATCGTTAGAATCGGCACCGACACCAGTGGTAGAGTATCGTACACCATGGAATTGCGACTACTTTCCAAAAAAGGAGATTACCGCTGGCATCTGATCCGCTGTGTTGAGATTGACACAATTGACTTTGGAAGTGGTGCCAGCTCTTACTTTGGATCGGCGACGGATATTAATGATCACAAGCTCCTCGAGGCCAAGCTTAAAGAGGCCATGGAATCCAAAGGCAGATTTCTCAGCAACATGTCCCACGAAATACGAACACCGCTCATCGGTATCTCGGGCATGGCCAGCTTCTTGCAGGATACGACGCTGGACGAGGAGCAGCGCGATTACACAACCACCATACAAACTAGCGCCAATAGTCTCATCATGATTATTAACGACATTCTCGACTTGTCCAAGGCCGATGCCGGTATGATGAAGCTCAACTTTGAATGGTTCCGGCCGCGGTCCATCATGGAGGATGTCAACGAGCTCGTGTCCACCATGGCCATCGGCAAGGGTCTGGAACTCAACTACCTCGTCGAAGCCGATGTACCATTGTGGGTTAAGGGCGACAAGATTCGGATTCGACAGGTTCTTCTCAATGTTGTCGGAAACGCCATAAAATTCACCGAGATTGGGGAGGTTTTTAGTCGCTGCAGGATTCATACTGACATGAATGGACTGACGGGCGAGCACGAAATGATGCTGGAATTCTCCATTACCGATACTGGACGCGGCTTTTCCCAGCAGGAAGCAGAATTAATATTCAAGCCGTTTAGTCAGATTGACGGAAGCAGCACGCGACAGCACGGCGGCAGTGGTTTGGGTCTCGTTATCTCCAGGCAGCTTGTTGAGCTGCACGGCGGCAGGTTGGAGGGCACCGCGATTCCCGGTGAAGGGTCAACATTTACATTTACGGCACGATTCGGCCTGCCGACATCCGTTGACCAGCCGAATCTCCCTCATAGTCCTGGCTCGACAATATCGACATTTTCGCGTCATGAGTCCGATGGTGGATTTAGAGGATCTCCACAGCTCTCGGCTACATTGAAACGTCGCAGTACCGATGATCCGAGTCCTGGCGAAAGTGCGTCTGCCTCACTTCTAGCCCGTAGCGGCAGCCCTCGTTCGAGTGGCCTCTCCAAACCGGCTGCGAGCGCAGTCGCCTCCGGTCCCCTTGTCGGCGTCAATCCTGGCCTTGCTCGCTTCAGCGAGGCTGCCAAAGCCAGCGGCCATGATATGAGCCAGATGAGGTTGGAGATTCCCGGTCGCGACTCGCCTGGGCGAAGCGCAACCCCCGATCACCATGGACGACCACGACCAACTGGCATTGCGCCGCCTCCTGTTTACTCGATCCTCATCATCTGCCCTCAATACCACAGCCGCGAAGCAACAGTACAACACATTGAGATGACGTTGCCCAAGGATGTGCCGCACGAAATCACTGCCCTCCGCACCACTGAAGAGGCCCACCATTTAATTGGTGGCGATGATCCCGTCACATTCAGCCACATTGTCATCAACTTGGGTTCTGCGGACGCTATTCTAGCTTTCTTGGAAGAAATCACGACATTTCAAACGGTGGAAAAGACTGTCATTGTGATTCTATCCGACTCGTTGCAGCGCACAGCCGTGATGAAGGCTGCAGTAGGCACCAAGACGGAGCAGACCCTGGCCAGCAACTCTGTCAACTTCATCTACAAGCCCGTGAAGCCGTCGCGCTTTGCCGTGATCTTTGACCCGGACAAGCGACGGGACTTGAGTACAGACTGGAACCGATCCAATGCGCAGCAGCTTGTTGAGAAGCAGAAAGCGAGCTATAACGAAATGTCGATGCGAATGGGGCACAAAGGCTACAAGGTGCTGGTGGTCGAGGACAACAAGATCAACCAAAAGGTTCTTACCAAGTACCTTGAAAAGATTGGCGTCGAGGTGGAGATTGCCGAAGACGGAATCGAGTGCACGGAGCTTGTGTTTAGCAAGCCTCACAATTACTACTCGCTGATTCTTGTACGTATATTGTTGAGCGGTTGCAAGGTTGAGGCTAACAGATGCAGTGCGATATTCAAATGCCGCACAAGGACGGCTACGAGACGTGCCTCGACATTCGCGCGTGGGAGGACAAGAATGGCTTTGAACGGCTGCCGGTGATTGCGTTGTCGGCCAATGTTATGTCGGTTGTGGCTGACAAGTGCACGGCGGCCGGGTTCAGCGACTACGTAACGAAACCGGTCGACTTTATCAGCCTTAGCAAGGCCATGGTGAAATATTTCTCCTAATCAGCAATCGACCAAACATGGACGCCAAGACGACATTTGTGTACATATAAATCGGCAAGGGGACAAAAGACTGCGGTATACAAAAAAATCGGCGAACATTTCGGAGTTATTTTATTGGTTTGCTTTGTGATATCCGTGTTTCTGCACTCTTGTGCAGGACCACTGCGATGATCATTTTTTTTATTCATTTCGGGGAATGTTTGAAGCCTATTCCTATTTTCGGTTTCCTTTTTTGCTACGAGCATGGCCTTTGCGAGGGGATGAAACTAAAATGATGTAAGCTTTAGGAGGAATGAGCTGGACCAAGGACAGCTGGCTGGCTGGATGGATGATGTGTACTTTATAGACTTTGAGTGTTTTTTATCCTTTTTCCTCTTACAATATTATACTTGAACTTGTACTATCCAAAACGGGATACATATATTTTTTCCTTTGGTAGTATCAGGACTTGAACTGCTTATACTACTGCAATCGATGTCCCACCACTATTTACTTAGATGGAGCAGCCATCTCGCATCCCGTCGTGTTTTTATGAGCAGCACCAGACAAATAAATGCGCTTCCCGTCAAAGTGCGGTACAGAGTCCCAAGCAGCGCAGTAGCAAGGGATCCTAGTAGGGGGGGGGGTACTCACGGCCCGACGTCGTGGAGCAGCGCGGCGACCGTGACTTTGTGCCCGCAGCACCTCACCTTGGTAACTTGTTTTTATTATTTGGCGAGTATCCATGGACGCCGAGCGGTTGTTTGATGCAGACGCAGCTCGCAGCCGCCCGTAACAGCCGCCATTCTTGCGGCACCGCGTTTCAGCGGGGCGGCAACCCCACAGGCCATTGGCTGGTCTGGCGTGGGCAAGCTGTGGCTGGAGGCCACCCAACTTCAACCACTTCATTCATCCAAGGGGGCGGGAACCTCGATTACTCACGACATAACGAGAACAATTGAAATCAGCAACCGCTTGAAACCACTTTCCGACACACCAGCACAGCAACTGGTGCACTCGACTGGCTCCTCGACGCCCCGCATCATGGTCTGATTGACCCCGTGCTGCAGCCTCTCTGCCCGCCATCCCTACACAACCATAACAAACCACGACCACCGCCAGAATGGACGACGCACCCGTGCCCAAGCTCGCTGAGCTACTCCGACACGCCGACGACCTCGACAAGATTCCCAGCCTCAAGCACGAATTCGCGCGCAAAAAGGGCGCCGTCGACGGGCAGCTGCGCAGCGGCCTGCGTGAGCAGCTCGAGCGCACGCAATCGGGCATGGCCGGCCTCGCCGATGGCCAGCGCACGGTGCAGCTCATCAAGGACGAGATGGCCCGCATCGATCGGCTGTGCTCCGAGTCGCAGACCATGATCCGCGACTTTGCGAGCATCAACCTGGCCTCGCAGGCGCATCGCCACTTTGCTGCCGTCGAGACGATGCGGCGCAACCTGGAGACGTTTGACGCACGCGTGAGCGTGGTCGAGGATATGCTGCGCGCCGACGACGAGGACCAGGAAAGGATGCCGAACCTTCTGCCGTGTCACTACGAGATTACGCGGCTGCGCAATCTCCGCGATGACGCCATGGAGCAGATTCAGCGCGCGGACGATCCGAGCCTGGAAGCGACGCTGGAGGACTACTTTGCCCGGCTGGACGACGTGGTGGACTGGTTTGACGAGCATGTCGGCCTGCTGGCAATGAACCTGATCAACCTGGTGCTGAACGATAATAACGGGCTGGTGGTGCGCTTCGCGGTGATTATGGAGGCGGAGGAGCGCAGCGACCGACGCGTGCGCGCGCTGCAGGACGCGCTGCGGGATCACAGGGACATGGCCGCCCGCTTCCAGGGTATCGCCGACGGCGCGAAGCAGGTCCGTGGCTACAAGGACAAGTTTCTCGCCGCCATCAAGCTCGGCGCCGAGCAGCAGTTTGAGACGGCCCGCGAGGAGTTTCTCGACGACCCGAAGCGGCTGGACAAGATCATGGCGTGGTTCTTCAACGACCTAAACGCGGTGCGCGTCGGCATGACGCCGCTCATGCCGAAGCGCTGGAAGATTGGCAAGGTCTACGCCGACATTTACCACGTGCTCATGCACGACTTCCTCGTCGGCATGGTGGACGACCCGGAAGCCTCGTCGGCGCACACGCTCGAGATTGTGGGCTTTCCCGAAAAGTACTACCGCAAGATGGCCAAGATGGGATATGCGCAGGACTCGCTCGCGCCGCACGTGATTGACAATCGCGAGGCGGAGCTGGTGCGCGACTTCCGGCAGCTCATCATCCGGTTCCTCGACGAGTGGATCGAGCGCATCTTTGCGCAGGAGGCGCGCGACTTTGCGGACCGCAACAGCGAGGGCAGCAATCTCGACACGGACGAGTACGGCTACTTTCGCACCAAGAACCTGACGGCGCTCTGGCGCATGCTGCGCGAGCAGGTCGACGCGGCGGCCGGCTCGCAGCGCGCCGACGTTGTCGAGGGCGTCGTCGACTGCATGTTTGCGCGCCTGCGCGCCCGCCAGCAGCAGCAGCAGCGCATGCTCGAGGACGAGGCCCTCCGCTACGAGTCGGGCAAGGTCCCCGAGCTCGAGGGCTTCCAGGCGCTCCAGGACTGGCTCGTGGCGACGGCCAACGACCAGATTGCGTGCATCGACGACGGCGAGGACGAGACGACGGGCGCCCCGCGCCTCGGCTACCTCTCGAGCTTCCGCGCCCACTTTGAACCGCACGTCATGCCGCAGTACCTCGAGCGGGTCGAGACGGAGCTGGCGGCGCTGCGCGACGGCTACGTCGACTGCAGCACGTGGTGCATCAACAAGTTTGCGCAGCTCGTCTTCGCCGTCGACTTCCGCGCCGTCATGCCCGACTTCTTCACGCCCCGGTGGTACCCCGCCACGGCCATGAAGCAAATGGTCGTCACCCTCGACGAGTACGTCGGCGACTACCGCGCCGTGCTCCACCACTCCCTCGTCGACATCTTCATCGAAATCTTTGCCGACGAGCTGCTCGTCCGCTACCTGTCGAGCGTCCGCAACAAGGGCTGCAAGCTCCGCCGCGCCGACCCCTTTCGCGACAAGCTCTTCAACGACATTGCCACCGCGTTTGAGTACTTTGGCAGCCTCGACAACGCAGACGTCGGCGCCTCCATCAAGCAGACCTGGCGCGTCACCGAGGGCTTCCTCGCCCTGCTGTCGGCCGACCGCGCCGCCGTGCCCGACGAGTTCGCCGCCGTCAAGGCCAGGTACTGGGACCTGCAGATTAGCTGGGTCGAGGCCGTCCTCAGGAGCAGGGACGACTTTGAGAGGAGCATGCTCAACGCCGTCAAGGCCCGCGCCGCGCAGATCGAGGTCGTGCGCGGGCCGGAAACGATCATGGCGAGGATCAAGTAGAAAGAAGGAAGGTAAACCGGCGCGCCGAGGGAAAGCTTGTATGATGAGGGTCGCCGTCAATGGAGAGATGGTTTGGGCATGCAATACCGCATTTCGAAGCAACGTCGTGACATGATGAAAAACGGTGGCTGGGATATAGCGTTCTTTTTACAACGGTTATTAGTTAGAGGAGCTTCATATGTTGATGGTAAGAGTTACAAATTACTACAATGTTAACTGACTATATAAAACCAGGTGCAAATGAGGGACCTCAAACAACTCCATGTAGAAGAAGAGTGACAAGAGAAAAACATGTGAATGAGAGTAACGGTTCGTTCTCCTCGAGTCCGATACTGTATTATCGAGGCATGGTCCCTTTCCGTCTGTACAAAAAGAACATGTGCTTGAGCCACTCCTTTATACTTTGTAAACCCTTCGGCGAGCCTTGGGGTGTCTCATGGTGTAGGCCAAGGACGCCTACGATTTGCTGGCGAGATGGTTGGCGGCCTGTGTAGTCATGTTAGTGGAGGGACGCAAGCAGCAGCGGTAGTTGTACGTACCCTCTCCAAGTCGTAGTCGTACTTTTCCAGAGCGGCGAGGGCATCGGACCGCGCGTAGCCCATACTGGTGAGGCTCTTGAGGATCGGATCGTCGTGCACACCCTTGTCCGTGAGCGCGCGGCCGACAGCAGCGGGACGCCCCGTTGGCGCCTTGCTCTCGTCCTTGGTCGTGTCGGCGGCCGTGCTGCCAACAGGGTCAGCCGTGTCGAGGCCGGAAAAGATGGCGTCCCAGTCGTGCGACTCAGCGCCGCCAGCGCCGGTGCCGCCCTTGGACGACTCGGCACCGGCCGGGTTGGACGGGATAAAGTCAAAGCTGCTCTCGTTGCCAAAGGCGCCGTGGTCGCCCTTGAGCTGGCTCGCAGGCGGGCTGTCAAACATGGCATTATAGTCCTCAAAGCCGGAGCGTGAAATGTTGGCGAAGTCGTCATCGGCAGAGCCTTCCTTGGCTTCCTCTAATCCGTCAAAGTCGTCGTCTAGGTCGTCAAAGACACCCTTGGGTGGTACAGCTGGGACGGGCGCCGCGGCGCTGGTGCTGGGAGCAGACGGACCAAAAAATGTCATCCAGAGATGAGCCTTGAGCAGTAACGGGAGCGGGTACAGTGGCTGGAGAGATGGGCTTCGCCTCTTTGGGAGCTTCAACAGACTTCTCGGTTGTTTCAGCGACGGGAGAAGCCGCCTTTGGTGCAGTCCTGTTACGCTGGGGTGAGTGGGGGGCGAAATCGTCGTCAAAGCCGCCCTGCTCGCTCTCAGAGTCAGACTCATCATCACGCTCAATTTCAGAGATTGGGGGAAATTCAGTGTCAAAAACCGACTTGGTTTTCGGTGCAGCGGTATCCGCACTGGCAGTAGACTTGGAGGAAGTAAAGGAGGCAAAGGCACTGTCAAAGTCTGCCTTGGCCTTGTCCTTGTCGTCACCGAATGGTGCCGCCTTTTCCTTGCTGGGGCTTGCGATGGCCTGGCTATCGCTAGTAGTAGGGGTCTTGGCAGCATCCTCATTGCTGCCCTCTTCGGTTGCCTTGCTAGCAGCACTCGGTCCGTCGGCAAATGAGCCGTCGGCGCGCGAAGCCGGTGGTGAGACTTGACGAGAAGATGAGACAGACTCACTCTGACCGCCAAAAGGCAGGAAGCTCGAGCTAATCTGGCGCGACTCTGGTGGAGGAGGTGGGTTGTCGGCGCGGAGAGTTGTCGCACGGCTCAAGACAGGTGTCGAGCTTGGTGGTGTTGCGTAAGAGGATCCAGCGCTCGTGGTGGAGGTTCCCGTGGTCTGAGGCCGGAATGGAGCTGGGGTCGGTCCAGACGCACTCGTAGCCGAGTTTCCCGTGGTCTGCGGCCGGAATGGGGCAGGGGTCGGGCCGGGCGTACCACCAGAAGGTCCGAATATCTCGTCGGTGCCGGAAGGACTGGCAAAGACGCCCATAATGTCGGTACTAGCAGTGCGCTTGAAGAAAGGGTTGTTTCCACTCGCTGTCGAGAGCGCAGGGCTGATGACACTGCCGCCAGGCGCTTCCGGCACAGAGCTGGACTCTAGTCCACGAGACGTCTCCTCGCCCGACGCTCTGCCGAGATCCGCTGCTTCCGTCTTTAGTTTATCCCGCTCGCCTTCCGTCGTCAAAAGCTGCTTCTTGTTGATAGCAACCAGCCCTTTCTGCTGGCGAGCTTCCATTTTGAGCTTTTCGATTTGCGGCTTGAGCTGTGTGAGCTCGGCGTTGGCCACGCGAATACGCTCACGCAGACTGGTGTTTTCCTGCTGATCGGACTGCAGAGCAGTCAAAACCTGCTGGCGCTGGGCCTGGGCATCGGACAAGTTGCCCTCTAGGGTCATGCATTCGCCTTGCAGCTTCTGCGTTTCGGTCCTGGAAGCTCGGAGCTGCTCCTCGAGTGCGCGCGCATCCTGGGCTTCCTTTTCATAAAGCGTGCGGAGCTGGGCGAGTCTCTGCTGGAAGTTTTGCTTCTGCGTGTTGGTTTGATTCAAGTCATTTTGAGTACCAGTGCGCTTGGATTGCGTCTCCTGCATCTGGGTCGACAGCGTGCTGATCTGGTTCGATAAATTGGCAAGTTCGGTGCTTTCACCAGTTATGTTCCTTGTTTCCTCCGGGTTGTTGTCGGCTAAAAGATCTTCAGAGGCTGGGGGCTGAGATGTGACGGGTGAGCCAGTGAGGCCTCTACCAAAGGACGAGCTTGGTACAAATGCCTGGAACGTGTTACCGCGCGTAGGTGAAGCGGGCATCGCATTCCCGGGACCGCCGGCAAAGGGGTCGTTTGTAGACCCGCCAGTAGACATGGGATCTTGTCGCGGGGCGGGAGGTGCGGGCAAGGGCGACGTGTCGAGGCCAAACAGGTCCTCCATGGCAGATTTTGGTTGCGGCGGAGCAGGTCTGTCCATAGGCGGCGGGTCAAACGGTGATGCGGCAGGACGTTGGCGTGACTGGCTACGCAAGCTAGGAGGAACAAGGTTCGGTGGCAGCGTGGAAGGCAGTGGCGTGGACGGGTTTAGTCTCTGCTGTCGGATGAGATACATGGCGACGGCAAACTCGTCGCGGCTCAAATGGCCTTGCGAGTTGACATCGGCGAGATCCCAGACCTGGGCTAAGGCATCTTCGGAGAGGTTGGACTGGCTGAGGAAAGGAACGGCCTCTTCGCCAGTGATGTAGCCCTTGTTTGTTTTGTCTAGAGTTGCATATAGCTGGTCAAATCTACCCTTGTCAGCAGGAGTAACAAGCCAATCGCCGGCGGCCTGAGGACCAGGTCCGAGAGGACTCGCGGTGCGCTGCTGGCCGGTAAGCTGGCCGGTGAGCTGGCGAGGAAGGCCGGCATTGCTGGTACGCGGAGACTGTCTCGCGGGCCCACGACCAGCAGCGACTTCGAGAATAGCAGGAGGCAGGACATTGGGTAGCGAGCGCAGAGCACCAGAGTTGGTCGACGTGAGCAGGTGCATGGCGACAATGAACTCGGGCGCAGAAAGCGCGCCGCGCTGTTCGGTGTCGACAAGAGCCCATATGCGGCCAAGAGTCTCATTTGGCAGGCCGGATCGGTCGAAGATGGAGCGGGCCTGGTCTCCGGGGAGCAGGGCGCCTTGGAGAGGCTGGCGATCGAAGAGAGCTCTGTATTGCGTGATCTTGTCGGGGGTCAAAGGCGGGATGCGAGCCCCTGCCGGGGTGCCTGAGTGCTGGGCCGTGATTGGAGAGGTGAGGGCGGGTAGCGGAAAGCCATCAAATCGGGGCAGCGGACCAGGAAGCAATGCGAGCTCCCGTGTCGGTTCAGATCCAGCCTGTGCATGGCCGATGAGGCGCAAGACGATGCCAAAGCCGGTGGGCGTGAGGAAGCCTCTGTTCTCCTTGTCGGCGATTTGCCAGATCTGATTGGCAGCTTGGTCAGCGGATATTCTACTGGTATAGATGATAAGTCGTCGCGGAGAGACGGAGAAAATAGACAGACCTCTCCTAATATGCGCGAATCAAGCCGGGTCTTGTCGAAAAAGGTGACGGCGACGTCGCCAGTGACGACACCGACGGCGTCGGTGTCTGCCTGGCGGAAGAGCTGGCCATAGACTCGCTTCTCGTCGGGGGTCAGGTTGAGGTTCGGCTGGGCGGCTAGATAATAATACATGGTGAGTATGGTGCGGGGAGATGGCGTGAGAATGGATTGAGGAGTTCAAATACCGGAACTGGGGCCCGCGTCGGCCGACATGTTGGGCTGCAGTCGGGCTGACGACTTGTCTCTACAATTGGATGAGGTGGGGGGTTGCAGGTGACGTATCAGGGGCCGGTCGGATGAGGCGGTTCGGAGGACGCAGTCGGGACGGCGCGTCAATTAGGTTGCAATTGTTATCAAAAACGGCGGCAATGCGCCATGCAAGTCGAGCGCCGGGGACGTCTGGAGCTGCGAGAGCTGTGCAGGAGGTGTAAGGGCAATGTAACTTCTGGCGGTTGGAGCGAGGCTGGAGATAGCTTGGACGTTGGGTGGCTGTGCTACTGGCCAGTTGCTAGGGATGTGGCGCATGCCAGGCCCAGCCCACAGAGCAAATGTTTGTCCGTGGCATAGTGGAGTTGTCCAAGTGGTTTATTATCAAAGTTCATCTATACTTTTCATGCTGATGGTAACACTATGTTTTCTATTTCATCTAATCATCATCCATTTATCGTTTTGACGAGGCCAACGAAAGTGTTCTTGGGACTTCGTACGCACCGTGGTGACCAGCCACATCTCAGCCACAGAGCCGTGGCCATGGTCATGTCTCCCTCAACAGCTGCTAGTGAATAAGAATGGCCTGAAATTTAAGCTTGGTGCTAGTCTGGTGGTGTTGACATCATCGTTTATTCGAGAATCGTGTAATAGAGGCAACATGGGCTAACAAGCTCCGATCCTAGACGCCGTTCAAGATTCGGCCGAAGGGCTTACAAATGGTTGGCATGCAGGTGCGGAGTTTTGGCGCATTCATTCTATACTCCGTATTTAGCTCAGCATGCAATTTGAGATTCTTTTGCCGCGTTTGTCTGAATCCATATTAGCTAGGAAGCGTTAGGTACGGAGTATTCCAATAGCAGATTATTCAGCACCGGTTTCTTCCCGCACCCACTTCAGCTTCACCAGCCAACCAGACTCCCCAAACCCGGCGACGCTAATGTACAAGATTCCAAAATGCATCTTCCATCGCTCACCATAAAAGACGTCATTCCCTCCCCCACCAGCACCCCTCTCTTACCCTTCCTGTAGCATCTCCTCGTGTTATAAACACATCATTTCCACCTCAGTTCCTCCATCGGAGCTGCTTCTTCCATGCAATCGCTCGCCCGCATCGCCCGCACCTCTGCACACCTCACCTCGGCTGCCCCGCGCATCGCTTCGTTATCCCGACACCTGTCCACCACCTCGCCTGTCATGGCGCCCACGGTGAAAGAGACCGACTACCTCGTCCTCGGCGGCGGGAGCGGCGGCCTGGGCTCGGCCCGCATGGCCAGCTCCAAGTTTGGCGTTAAGGCCATGGTCATTGAGAACAAGCGTCTCGGCGGTACCTGTGTCAACGTTGGGTATGCACTGCTTGCTATGATGCGCTCAATTTCCATGACGTAGCAAGCGCTAACAACTTCCCCTAGGTGTGTCCCCAAAAAGGTCACTTTCAACGCCGCCGCCATTGCCGAGACCATCCACGACGCCAAGGCCTACGGCTTCTCCGTCCAGCAGTCGGCCCCCTTTGACTGGCCCACCTTCAAGAACAAGCGCGACGCCTACATCAAGCGTCTCAACGGCATCTACGAGCGCAATCTCGGCAACGACAAGGTCGAGTACCTCCACGGCAGCGGCCGCCTCGTCTCCAAGAACCAGGTCGAGGTCACCCTCGACGACGGCTCCAAGGTCCTCGTCAACGCCAAGAAGATCCTCGTCGCCGTCGGCGGCCGCCCGAGCGCGCCCCCCTCCATCCCGGGCGCCGAGCTCGGCATCAACTCGGACGGCTTCTTCGACATTGCGACGCAGCCGAAAAAGGTCGCCATCGTCGGCGCCGGCTACATTGCGGTCGAGTTTGCTGGCATGTTCAACGCTCTCGGCACCGAGACCCATCTCTTTATACGCCGCAATACCTTTCTCCGCAACTTTGACCCCATGATTCAGGAATCCGTCACCAAGGAGTACGAGCGTCTTGGCGTCCACCTGCACAAGCAGAGCCAGGCGACAAAGGTGGAAAAGGACGCTAACGGCAAGCTGTCCGTCACCTACAAGGACGGTTCGGGCAAGGAAACGACCCTCAGCGACGTCGACCACCTGATATGGGCTGTGGGCCGCACGCCCGAGACGCGCGGCATTGGTCTAGAGGAGGCCGGTGTCAAGATCAACGACAAGGGCTACGTCGAGGTGGACGAGTACCAGAACAGCAGCACCGAGAACATTTACGCCCTCGGCGACGCCACGGGCAAGGTCGAGCTGACGCCCGTGGCCATTGCCGCTGGGCGCCGCCTCGCGCACCGCCTGTTTGGCGGCGCGCAATTCTCCACGGCCAAGCTCGACTACGTCAACGTACCCTCGGTCGTGTTCGCCCACCCCGAGGTCGGCAGCATCGGCCTCACCGAGCCCCAGGCCGTGGAAAAGTACGGCCAGGACAATATCAAGGTCTACAAGACGAGCTTCACGGCCATGTACTACGCCATGATGGAGCAGGAGGACAAGGGCCCGACCAGCTACAAGCTCATCACCACCGGGCCCGAGGAAAAGGTCGTTGGCCTGCACATTATGGGCCTCGGCAGCGGCGAGATGCTGCAGGGCTTTGGCGTCGCCATCAAGATGGGCGCCACAAAGGCCGACTTTGACAGCTGTGTCGCCATTCATCCCACGAGCGCCGAGGAGCTGGTCACTCTGAAATAAAAGCAGATATGAAATAGAACAGAAATGGATGGAATGTAACATTTGTTCAAGTTCTGTGAATAGTATCGTACTTTTGTTCTGCGTGATTTTGTTGACGCGCCCAATGTCCCGGAATCAAACTTCCCTCCGGATGACCCCCCCTCAAACAGCCTCGAATTTGATACATCATTTACACCTAAGCAGCGTACGGGTTGACGTTTGGCACTTCCACATCGACCTGCTTAAACACGGGCACAATCGCCTTGCAGTGCTCCCAGTCTGCGACCTTGCGAAAGTGCTTCATGGTCGCCGGATGCTGCCGGCGCCACTCGGCGCCGAGAATCCACTCGAGCCCGCGCGAGATGTAAATGGCGACGAATATGTCGGCCAGGGTGAAGCCGTTACCGACAAGAAACTCCTTGTCCTTCATGGCCGTCTCGTGCTGGTCGAGGAACGCCAGCGTGGCGACCTTGCCCGCCTCGATGGCGGCCTTGTCGTACGGCGCGGGCCGGGCCAGTCCGGGGATGAGCGGCAGAAACCTGGATGGAAAGGGAAGAATTCAGGATATGATTCCTAGCACAGTGACTTGGGGACTAGAAAAATTTGCTTACCACTTGCTCATGATGACGAGCATCTCTTGGTTGGCCCAGTTGACCCAGGACAGGACCTCAGCCTCTTGCTCCAGCGAGCCGTCCCCGAGCAGGCTGCCCGCCTTGGCCTTGGCCAGAAACTGCGTTGCAAGTTGGCAATTTTTTCTCAAAACGTTGGAAGCACTGTGGCGCAAGTTCTCTCACATAGGCAATTGCCGGTACTTCGGTCAGCTTGATGTTGTCGCCCTCGAGCGCCGGGATCTTGCCGCGGCTGCGCGGGAACTTTTGGATCAACGCATCTCTGTTGAGGTTTTGACGCGGTACCACCTCGGACAGATTGATTTTGATGTCTTGTGAGTGTGCCTAGCAGTGAGAATGCGATTAGAAATGCAGTTGAGAGATTTAGTGCAGAATCGCGTCTTACAATGATGCGCAGAATTCGAGTCCTTGGGTTACCCTGGGCTTTGATCAGCAAGACATTCCAAGCCAAGTGAAGACTTCTCAGTCACACCTCGTAACCATATATCGTATATGCCATTATGAAGATTGGGGACTGGTTTTTTCTTGTTCTAGAATTTGCGGCCACGGAAATGACAAATACACAGTTGCGACTTGGCCTACTTACATCCATGAGAGCCTGTTGCACGGCATTGATATAGTCCCTGGCGCCGCCCAAGCTCGACATGCATGCCGGGGCGGATATAACGTAATTTTCGAATCTGACTCGACCGAGCAGGCTCAGCCTGGATCCCGATCAAGACAAGCCACGAGTTCACGGCCGACGCTGACCCACGCGACCCTGATAGCTGCATGACTTGCATCGCGGCCCCGGAAGAAGGTGGGTGTCTTCGTTCAGCCAGCTGATTCCGACATATCCGTGATGGGTCCTAGAATGAGTAATTCGGTCGTATCCGTAGAGGGCAAGGGGCTTCGAAACGGGTGACGCCCTAGATCGTCAAAGGTCCCGGCTTTCGGGCCCCCAGCATGGTATTTGCATCCTGCCTTGGTCAAAGGTCTGGTTCTCTTGGCATTCCTTATGACCCCGGCCTGTCCAGTTTAAATAACACGGACATTTTTAAAAAAGTAAATATCCTTTCCAATAAATCTACAATTTTTACGCTTCATTTAAACCTTGTTTTCTTGGTTGTTATTGCTTCTATTCCCCTGCTACCAGAGAAGATCAAGAACCTGCATCATGCCTGCATATTCAACGCTGCCGCCGCCGCCGTCCCTCGGACAGTGCGTGCCGGATAGACCGCACGCCGTGTCGGTGCACCTGCCCAAGTGGCGAGACGTGGTCGACTTCTCGGCCGGCGAGGCGCGCGTCCGCACCGCGCAAAAGGGAGGCTACCCGCGGTCGTTCCTCCACGCGGCCATTGCGCAGGCCCACGCCGTCCTCGTCCACAAGTTTGGCGCCGACAAGCAGGCCTGCCTGCTGTTCCCGACGCGCGGCTACGCGGCTGCGTGCGAGGCCTATCTGTGCGCCCCTCCGGACGGCTCGGCCGGCGTCCCGGAGCAGCACGTCGCCGTCCGGTCGTTTGCGTTTGACGTGGCGCGCGCGGGCACGATGACGCTGCATGCCGTCTTCTTCCCGGCTGACGAGGCCAAGAATGCCATGATCTTCTGGCGGCTGACGGGCTGTGGCATCTCGTCCCGTCTCGCGCAGGATATGCTGCCCGGACTGGACTCCGTCTCTGTTGCTGCGCCGGATGACACGCCGCTTCCTAGAAACGAGGAGGCGGAGATGGAGATTCAGCAGCGTATCGCCAGTCTCCTCGACCGCGCGCCGGTGGGCGGCCCGAGAAAGAAGCTTGTCAGCCCCGACGACGTCTTTCTGTACCCTACCGGCATGTCGGCCATCTACAACTGCACCACCGCGCTCAACAGCCTGCCCGGCTCGCAGATGGTCGTGTTCGGCTTCCCGTACGAGCTCACGCTGAAGGTCCAAGAGGACTTTGCGACGGCCTGCACGTTTTACGGCTTCGGCACCGACGACGAGCTGGACCAGTTTGAGCACCTGCTGGTCTCCAAGGCCGCAGGCAGCAGCGAGCCCCCCATTCAAGCCGTGTGGTGCGAGTGCGCGTCGAACCCGCTCCTTCGCACCGTCGACCTGGACCGCATCCGTCGGCTCGCGGACCGGTACGGCTTCGTCGTCGTCGTCGACGACACCATCGGCAGCGCGGCCAACGTCGACGTGCTCGGCGTCGCCGACATTGTCGCCACGTCGCTCACCAAGACGTTTAGCGGCTACGCCGACGTCATGGGCGGCAGCCTCGCGCTGAGCCCGAGCAGCGCGCACCACGCGCAGCTGCGACAGCTACTGGGCGGCGGCTTCGCGCCGACGCTGTACGGCGCCGACGCGGCGCAGCTCGCGCGCAACAGC